AAAATCATACTACAGATCCCATTATCATTTAAGGAATATTCCTTCAACCATATAAGGGAGCCTTATATGGTTTGAGGAACATTTCTTCATTAACAATTAAGGGATATTGGAGTCTCTGGGTTTCAGGAGAAGGAGAAGGACATTACCAAGCTCGAGTCCGACTTCAAGGAGTTCGTAGAGGGACTCCAGTGGCTCGGGCTGGAAGAGCCCCTAAACCCTAAACCCCTAAACTCTAAACCCTATACCCCTAAATCTCTAGACCCTATACCACTAAACCCCTATACCCCTAAACCTGTAACCCCTAAAGCCCTAAACGCTTTGGAAGAGGGGGCAGATTCGGGGGTCGAAAGGTTTCGAGCATTAGAGCTGAGGGTTTTAGGTCGAAGGGGGTTCAGGGTTCAGGGTTTAGGGTTCACTTTTAAAGTTGGAAGGCTTAGAACCTTAATTAGATTCTATGGGTTTCAAGTCAGGGTGTAGGAACGAAGATCTGAGACCTGCTGGGTCTAAACCCCCAGAGCCTCCATTGACTCGAAAGCCTGGCCCTTCGGTTTCCAAACTGTACTTTTGGGGCTTAAACTATTACCTATACTATTCTGCGGGTTCCTTATTATGATCAGGATATAGTATACCCCCAAAGCCTATCCTAATGATTAAGCAATTAGTGTGTCGGTAAAGTTGAGGGAGCAGGCTTGTGGGAGCCGGCGGGGTGCAGCATGTCGGTTCTACTTCGGGCCGAGGAAGCAGTACCAAGAGGCCAGCGACAAGAAGGACAAGGATGTCGAGGCTGTCAAGACTCTTCATCTGCAAGAGCCAGAACCCTAAACCCTAAAGTTCTAAACCCCAAAACCTAAAGCCCTAAACCGTACAAACCCCAACCCCTCAAAGCCTGTAGGGTTTAGGGTTGGGGATGTGCTGCGTCTCAGCCCCCGAGGTAGCCGCGGAATCTGACTTAGGGGTTTAGGGTTTAGGTGTGCAGATCATACTATGTACCTGAGCCCGTGATCCCTAATCCACACTCTGAGCCCCTAGTCGCCCTAAACGAACCGGAACTGAAGCCCAAAATTTTTTCGACCCCTAAACCCGCGAACCCTAGCCTTGCCCCAAAGGTCCCTGTTTCGGGGCTTTCAGGCTCTTGCACCCGGGCTTGTCTTGTTGAAGGTCTTTACGGCGCTGCGGTCTGCGTTGAGGGTTTAGGGCTTCAGGGTTAACCGGGCTGCTGGACAACGAGGCCTGCTGCAAAAAAGGGCTTCAGGGTTTGTGGTTTTGGGATTGGGCGTTGTTTCCTCCCAGGGTCTGCTGCTTCAAGAAAGATCGGAGGCCTTCAATCCTTCAAGGCTTGGGTCTGAAATGGACTAAGCCCTAAACACAAGAAGCTCGGATAATTTGAGGAAACCTCACTGAACGTCGCATGGGGCTTATAATATAGAAGGTTCGCAAGACTTCGGAAATGAGCTTTGCCACTGCTCATCTCCTAAATACTAAATCCCACACCCTGTAGAGTGCGAGCGCCGAAACCCTGCGGATGGAAGCTCTTGGTTCGGGCTTCCCCTCAACGGTTCACCCAAAATGCTATAGCCCCAACCCTCTGCTTTGAATCCTGCTGCAAGAGCACCCTAAACCCCTTAAGCCCCAACCCCTAAACTCAAAAGTCCTATACCCCTAAACCCCTAAACCCCCAGACCCTTAACCCCTAAACGCCCTAAACCCCTTGACCCTGAACCCCTAAGCCCCTCTACTGAGGAGCTCGGGGCTCGGACTTCTAAAGTCCGTGCACTCCTACAGCAAGAAGCAGAAGGGGGAGCTGTAGGTGCTCCTCTCTTCGCGAGTTTGTACGCAAATACCGTAGAAGCTACGGCTCGGGCATGCCGATCAGATGGCACCTACGTGATGTAGCGTGGCATACGGTTTCAGGGTTCAACTGCACAAGACCTTCAGGTGGCTCTGCAAGCAGTCCTCTTGCCCCTATAGCACCAATTCTTGACTCCACCAGCAGCCTCCAAGAGGAAGCATGAGTGGATGAATGTTGGTGCTGTGTCGGGCGGGGTGACAGCGAAAGGGCCAAGGAAAGGTGGAGGTGTCCGGGTGGAAAGTTGCTTTGTAGACAAAACTCAGGGTGTGCCCGATGCCAGTTTTGCCTTCTCGCTGCAAAAGGCAGCTGCCCAACTAGTCTAAAGAGCCGTTAGCAGGCAGACTGCAGCGGAAACAGGGAAGCCAGGTCCGCATCGCACCCTTAGCGACATCTCCACGGGTTCCCCAGCGCCTGTCGCGCGATACTTACTTGCACTGAAGTCTCGGCGATGCTCGTGCTCGCATAGGAATTGAAGGAATACCCTGACTCGGAGCCCACTGATGAGGGCCGGTCCCGGGCCATCTTCGTAGACAAAGATGGGTTAGGGTTAAGGGTTTAGGCCTCGGCTCCTGGCACATGCGTAGTCCAAGTGTAAAAAGGGCTTAGCCGCATGTCCGGCAACCCTGCCGAAACTGATGTCAAGGAGTCAGCAACGAGCCCGAAACAGCCAAGCTTACAAGTCTCCAAGCATTGCTGGCTCAACTGCTGTGAATCTGGGAAGAATACGTTCCATCTCTCAGCATGTGCTACAAAATACCCAAAATCCTCGTAGTCAGTCCCAGAAGGACCTCTTTTAATCCCATACACTCGAAGCAGCTTCAGGTATGCGCCTTGCATTGGCTTCGAAGTGCTAGCTTCGCAGGTTTCTGCGGCGCAGCGGGTGTCGGAGGACGCTTCGATTCAGGCTTCGGGGCTTAGGGTTCAGGGGTTTTGGGTTACCGGGTTCAGGCTTTGTCAAAGTAGCCCAAAAGCCTTATATAGTATCGTCTTCGAGCCCAAAGCCTTAATATATGAGTCCTTAGATCCCTACTTGGAGGGTCGGGGGACTTAGTAACTGGTCATTTTAGGGACTTATATTACAAGTACCATAACCCCAATTCGGGTCCCTTTTAGAGTACTTATATGTCTACTTACTACCTACCTACTAAGTCCTCCGACCCTGCAAGGAGGTCTTAGGTTGAAACTTTACACGACTGTCGGGCCTCTTAGGAGGGTCCTGAGGCTCATCAGCCTCCAAGCCCTAAGTGAGTCAGCCGTAAGAAGTAGCAAGGTCTTTGCTTTTCTCCGTTGCTTTTCAGGGTCAGTGAGAGTACGCAGCTGAACAGGAAGCCAATTCTTGAAACCCTACCCTTCCCAAACCCTAATATAGGGGCCTTAGTAATGAGAATGGGGTTTCCGGGGGTTCATTATTCATATTATAGTATAATATACCCCAAACCCTATTCCAATTCTTAAGGCACTTACAGTATGGTGCCCTTATAGATCCCGTAAAGCAACCCTCATAGACCCCCTTAAGGAACTCTACTCTGATTATGAAGGCCCCTACACTCATAGGGATCCTTAGGGGTGTAGGGGGGAGGGGTGTAGGGGACTATATTTCCTTAAATAGGCCTTATTAGTCCTTATTATGGGCCTTAAGGCCCCCTACCCCCCCTCCCCCTACACCCCTAAGGATCCCTATGATACACCCCCTCCTGTGCGAATTGGCCAGGGACAGATCACGGAAGCAGCACCCACCTTCCCTTGAGGGCATATGGGTTTAGGGTTTATATAGGGTTTAGGGGCTGAGGGTGTTTTTGTAGGGTTTTAGGGGTTTAGGGTTTATATAGGGTTTAGGGGTTTTGGGTTTATATAGGGTTTAGGGGTCTTGCCCAGGAGCTTAATGTAAGTTTCCATAATACGGTAATCATATAGTTTACTATAGATCCTTATTATGGTAGCTTAAACTAACTCCCAGAAACCAGTTAAGTGCTTATGGCCATACACTGGGCCTTAATAACCTGAAACGGGCCTTGATGTACATTGTAGTGAGTAGTGTGCTTGGAGGTTCAGGGGACTTAGTAACCAGGGCTATAAGTAGGGCAGCTATAGTTATATCTACTTATGAAGGTACCTATAACCCCACTTACTAAGTCCTCTGATCCTGCCCAAACCCTAAACCCTAAACCCTAACCATATTGGAATGAAGAGCCATCAAGGCCATCAGTTGCAAGCTTCGATATGCCCCAAATCTTCCTCGCTTGTGGACATCGTTGCCAGCCATGCGAGAGGGAAAAAACCCTAACCTGATCCTTCAATCCAAGGGTAAAAGGAGGGACCCTTAATAAGGACCCCTAGGTATATACCCTTAATATAGCCATTATATACCCATTATTGGGTAGGGGTCCCTATTAAGGGTCCCTCCTTTTCCCCTTTGATTCAAGTCAGGAGAGGTGGGTTGGAAGCCTGGATCTCCAAAGCTCCAAAGCCACGCCGGGTCGAAATTCCAAGCCGTGAAGCTACCCCAAGTGCCTGAAGCCTGGACCTGGCGATGGAGCGCAGGTGTATACATGTATATATATATATATATATATATATATATATATATATATGTAAGTACATGTGTGTTTCTATTTTTGTGCAGGGAGAGAGAGAGAGAGAGAGAGAGAGAGAGAGAGAGAGAGAGGGGCTACTATACAGGGTTTAGCTTCTCAAACTATTCTCCAAGCACGAACTCCAGAGCCTTGAAGCTTGCGCCCGCAAGTCCAAAAACAAGCCCTTCGCACTTGGCCCATTAAGTCCTAGCCCTAACTGGGTGGTTGTCAAAATCATGATACCTTTTTGGGTCCCTGATATAGTACGGCAACTAATATTTAGAGTACCCCAAAAAGGGACCATAATTTTGACAACCACCTAACTCTGGAAGGAATTGGGCCTCGGCGGCTCCGTTCAGTTTCTCTGCCAGGATGCGCTGGAAGCCAATGTTTCCGAAGCAGGCATTCTGGGATTCAGGGTTTAGGGTTGAATGTACGTTACATGTAGGGATCGGAGAATTGGGTGTTTGGATTGACTTGAGCTCCGGGCTTCTTTGGATTTCGATTTCTCGGGTGCAGAGAAATTGGCTTCAGCTCTTGTGTCTGTGTACTTTCGAGTTTTCGTGTGGCTGCCCGCTATGGCTATGGCGGCCACGATTGCGATCACAAATTCGACGATCGAGGTGATGAGGGATGACGGCCATGGCGATAATTATGCTGATGTGGATGGCCTTTGTCATGACTGTGGCCCTAAAGCCTTAAACCCTAGTGGCGGTCAGAAGATGAAGGTTCCAAGTTGCGAAGAGAACGAAGAGACTAGAAAGAAGAGGTCTGCTTGTTCAGCGTCATGAGGACGATGGTTGCTTCGATGATGCTGCCTAGTGGCGAGATCCTTTTGATGATGATGATGATGGTAGTGAAACTTACTGATGGCGACAGTGTTCTTTAGGGCTGTGATAGCGATGAGGGCCACTGCTACCCAGAAGCACCACCACCAATATCGTCAACAGCATCAGCGAGACATGACTTCGTGTATTTCCTGACCTGAGAGGTCTGGTTTGGTTGAACACCTATGCTTGGCCCGCCGACATCAAGCGGCGTGCCTTCGGTGGCGCTCATGTTCCGAAGGTACAGGGTTCCCACCGGGTCACCTACCAAAAAGTTTGGGGGAGTTGACCATAACAGCAGCGCCATTTCTTCGGTATTGGCACGGCGGATGTCTTGCAACAACCGTCGCAGATATGTGCATTTCCTTGCACGGTTAACCGTTCCTTTCGTCGCCAAACCCCCTGACATTTCGTATTCTTTCAGCTTGCTTCTCCGTGCTTGTCCTGCTAGTTCTGCAGTGCGAGCACCGCTGCAGGTTGAATGATCAGGAGTAGTCGTCGTGTCGTCGTCGTCGTCGTCGTCCTCGTCCTGCAGTTCGTACTCTAGTCGTCGTCGTCGTCGCACTGGAAGCACCAGTATTTACTATTACTCCGACTCCTACTCCTACTGCTTGCTCTTGCTCCTGCTGCGACCGTTCTGCGACTGCTCCTGCCACCACCGCCACCACCACCACCACCACCACCACCACCACCACCACCACCACCACCACCACCACAACTACTCAACTTCCACCCTGAGGACCACTACGACTGCCACTACCACGACTACTTCTACTACCTTCTCCTCCCCCGTCCTGCACTGATGCGAATGATTTCATCTCAGTAACAGCCGTGCCAGCAGTACGGGCAGCAAGCATGAACATGATATGGGAGTTTCCGAAACTTGGGGGGGGGGGACCTTATTTTGGGTCCTTAAAATCACGATCCTACTATTTAAGGTGCTATATTTAGCGTCCCCTATTTTCGGAAACTCCCATATTATAAAGACGCTGCGCCTGACAGAGGTGCGGTTCAAAAGCTTCTGCAGGAGTTGCCGGAAGGCTCACAGGTTGTGAGCCGCTGGGCTGTAAAGAAGCTTCTGAAGGAGTTTCCTACTTTGCTATCAGATTTCAAGGAGGTGTGAAGCTTGATCCATGAACCAAAAGTTTCAATCGTCAAAGCTGTGTCACGCAATGTGGTCTAATACGTCTTATGGTACGTCAGGACGAACTTACTTGTGGCTTGCAGCAGACAGCCTCTCGCTGGCGCATGCCTTTGTTCTTACCTTTGGTTAGTAGGGAATGGAGGAATGGTATTAATGGTAGTTATAATTGTACCCCATTCCTCCATTCCCTACTAACCAAAGGTAAGTTTTTGGTAGGCCCCGAAACCCTGAACCTGCAGCTCAGGCTACGAGCCACTTCCGACGGAAGCCTTAAGCTTTCAGGCCACTTCCTTCGGAGCTTTCGGGTCTGTCTCTGTAGTTGAGATCAAGTAGTGAGTAATTAGTGATTAGAGTTTAGGGTTTAGTAGGATTCAGCTTAGGTTCCAGGGGTTTGGGGGGTCAGGATGTCCCAATCTTTAAAATAGCCAAGGGTTTACGACAGATACTAGCTTTTCTTCTTGGGGACAGGGCTTCGAGTCTGCTATTCCCGCAGAGGGCTTCCGGGTTTGCGGTTTTATGGTTCAGGGCCTCCAGATACTAAATCTTCTGGACGATAGATCATAGACCTATACGGCTTTGGGTTCAGAAGGGTTTCGAGCTTATGGCAGCGGTTCAATGTCGGATTCAACAGGCAGCACTCTGCACCGACATCTTTGTTGCTCACTCATTGGGTACGGCCCCCACTCAGTGATAGTTGACTGATATTCATAATATAGATATATTGGGACCTTAATAGTAGCCTTATTATAGACCCTTACTGTAAGGGGGCAGTACCTAACTCACTCATCGATGCCAAGCCCGCTGTTGTTCTACGGTCTCAGTCTGGGTCTCCCAGTAAGTACCTTTGTGCCCTGCTTATTCTTGGTTTCTCCTTCCTTTAAGAAAGCCGAAAAACAGGAAAAAGGTAGGCTTAGTCGTAGAGACAAAAACCCAGGCCTCATGACAGTCCCGTCTGTAGTCGTAAGGGGCTATTGGGGAACCTAGCTGTTTTTCTCTCAAGCTCTTCGATTGCAGTGCTGACATAGCGTTCGGTGTCCCACGCCCTTAAAAGCTACACTCTACACCCTAAGCCCCTAAACCCCTAAACCCGAAGCCCTAAGCCCAAAGCCTCCACCCCAAGCCCTACACCCTTCATGGTCGCCGTATGCAGGGCCGGAACCTTCACCTTCAGACAACCGTGAACCTGGAGGCCGATAAGGGGGTTTCCGAAATTTAGGGGTACATTATGTTGGGGTTCTCGTACGGATCCTACTATTTAGGGTGCTTATTATATAAGGGTCCCCTAATATGGTACAATACGATGTAGGAACCTGATTAAGACACCTGGCCCTATAACCCCCAAATAGTAGGATTCATATAAAGAACCCTAATAAAGACCCAGCGTTTCTTAAACAGGTTCCTACATTAGAGTCGCAGAGAGCCGGGAGAGTTTCAGAGGTAGGGTGCAGGGGTGCAGGGGTTCAGAGGTCAGGGTTTTAGGGTTCAGGGTTTAGGGTTTTAGGGTTAAGACTTGAGTCCTGTGGCAAAATAGGGTTTTAGGGCTTACTGTTTTAGGGTTCAGGGTTTAGTGGTTGATGAAATCAGCTCGACTCCTCTCCTTGCTTTGAAGAAGCCGGGGGAAAGGGGGACTCGTGCTGTAACCGGGCTGCTGGACAACGAGGCCTGCTGCAAAAAAGGGGAACCCTGAACCCTAAACCCTAAACCCTCAACCCTAAACCCTAAACCCTGAACCCTAAACCCTAAACCCTAAACCCTAAACCCTCAACCCTAAACCCTGAACCCTGAACCCTAAACCCTAAACCGTTTATGAAATCTTTCTGGATGCTTGGCCTGGGAGCACGAGTCGCTTGCTCACGAAGTGATAGTGGGTGAGGGTTGGCCCTGAAATCAATACGCCTTCAACCTTAATAAATGTAGTTCCTTAGTAATTGAAACAGGGTTTTTTGGGGTTCCTTTTTGAGAGTACAGCATAATACACCCCCAAGCCCAGTTTCTAATCATGAGGGCCCCTACACTAGGCCTGAGACCCGATCTGCAAAACTTCTGAGTCGAAGCTTAAGGCGAACAGGACGGGTTCTTCATATCAGGGCCCTTCCCTGAAATCCTTCTCTTGACATGGGGATTGGGGTTTAGGGTTTAGGGTTTACATGCGAAGAGCAGCGGAAGGCAGTGCTGGCAGTCATCAAGTCCGGTTTCAAGAAAGGGTTTACATGCGGATCTTACACTTTTACCCTATATATAAGTCCCAAATGTGAGTTTCCGAAAACAGGGGACCCCAATTTGGCACCCTGAATAGTAGTACCCTGATTAAGTATAAGGACTCCAAAATAGGTACCCCGAATTTTTGGAAACCCCCAAATCTTTTCAAGCCGCTGCAACCTGCAAGGGTCTTAGACTCCTTGAGCCTCAACCGGGCGGAGTCACATGAAGCTCAGAAAGAGTACGAATCTAGTATCCCTTTATTATAGTTCCCTTATAGTCATATGATATCATAGTAAAATCGTATACTACTAGTATATCATCCCCTTATAGCTCCCTCAAAGTCATAGTGAAATTCCTGGCTCCGTGTCAGACCCACCAGCCTGTAGCGCTTAAACTCACGCAAATCGATGACAACCTCCTCTTCTTAAGGGCCCTTAGCAGTTCTGTAGAGGCTTCAGGATTTAGTGCCGTTTAGGGTTGTGCTACAAGGCCACGCAATCATGCGGTTTCACGGTATATAGTTGATTGAAGATAAGCCAGCCCGACATTTCAGAAGACCGAGAGACACCACCCGTTTCGCAGGTGCCAAGCACTATACTAGTTAAACCTCGCTCAACTTGGTCGAGTGCGAGTGCCAAGAAACCTTACAAGTACCAGTAGCTTGGTAGAAGCGCTTGGGGGAATAATTGCACCTGTAATGATAGCGAGAAGAAGCACTAACATCTGAAACCCCGGCATGAAACAACCCTAACCACACGTAAAGGCAGCAGAACATCCGATGTTGTAGTATTTGCTGAAAGTTACTCCCCTTGGGCCCTTTGATTACCAGCATATGCTCGAAGCCCTACAGTAAACTCCATAAAGTTGGAAACCGGATAAAGGCCAACTAGTGCTGGGATTCCCTATAAATTGCTCTTAAGGATTGAGGCTGTTGGGTTTCCAACTTCTTGGCTTCTACTGTATATAGAACCCTTATAAATCTCTTTAAGGAACCCTTCTGGATCCCTTCAAGGAACCCTTACAGTATAGATCCCAAAAAAGGAATAGCTGCTGTGGAGTTGTGAAGGCATCTTGGGATCCCGACCTGACGGCGCAGGTCACCCGTCTCCGCTTCTGAGCTTTAGGGTTTGTCGAGTTTAGGCGCTTTGGGTTTGGGGTTGAAGTTTTTGGGGAATTGGCCCAAAATGTACCCCCAATGGGGGTACATTTAGGGCTTGCGGGTTCAGGGGTTTCGGCTTTAGGGTTGTCGGGTTGTGGTCAAGTGTTCGTCCTGGCGGAGTCGCAGCAGGCCAGTTGCAAAAGGGTTTTCGGGTTGACGGGCTTAGGGCAGGCTTGATGATCCGTTTCGGGTGCGGTGCATAGGGGCCTGGAGGGCACGTCGGCCCGCAGTGCAAGCAGGAAGCATCTTCGGGCTCGTCTGGATGATGATGAGGCCTATCATTGAATCTCTGTCTGGGGTGACAAGTCATAGGGACCCTTAGGGGGGAGGGGGGTAGGGGACTATTTTTAGGTCCTTATTATGAGCATTAAGGCCCCCTACCCCCCTTCCCTCTACAGTACCCCCCCTAAGGGTCCCTATGAACAAGAGTCATGTTGTAATTGTTCCTCCTGGGATACTGTCCAGAAGTTTGTGGGATTACTCAGTGTCCTTGACAGATTTGTCGTTAGTAAGAGAGAGGGTTGTGTCCTCGGGTTCCCCCTTTGGGCGTTAGGACCACAATCTTGTAGAAGTTCGGGTATTGGTACCCTACACCCTCACACCCTGAACCCTAAGTCCTACCTCGATTCGCATGTAACCTTCGTTTTACGAAACCCAGTTTCACTCTTTCGGGAGCCTCGTTGGTTTACGCCATTGAATATAGTGGTCGGACTAGTGAGTAATAGTATCCCCTTTGAGTCCGTAATGTGCCTGTAGTATGAAGAAATATCACCCAAAACCATATTCTAATTAGCAAGACCCCCACATTGCCTAAAGCACGAAACACCGAGCCAGAAGCTGCATATTCGCCATGAAGCTGAGGTGTATCGCCTGGAGGAAGAGAAAGAGACCGATCGCCCACGTTTCGGCCGGGGATTTAAGTTCCAGAGCTTTTAGTTAGGGGTTGAGGGGGTTTAGGCCATGTACAAGTTACAAGTCTGCGCAAGAAGGGTTCAGTTGCAATTGGGTTCAGGGTGTTGGGGTGCAGAGCTTTGGGTTTAGGGGTTTAGGACTTCACGGGTTGATGCCCATTGTAGGCAAAGGAAGTCTTGCTGGGCTTTGGGTATAGGGGTTTAGGGTTTGGGGGTTTAGGTTAGGTTTTAGGGTTGAGGGTTTACATACGCAATTCGTCTAGCGTGAAGCCACGCAAGTCCGACACCCTAAACCGGGTTATAGAAGGCCAGGTGAGCATGCCTCCCATCCGTCTGGGTCCCTGAAACCCTGAACTCCCACTTCCTAAACTTTGGCCCTAAACCCAGGCCTCTGACCCTAGTCGAAATAATCTAAGGTCCCTGAAGCCCCGAACCCAAGGTCACTGCAGACCGAAACTGAAGCCCTAAAGCCCTGAGTTTGATTAGGCACCGATGTGGTCAATAAGAAAGCAGCGCTGTCCGGGGTTTTTGGTTTAGGGGTTTAGTGGTTTTGGGTTTGGAGTTTGGGGGTTTAGTGGTTTCGGGTTTGCTTCGTATGGGGGTTTAGTGCTTCTGATTTTGGGGCTTTAGGGGTTGAGACTGACCCGGGTTCCTTGCAAGAAGGGTGTGGGGCCAGGCTGAGGGGATCCTGGGCTGACTTTGGGGTTCCGGCCCAGATCTAGGAAAGTGTGAGATGCTTGCAGGACCGACAAAGTTAATGTAGAAGCCTTAATTTCAATAATTAGAATTGGGTTTTGGAGGTTCTTTTTATAGTTATTATAGCACAGTATGCCCCCAAACCCTATTCTAATTGTTAAGGCCCTTGCGTTGGGATTGAGGGTGTTCTGCTCTTTGGTGAAGCTGCGCCCCCCTGGATCCAAAACCTGGGTTAAGAAGCCGGGATTTTGGCTTCTGGAGGACAGTTTGCTAATTCATGGGACTCGCTTGCATGCACTGCACAGCCATTTGTTGGTCGAGTCTCACTTGCGCAATGGTTGGCCTAAGTTGGCCTGCAGAAGCCTACATGGCATCTTCAAGTTTATTGTATGTCACATTCTGCAGGATACCTTGTCTTGCTTTGCAAGGTTTCGCCGAAGTCTCGATATGTTGCAAGTTGTGAATTTTCAGAAACTGTGGGACACTAGTTGTTACATGGGCTCTATCTAGTAGCATCCTCGTTGTAAGGACCCTTGAACAGCGTATCTTCATTTCAAAAGGCCACACAGTTGAACTCCGGCTGAAACCCCGACCCCTCGGGTGCTCACTCCGTCCCAAAAGATTTGATCCTCTGACACAGCGGCCCTCCAGGGGTCTGAAGAATTACCCAGAGGCCCCAAAGTAGTTCCTTTTTGGGGATTACCTTATAGGATTCTAGAAACGAGCCCCAAAGAGGAACTACTTTGGGGTCTTTGGGTAATACAAAGTATGAAGGCTCCAGTATTATTCCTGACGAAGACAACATACACTCACACACCATCCCTGCCTGGACTTATCCCAGCCATGGCCCGCATGCGGGGGCGACGAGGGGCCGCGCGGCAACAGTTGTAAGTTTACTTTGCCGGAGCTTCTCGGAGACTTCATGGTTCTACAGAGGCTAGCTGCTGTATGTTCTTCACAGACTGGAGACCTGAGATACGTGCGAGTCGAAACCTGGGCCCTAAACTCTAAACTCTGGAGCGTAAACTCTAAACGCTAATAAACACTAGAAAAGAACCCTGAACCCTGAACCCTAATGTGGGAAACCACATAATCCCAAAGCCTCTCCTACAGACTGACCCCAGAAGAGTGAGCTCCTAGGCTAGCGCACGGACCTTGGGCTCACGCCGGGGGTTTTTGAGAGCTTCAAAACAGTGCTCCCGAAGCTGCTATGCCAGATCCTGCTGGGTGCCGTCTCCATTTCCTAGCACAGATTTTGTTCTTCAGAGCCCTTGCGCCTGCAGGTTGTCCAAAAACCTGCTGCCAGCCCGAAAGGCTTAGACCTTCGTTCCGGTTCACTCATGAGTTTGGGGGAGGTTGCGGCCGGGGCGTGGATGCGCTCTTAGTTTAAACCCAACCACCAGTCGCAGCCTTCTGTTTTCCTTGGTCGGGTTGAGGATTACTTTACAGGATTGACTAGGGTGTCTGGGTTTAGGGTTAAAGGTTTGCGATGCTCTCATAAGGTCTCCGTTCATCGTCGCGCCTTTTGCCAGGTGAGCACAATGATCATTACATCGTGTTAAGGTAATTCAATGTCTTCGTAGCAGTCGAGAACCTAGATATCATACATTCTAAGCGTTGACGTGGACTCTTGTGGCATGACGTTCATCCATAAGCGTGGGCCTTGTCGCTTTAGGCACCCCTTGGCCTGCTGCTGGCACTGGGTGCTTTCCTGGCATCACAGCGTGCAAGGACGCCGGGTCGAATTTCATTTGGGTGGTTGTCAAAATTAGGGTCCCCTTTTTTGGGGTACCCTAAATTTTTGGGTGCCGTGTTATATTAGGGTATCTTTTTTGGGTACCCTAAATATTAGGTGCCGTATTTTTTTAGGGACCCAAAAAGGGACCCTAGTTTTGACAACTACCCATTTTTGCTACGGAGTGACTGCAACCCAAGGCCTGGGGGACTCGAGGGATTCTGGGCTGGGAGTGCCCGGGAGCCAAAGTATATAGGTGCCTTAGTGCTTAGATTAGAATAGAGTTTTAAGTTTCGAAATATATCATACTACAAGTATAGGGGCCTTATTGCTTAGATTGGAATAGAGTTTTAAGTTTCGAAATATGTCATACTACAAGTATAGGGGCCTTATTGCTTAGATTGGAATAGAGTTTTAAGTTTCGAAATATATCATGCTACAAGTATAAACTGATTATTCAGACCCCTGCATTGGCACAACCGTGAGGGTGGGCTGAGACAAAAGACGTGGTGATGTAAAGGGGCCTTGTGAATCGCCAGCTCTAGCCGATCGTGAATCTGCGAAGCTTACACCCGAAACCCTGACACCTCGCACCTAGCCGTAAGCCGTCATGCTGTCATCCCAAATCTTCCTCGCTTGTGGACACCGTTTCCAGTCATGCGAGAGAGGACAAAAGCCCGAAACCCTAAACCCTGAGCTGGCTCAATGAGGCTCTCAGGCGATGTAGAAAGAGGCCTTCGGACAAAAAAACCTACATAAACCCGACAACCGACACCGTAAATCCCAAGTCCCAGTCTTTCCTTCGTCCACGCGCCGCGGCGTCTGGGCACAGCGCAGTCTGCCGGCTCCGCCGTGCTGGACACAGCAGCTTGGCTTGAGGACCCTTGGTTTTGAGGGTTTGGGATCTCAGGCGGTAGGGTTTCCTAGTAGTCGAGCAGGTATCCTTTAACCTTTCTTGGGTAATATAATTCCTATATAACCACAAAGGTTAGCCTTCCTAAACCCTGAACCCTAAACCCTAGATCCCCATGATACCCGACAAGTAGGGTTTAGGCCAGTGTAGGACTGATAGCTTTGGATTAGGCCTACTTGGAGGATCATGGGACTTAGTAACTATAGTTATAAGTCCGTTAATTGGGGTTATAAGTAATAATAAGTATAGTTTACCCCAATAACCCTAGTTACTAAGTCCCATGATCCTTTAAGTAAGCTTTTGAATCTTGGGGTTCTGGGGTTTTGGCGTTGGAGGTTTTGCGGGTTTAGGGCTTTGCGCTTGCAGAGCCACCAATCTTTCGACGTCCTGTAAATGGACGGGTTCTTTGGTCAGACCAGTTCACGAACCTGGGGTGGCATGAGCTCGAAAGGGTTGAATCTGCAGCTTCTAGCGGGATGGATCGACTGCCGCAGGTTCGGAGGAGTTGTTGTGGCTCTCTTTGCCCATCTTTACCCAACGCCGTGAACCTTAAACCCTTGACCCTAATGGGGCCTGGCTCCCAAACCCCCCCCCCCCCCCCTCCGACCTCGAACCCTAGACTTTTCTCCCTTGAGCCCCAAAGTCTCTTGGCCCATACCGATCCCCGATTCGAAGGCTTCCGCTCGATGTCCAGATCTGAGGCCACGATTCTGCAACTTCCTTCAGGGGCGCATGCTGCTACCGAGCAGGCGCCCGTGCTTTGTCGCTGCTTTGGGTTGAGGGGTCGGGGGTTTAGCAGGATTGGAGGGCTTCGCGTGAGGTGAGAAACGGCATTGAGGGTTCAGTTTAGGTGTTTGGACTTTGGCGGTTTATGCTGTAGGTCTTGGTCGTCTTTGGGCTTCAGTCTACATGCGTTCGTTCAGAGCCGCTTCGATGTGCTGTCGGTAGTCGGTGTAGGTTTCAGAACGCCATGCGTTCAAATTTCGTCGCTGTGCCAGTATATTTCAGGTGAGCCCCACAGCATCCTTTGGCATCTCAGCAACTCTCGAGCTACATCAACCAAGCTTGTATATTGTTATGATGTCTTTAAAACCCTCAAAGTGCTAACATCCCAAAGTCTGCCTTTGCCCGAAGCCTCCCCCGTAAGGCTAATCTAACTCTACCACAATAGATAAAATTTACCCCGAAGCCTTCTTCTAATTGTTAATGAAGCCTGTTATATGAACTTTTAAACCCTAAACCCTAAACCCTAAACCGGTTTCTGGGTCGAGGCAGTGCTTGATTTCTTCAACGTGACCCTGGATCGTGGCCTTTCGGAGGAGCAGGTGCCCTGGTGTCAACATAGCTAGAGGGGTCTTTGCAATTCGTGTATTCGCGCTTCGCCTCCTGACTTTCTCGCCTGCCGTTGCGTTACCTTCACTACCAGTTACTAGTAATGTTGACCCCTGATTAATAAACCCCCCCCCCCCCCCCCCCCCCCCCTCAAGGTTGTCAAGGTCGCAGGCCCCCCACAGGAAATAATCCCGTGAAGCCAAATTGCAGTAAACAGTGGTGCTAGTAGTAGTAGTCGTAGTAGCAGCAGTAGTAGCAGTGGCAGTAGCAGTAGCAGTAGCAGTAGCCCTTGAAAGAACCGCTTGAAAGAGAACAAGACGCCCTTTAAATGTAGTCTTGCCCCCTTTAAAAGTAGTCTTCGAAGCACTTTTTGAAATTTTAGATCCCCAGACGGTGTTGCCTTTAATCGTGGGGGGTTTTCTGCAAAAAACGATCCTTATTTGGGTGCTGCCTTTAAAGTAGTACAGATTGGGGCCGGAGCCGCCCGCAGGCCGCCTTTAATCGTAGGGGGATTATTAATCCTAGGTCAACATTAGCTGAGTAGGTGGACTGAGTAGCTCCACGCTGAAGTATACTCAGGTTCAGGAAGGAATGACAAAACGACCACGGCCCAGTGAGCCAATGGTTGCGGTGTTGGGTAGTATTTGTAGGGAGTCTGAACCCTTCTTCTGGCTCTCTTAAAAGGGGCCTTGTTGAGAGGGTCTATATCCCCAAGGGTCCCCCTAATCCGAACTCCCAGGTATGGGTGTCAGGTTTTCAAGCAGGCTGTAGATCTGGACTGGGGTTCAGAAGCCGGTGGTTCAGATACTATAGATGGGTAGTTGTCAAAATTATGGTCCCCTTTCGGGGTACCCTAAATGTTAGGTGCCGTATTATAACAAGGACCCAAAAAGGGACCATGATTTTGACAACCACCCAGATGTCTAAATGACTGCTGGGTACACTAGTGGCACTCCTGGAACGGGGCAGGGGCTGTGGTTTGACCTCGTTTGGATACAAGCCAAACCCTAAACCCCAAACCTAAACCCCTACGAAAAAACCTCTAAACCCTAAACCCTAAAACCCCTGAGTCCTATACCCCTAAACCCTAAACCCCTAACCCCCTGAACCCTAAACCCCTAAACTCTAAATCCAAGCCCGTCACTTTGGACATCCGGCGAGGTCGCAGAGCAAAGGTCCGTCTTCGGATGGAACCAGCTGGCGGAGCAGGAGTCGTGTTTGGGTTTAGGGGTTTAGGGTTTAGGGTTACCTTTTACCGACTGTTACGAGGCACTTGGACAAATCCGGTACTACATGGGGTTTCGACTATAGTATCAACATCGTGTTTTTTTCTATTTTTGATTGGCAGTCGTCTTGTCCTTCTTCTTGTTGCCGCTGCTGTTGGCGCTTCTGTTGTTTGCAGATTCTGCTGCCATACTGACATGGCGGGGGTGTTGATGTGAATGAGGACGTCTAGCTGACACGTTGTTTTTGCACATGATGGCAATGGTGATGATGATGACGATGATAACGATGATGACAACGATGACCGTGACGAGGGTAATGACGGTAGTTTTGGTGATGCTTCTATGCGGGTTGACGACGACGGTAATGGTGATGGTGACGGTGTTTGCCGTCCTCGTAATCGTCATCATCGCCAGCAGCATGAGCTTCCAAACCCGGACGGCTTTGTCGGGAGAATCCTAAAACCTAAACCCTAAACCCCTAAACTCATTCGAAGCTGTCCGGGAGAGGCAAAGAAGACGCTCTGGCAGCTCGTCCTGGAACAGTTCGACGACCTTCTCGTCCGGATCCTTCTCCTGAGCTTCAGCTGAAGAAGAGCACTTTCCCAGCTCATCGATGCACAGTTTGCTTATTAAGACTAAGTCTTGCATAATTAGTTAGTGAGCTCAATCCAGTAGTCATGTAGTCATGTTAGCTGACGATTCCCAGCTGATGCCGGGTTTGAGCCTGGGTTCACAAGAGCTCAGTCCATTGGTTTATGATTGCTGTAGTTCTTAAGTGCACAAACCTGAAAGCCAGAGTCCCGATCAAGGTCTGCATTCGTGTCCTTCCTCCTGGCGTACTTCAATTCTGAACAGAAAGAGGAAGGCGCAATGCAGGGTCTGAGCAGGTTCTCCGGCCTACCTGAAACTTTTTCGTACATTACATCCTTAGAGTCCAGAATACCACAAGATCTTGGTTCAATTGTGCCAAAATGTACCCCAAAACCCGTTTCTAATCACAAGCGACCTTGTATAACGCACCACTAAACCCTAAGCCTTAGTCCCTAACTTGTAATTGTAGCCGGCGGTGCTCATCTGTTTCCTTTGAGGGCCCGCTCTGTCGTGAGCGGCTGGGCGCTCAGGGCCTGTGATTTCACGCGTAGATGTGACATAGAATTTTTCAGGTCTCGATTCGATTAGGAACGAAAGGGGCCTGAGCCTTGATAACGAGAACAGGGTTTGAGGTTTTAGGGTTTTCTAGACATGTTTTGCCTTTGCCCCTCATCGAAAGCTTGAGAGAGCGATGAAATCATACTGCTGGAGGCACTTCAGAGACACCTCGTTCGAAAAAGGGGGTAGAATAGAGTATAGAACGGTAGAGTAAGCATGTTCGGGACTTTCAAGGGGCACGCCCACAGCTAGTGGTAACCGTGTTTCCTGGTTCCTGCAGGCTTATCGGCTTATGTCGAGCCTCTGGTGATCTTGCTGATCCTTGCCATCAATGCGGCCTGGTCCGGAAACTGGACACCTTACCCTCAAACTGGTAAAAACCCAAACTCCTTGTTTATTGGAACGGCTCGCCGAGTTTACATACACGAGCAGTGAGATTTTCCGAAAATGGACTCGAGGATGCTACCCTTTAAGCCACAACTTTACAACTTGTAAGTCAAACTCTGAACATCGTTAAATTTTAGCCCCAAATTCATAAGGGGTGCTTTGAACGACCCAGTGCTCTCTTTCGACACCAGGCCTAACTCTTCATTTTATATTTTTTCTGATAAGGGTACCGTCTTTCGCGGGTCGGGATCCGAAAAGGGTCTCTTATTCTACCTCCTCAACAGATCTTGATTGTTGGTTTCCAGAGCAGAGGGAGGTTATGACTCGCCCCAAAAAATCACGAAGAAACGCCTGCTGGTCTGGATTGATGTAGATCCTCCGATTCTGAAATGCGAGCCTTCCGTGTAACTTCGGTCATGGATGTATATGCTTATCGTCACATCGGGAGCCTTTCTTTCGTTCTGCGGGATGAGGCGTTGAGGGTTAAGAGGGCTCAAGCGAATTGAGCTATGCAGACAGCCCTTTGGGCATTGGAAGCCGAGGGGCAGGGAAGAAGCCACGCCAATGGTCGTGTCCTGTCCACGAACCAAACCCTAAACCCTAAACCTAACCCTAAACCCTAAACCCCTCAACCCTAAACCTAAACCCCTAAACCCTAAAACCTGAACCCTAATAGCCTAAATCCTAAACCTAGCGAACTCTGAGACTCTGCCGGCAAACTTGGTCCAGGATTTTCATCTAAACCCTTAGACTCGGAATCCGAGTCTAAAGCCCGCAAGAGACCCCTGGAGCCCCAGACCCTACCCCTTGAAGCCCCTGACGCCTTAGTTAGACAGCCTAAACTCCACACTTAAAGCCCGAAATATTTGTCTGCCAGGCTTGCGTCGGCGTGTGGCAGGAATCGAACGCGGAGAAGGTCTGCCGACGGTTTGGGTTTTGAGGGTTGGGAATTTTCCGGGTTTATACAGTCCATAAACCCTAAACCTCACCCTAACCTGTCGGTGTGATCGCTTGTGCTCCCGCATTCAGATTTCGCGCGCTGTTTCTGCGGGTGCCTACCCTGTACAATCCTGTATGCATGTCATAATGCTCCTCCCTGAGGGTTTCTTTAACACTAGGGGTACCGGCTAATTTATTCAGGGGGTCCTCACGAAAGCAATCCTGCGAATCAGGGTTGTGTCAGGGTCCGCCGTTGCTGAACCTCCCATCCAGATTATGCAACTCATCCGGGAACCGAATTTTGCACCTCCCCTGTGTCATGTGTGCTTTGCGTGTGAGATCTCGGGCTCCTGCCCGCCGATCTCGGCTTACCCAATAAAGACCCTCGATTCAAAGCCCCTTGAAGGACCCAGTATATAAAGGATTTCTTAGAGAACCCCCTAAAGGACCCCTTAATGGCCTACGCTCTGCGGCGCAGTGCCCTCTTTGATCGGTCCTCAGGAACAGTTCGGGCCTCTGAGCCCTCAGCCCTAGATGCCGAGCAGAAACTGCAGTGTAGGAACCTGATCAAGAAACCCTGGTCCTATAATCCCAAAATTAAAATATCAGGATCCATATAAAGAGGCCTACTAAAGATCCGAGGATTCTCAATCAGGTTCCTATATGAGTGAGTTTCCGAAAATAGGGGACGGTATATAATATAGCACCCTAAATAGTAGGATCGTTACCATAAGGCCTCCAAAGTACAATACCCCTAATTTTCGGAAATTCCTACATCAGCAGAAGTGCAGCGACCAGGCTCTCGACTCCCTCAAGAAGCAGCTTGGCGAAGCCTAGTTGTGAAGGGGCTTTGGGGTTTCAGGGTTTAGGCTTCAGGGTTTAGGGTTTAGGCTTTTGGGTTTCGGCTTTAGGGTTTAGGGTCTGCAAAACGGTTTAGGGTTTGGTGGCTTCAGCATAGGAGATTGCATAATCATTACTGGTTGGAGTCAGAATACGGCTTCGCGTGTGTTGGGTTATACGAGGAGGGGTCAAAGACATACCAAATTCCAGTTGGCTTGGAGATTCAACTCTGGCGTGTGTTCCGGATCTCAAGTAGGTATTACATATTTTCCGATGCTCTGCCGCAGGGTTCCTCAGTATGTACTGAAGTATACCCTGTACACCCTGTTCTAACACTGTTCATGTCCTGCGCTTACATGAGAAGTCCTTCCACGTTCTGGTGTCGATGGAGCAGCATTCGTATCACGCAGGCATTTGTGCTCAGTTGTCAGGGCCGTCTACCAAGAGGTGGTTTTGCCCTAAGCACCCCGGCATGATCTCACCGGTTGCGATGCGTGGCCTGTGCGCGGTTGGCTTGATTGTCTCAGCCTACGCCGACTCGACCTTCAGCAAGGTGAAGGCTCGAGGGATTTAGATGGGCAGGTTAGGCAGGCTTTAGGATGCCTCTCAGAGGGCTTGGTGGATTCAGGTGCGCGGCTCTGCGAGTGCCATCATGGCGGTACAAGTAGGAACTCCAAGCTGTGCTTGAGAATGGCTGCTTGTGGCCAGTTGGTCAGATCCTAACCCTGCTCTGTGTTGTATCAGAGCTTTGCCAGCAGTCACAGTGAATTCTTCCCGCTCTGCCGCGGAGCGACCGTGCAGCTATGTCCCGGCTATCGGCTAACTCCTAGGAGCTCCGAAACGGGACCCGGTATGCGTGCGACTTCCCCGGGAGTCTCGTTTGTAGTATATCTAATAGTCGGGGGACTGTAACGGGCTAGCTTCAACATTACGACCCCTGAGTTAGAAACGCCCGTGAAATGGGATCCTTTTAGAGCCCTTTTTCGGAACACCACGCTAAACCCTAAACCCTGATTACCTGATGAACTAGTACATAAATACACATCCTATGCATCGTGCATGCGTGCATGGATACATACATTTGTATTTCTTTGCACATGCACACATACATTCTTGGATGGTTGTCAATATTATGGCCCCTTTTTGGGTACCCTAAGTAATGGGTAGCGTGCTATAATAGGGACCCAAAAAGGGACCATAATCTTGACAACCACCCATTTGTGTATCACGAACCTGCAACATGAAGCAGAAGATGCTCGATCGAGTCAGGCGCAGCTCGAGGCGAACGTCACCCTGCGACTGGGCTGCCCGTGAAGAGGTTTGGGTTTAGGACATAGATGTGTCCGTGTAAAGTTTAGTGCTTCGGGGTAGATCTGAAGAATGGCAAGTATAAGCAGGGCTAGCAAGAGCAGTAGTAGAAGAAACCCACCACAGAAGAAGGGTCACAAGAACAAACATCACAAACCATTAGACGACAGCAAGCAACAAGAGCAACGCCGACAGCAAACGCAATGCCCATCGCAAGAGTACTATCAGCATTACCATCGACATCATCATGATCATCCTCATTACCATCATCACTGTCATCACCAAGGCCATCACAATCGTCATCATAATCGTTATTTCGTTGTCAACATTGCCACCGAGCACCATACTAGCGCTTGAGGCCCTAAGCCCCACTTAGTCAGGCCCAAGCAATCGCTCGAGAAGATCCCCGCGAACCCTGAACTCGGGGCTTCAGAAAGCATAGGGGACACCAGCCGCAATCCAATCCTACATCCACCAGCATAGGCCGCTATAGAGCCCTCGTATGGAAGCAAGCAGAAAACACCTCACACAGGTAGGTCCTTAGACCTTATGCCCTAAACCCTAAAGCCCTAAAGCCCTAAACTCCAACACCCTAAAACTCTAAAACCCTAAACCCTATTAAACCCTTAAAGTTCAGGAGCTCCAATGGCGCATGGCATATCGGTGGTTTCTGCTTCGGCCAGGGCACGGAGGAGTCGACGAAAGCCGCAGAGATCAGGGCCCACGTGACGTGGGAAACTGGGCTCCCGCAGATTTTGAAGATTTAGGCTTTAGGCTTTTAGGTTTAGGTTTGGGGTTCAGAAATTTATGGTTTAGGTTTAGGGTTTAGGTTTAGGGTTCAGAAATTTCTGGTTTAGGTTTAGGGTTTAGGTTTAGGGTTCAGAAATTTAGGGTTTAGGGTTTGGGTTTCGAGTTTAGGTTCAGAGTTCAGAAAGCTTTGGACGGTTCAGACTAAACGCGCAAAGCGAAATCGCTGCGTTCTGAGTCCAGTCTGACATATGACCGAGTCCGTCGGAGAGACAGAGAGAGAGAGAGAGAGAGAGGGCTTGGTTTAGGTTTCGGAAATGTAGAGTTCCGGGGTTTAGGGTTGGGAGAGAGAGAGAGAGAGAGAGAGAGGGTTTAGGGGTTTAGGGTTTAGGGTTTAGGGGTTTAGGGTTTAGCGCCGTCACGACTTACTCTGAGAGTCTTACGCTCCCTTCAACCCGACACGAAGTTTCACCGAAGGAAGGCCAACGAGGTTTGAATGAGATGGGGCCGGTGAAGCTCGTGGCTTTCGATGCAACGGAGCAGCGTTGGGGTTCCGTGCGGGACACTTGGGGGAACCTTGGGCATGCATGTCTGAGTACATCTGGTTGTTTCTGCTTATATACCTTTGTCTCAGGTGTAAATAAATACAAATCTGTAACCTAACTAATGTGGCTAGTGTCAACACTGTCCTCATATGTCATCATTTGATGGACGGCTCTTGATAGTGACAGCAGGTCCCCAACAAGAAAGCGGTGTCGCAACTGCTGGGTTCCTGTTTTACATGTGGTGAAACTAACATTCGGACGTTTGGACGATTATTTTCTGCTTTTACTTTACGAAAGGGTTCAGCTCAAGGGTTTTGCGTCGTGAGGTTTACCTTCTCGCTGCTGAAACTGAGCATGTTTGTGTGCTTAGGCTTTGGAGCTTTTCGGCTAAGGCGGCTTCAAAACCCTAAACCCTAAAGCTTAAACCCCAGAATTCAAAAACGGAACCAGCACTCTTGAAAGCCTGAGATCTGCTCCTCAGCCCAGCCCGAATCACGAGAGGGGGAAGCAGAGGGGTTTTGAAAATTAAGGAAAGAGGCCTGTGAGGACAAGATCGACTCTGCTAACATGGTGCGCCTGCTCAACAAGACCAAGGTCAAGTTCAACTTCCGCATCAAGGTGCACCAGACTTTTGGCTGCAGGGTGTGGTGCGAACAAAGTCTTGCGGCGGTGTGAGTGGTGGGAGCTGTGGGGGTTGCGGTGTTTTCCCTGTCTGATTGCAACCTGGTACTCTGTACGCTTCCGCTGTCTTGTCGCGGTCGTTATGCTCCAATCGTCTACGGCACGCGCGCGTGCGCGCGCGTGTGTGTGTGTGTGTGTGGCGCCTCCAAGGACCAGCTCCCCTCGCGACTGGCACTTCGCACTCTTGACATGTGGCGAGGTGGAGGAAGCACCCTTAGTGCTCACTTTGGAGGCGACGAAGGGCGCCATGAACATGTTCGCGGCCAACTCCAATTTCGATTCCACTAGCTGTCCCGTCACGAATATGTCTTGGTTCGCAGCTGCCAGTGACGATGCAGGGTTTTGGATCCTCCTTGTGGGGGCCCTCTTGCTGGGGGCTTGTTCGGTGTTGTGCGTAGTGTTGTGCCGGCAATTTCGTGGCAAAGGGAAGGAGGAGGCGAGCAGCCTTCAACTTCCTTCTCCGGCAGTCAGTGGTGCGGAACCCGTCATCGGCAGGCCTTGCGCGGCAGTTGGGGAGGAGCCCGTGCAAAAGGCAACTCTCGTCCCTGAGCCTCCCCGAAGCCATTCCATGTCGTCAGACTGCTGCATCCCTGTAGGAGAAGATTGTGGACGGCCAGATCAGAGCCAACCCGCAGCTAAGTGAGGCAGCCAATGCCAACAGCTCCGAGCTGGCATCTCCTGAGAGCGATGTCTAGTTTCTAAGTCTTATCTCGTAAAATGTCCCGAGTGAACCTGGGACCCTCGGAGAGGGCAACCCGGTGCGTGCACATAACGCAGGAGCCTCAGAAAGTAGATGCAGTACGGGAACATTAGTGGTAAGTATTCCGGCCCCTATTGCGTTATAAGGAACTCGAGCTCCAGTGCACAGGGACTAAGGTGGTGAAGGAACTCGCCACCCTCGCCGTAGATCGTCCGGCATTGGTGTGGCTCAGCTTCTTAGTTTTGTGTTACAGTGGACCGTATCATCCTCCGAACACGGAACGCTATCGACGAGCAGTAGTTGTTTTTTCCATACTTTCGGAGCTGCTGGCCGGGTCCGCGTACGCGGTGACAAGGCGGAAAGCGGCAAATGGCTGCATCGGGTTTTCCCTTTGAAGATATCGATCTGCCGCATCCAGTGCTTTCTTTTAGAGCATGGTAACTGCGGCAGGTTGCATTTTTCATTCGTTCTAGACTGTGGTTGTGCTCGTGTCTCTCCCTTCGTTTTTGACGTTGCGGAGGACACCTGCCGTGACCGGGGTCAATGGCTATGGTTCTTGGTTGCTTTGATAGCACCTCGAGTTGCATGCCGACCAAACCCTAAACTGGGCTTCGTGTGAGGCCTCTTGGCGTGAAGAAGATATTTCCTTGGCACGGGCTGTTTTGTGAGCTCTGCGCGCTGATGCCTGTTCATGTTTCTGAGTTGTTCTATTGACTCGCTGTTGCAGTAGTTCAGTCTTGGGCGTATTCTGTCTGCATGCCTCAGAAAGAACCCCTCAAATCCAACGATCATGAGGAACGACTAAAGAAGCTTCAAGTTTCTGAAAGACTGCGTTGAATCAGTCTAGATTCAAGGCTATGTACGAGTTATCACTGTTCCAGGGTTTGGGGTGCTGACTGAGTTCGTCACACAACGCGAAATCGCGAATCCTGGCCATACGAGAGGGAAGAAACCCTGCATCCTAAAAGCCTGCACCCCTATCAGCCCGAAGCCCTGCCTGCAAAACGCAAGAGGTGCAATCCTTTGCCTCAGGCTCAGGTGAGAGCTTGCTTCAAATCCGAGCGCCCTTGTGCAGGATCCTCATACTAAGGGATGAAGGTTTATCGGGATTTTAGGGTATTGAGAGGTTTTGAGGTATGGGGCTGAGGTTAAGGTTCTTAGCATTGAAAATCCCACTTAAACCCCTAAACCCCTAAACCATGTCCGAGTTGTGAGAGCGTAACCCGTAAACCCTAAACCGTAAACTCGGCCACTTGAAGTCCCATGCTGGAGAGCCACACGGCCGACAGATGGACAGTGCTATTGGGCAGACATCCGGCATCTGTCGTTGAGAAGGGTCGCAGGCAGGTCGCGCCACTGCTTCATCCTTCTAGGGACTTGTGGCTACTGCTCTTTCTTTTCTGTCGGAGAGTCGACAGAAGATCTGATGGTGACTGCCTTTCGAGAGTTTTGGGGCATGCTTGACAGCACCTTGTACTGCCTCACTGCCTCAAGCCGCAAACCTGAATAACTGAATCCGAAAGCTTGGCTTGAAGGTAGGACAGCCCCTGACTGCCACGTTTCGGCAGCTTTAACCAACCATCCCGTTTCCTGGCGTCATGCGCGGCCTTTGCACCGTCCTCTTGGTGGCTTCAGCCTGCGCCGACTCGACCTTCTCGAAGGTCAAGGCGCAAAGCAAGCTTTAGGGTTTAGGGTTTAAGGGTTGGGTTTAGGGGAGTCAAAACCACGATGTTGGTGGCTTATCCGCTAGCGAACTCATTGAATAGTTTCTCTGAAATCCACCGAGCACTTCCTGGCTTCCTCAGAGCAGTAGCACGAGCAACAGCAACAGCAGCGGCAGCAATGACAGCATCAGTTGTCAGTGGTTGCAGAGCTGGCAGGGTTCGGAGTAGTCATCGTGCCAGTGGCAGTGGTAGTGGTGCTGGCAAGTCGGAGTAGCGGCGGCAGCCTGTAGCTCCAGTGGCCCCAGAGTTGGCAGCAGCACCAGTCACAAGTCGTACGAGTGCCAGCAGCATCAGCGGGAGGAGGAGAAGCGCTTCTGTTGGCAGCATCAGTAACTTTCGCAGCAGTGTAAGCCATCGTCGTCTTACTTGTGTGTTGGTGGCAGTAGTAGAAATGCTCGTGAGCAGCTACAGCCCGCGCCGGCATCATCGCGGCCTGTCGTTGGTTGTCATCCTTGTAAGAACAGCAGAGACACCCGGAACACCAGTCAACCAGTCGTGCAGTGAGATGTTGAGACTCTGTATTCTAGATTGTTAGTCGGACGCACCTAAATATGAATATATACATATGTATTGTGTTTATACATATACATATATACATCGAGACTACGGTGCGGAATGTGGGCAACAAGGCTTGCCGCATTACGCCCCCTGCAATGCTTCGGAAGGCACAGCTCGAGGCCAATATCTCCCTGTGACCAGGCTTCGACCAGAGCTCTTGAGCCCAGAGACTCCAATATCCCTAAATTAAGGAAGATTCCTTAAATCATATTAGGGATCCTACCATAATTTAAGGCATATTCCCTAATTCAGGGATATTGGAGTCTCTGGGAGAGAGACGTGAGGCATTCGGGTTGAGGCTTTAAGGCCTAATACAGGGCTTTAATACTTCATTGCCAATACTATTTTGGGGGCTCCTTATTACGATTATAGTATAATGGGCCCCAAAACTCTACTCAAATGTTTAAGGCCTGTACATTGGGTTTGCAGCTGTGCTGAAAAAAATCTTAAGGCTGCAAGCTGCTATCCTGGTCCCTGAGATCTGCAGAATAGATTTGAGATTTTGCATCTGGGGTGCCAGTCCCCAGCGACTCCAATATTCCTTAAATAAGGAATATACCTTAAATTATAGTAGGGTCCCTAGTATGATTTAAGGAACATTCCTTAAACCATACTAGGGATCCTACTATAATTTAAGGCATATTCCTTAATCAAGGGATATTGGAGTCTCTGGGATCGTTCGACGGCCACATCGCACCTGGGTCGACTCCCGGGTCTTAAAGCTCTGCAAACCTTGAACCCCAAAGCCTAGGGTCCAAACCCAAAGCCCTTGTTGAGAGGGGGCGTGGGTCTTCAATCACTATCCCAGAGGGGGGGCCCTGGGGCATTTCGTAGAAGAATTATCGCTGAATAACCGTTTCGTTGACGTATGTTTTCAAGAGGACGTGGAGTGGGGTGCGGAATAGTGTTCCAAACCAGGTCCGTCCGGGGAGTGGCGGTCCGAGTTGCATCGGGTTATGAAAAGGCATCAAACTCCTACAGTACCCAGAGACTCCAATATCCCTTAATTAATAAGGAATATACCTCAAATCATGGTAGGATCCCTTATATGATTTAAGGTATATTCCTTAATTAAGGGATATTGGAGTCTCTGGGTACCGAAGGATAGACACAAAACAGCCAGACAAAACAAGAAAACCACAGCTGCAGCACACACAAAGCAAGCAGCGAAGATGCGCCGAACGTAGAGCAGTATGTTCCACACGGCCGCGCCCAAAGCTTTGAAGCCCACAGACACCTCAAACGCCCCAAACCGAGACCCGCCAACAGCTTCAAACGAAGTCCTATTCTAGTCACAAAACATCCTGTCATCAAAAGCTTTAAATCCTGAAAGCTGAAGCCCGAAAGCCTCAAACCCAAGACCCCGGTTTCAAGCCCAGGACACCCAGCGGTGCTTGGCACCTTGGCGGCTTCTGCTTCGGCCAGGCCACAGGGGATGCGACAAAGGCAGCGGAGGTGAGGGCCCACGTGGAGTGGGAAGCCAGGCTCCTTTAGTAGGGACCCCCAAAAGGACAAAAGCAGAAGCATTTCGTAGGGATATCCTTACCTTATGGGCTTCTTTATCAGGGTTTTGGGGGGTTGGGGGCTATATTTAGATGTTGAAGATTTTGGTTTAGGGTTCAGGAGGAGTGGGAAGCCCGGATCAAGAAGGGGCTTTCAGTGCTTTTGGGGCTATTTGCTTCCTCGAGATGTACAAGGAACTGGGGAAGCTACCTATAAGACATGTAGGCAGCCTCCAGTTGAGTTCGCTTATGGTTAGGTGCTTTCTGAGCTCCTAGTTGAGTTGGAAGGGTTCGGGTTTACCCGGATTTCTTTGGGTCTAAGACGGTTACGGTCCAAGATGCCCGGATGCAAAACGGGTTTGGGTGCCGGGCATGGGTGAGTAGTTTGGGGGATGAGGTATAAATTTGGAAACCCCACCTTCCCGGATCCTAAACCCTGAAAACCCTAAAGCCCTAAACTCTAAACCGTCTCCTGGGCCTTGAGCTGTAAACAGCACAGCTCCGGCCCGAGGAAGGCCAACGAGCTTTGAATGAGATGGGGCCGGTGAAGCTCGTGGCTTTCGATGCACGAGAGCAGCGCTGGGGTTCCGTGCGGGACACTTGGGGGCAGCTCGGCTACATACTGGCACAGGGGGGCGCGCAGCTTTTGATAGCTTGGAGCAGCTTCCTTGCCGATGTCCATATTGCTTCCCTCGGTTCTTTAGCTCGTGAACCTACTCCTTAGCCCAGCCCGAATCACGAGAGGGGGAAGCAGAGGGGGTTTTGAAAATTAAGGAAAGAGGCCTGTGAGGACAAGATCGACTCTGCCAACATGGTGCGCCTGCTCAACAAGACCCAGGTCAAGTTCAACTTCCGCATCAAGGTGCACCAGACTTTTGGCTGCAGGGTGTGGTGCGAACAGAGTCTTGCGGCGGTGTGAGTGGTGGGAGGTGTGGGAGTTGCGGTGTTTTCCTTGCCAGATTTGTTTTTTGCACGCTTCCGCTGCTTTCTCGTGATAGTGGTCAACAGAAACCCTTCGTGGCAGGATGATAGAGCGATAAGGGGCTGGATCCGAAACTCTAAGGACCAGCGCCCCGCGCGACTGGCACTTCGCACTCTTGACATGTGGTGAAGTGGAGCAGGCTCCGTTATGGTAACCCCTCATAGTAACCCTTTAAAGGAACCCTAAACTACCCTAAACCCTAAACCCCTTATGCAGGCTCCTATGGTGCTGAGATTGGAGGCGACGAAGGGCGCCTTGAACATGTTCGCGGCGAACTCCAACTTCGACTCCTCGAGTTGTCCCGTCACGAATGTGTCCTGGTTCGCAGCCGCGAGTGACGACGCCGGGTTTTGGGTCCTCCTTGTGGGGGCTGTCTTGATGGGGGCCTGCTCGGTTCTGTCCGTACTCGTGTGCCGTCAATTTCGTGGCAAAGGGAAGGACGAGAAGATCAGCCTTCAACTTCCTCCTCCGGCAGTCAGTGGTGCGGAACCCGTCATCGGCAGGCCTTGTGCGGCAGTTGGGGAGGAGCCCGTGCAAAAGGCAATTCTCGTCCCTGAGTCTCCCCGAAGCCATTCCATGTCGTCACACCTTGCTCGCTGCTGCATCCCCTGTAGGAGAAGATTGTGGATGGCCAGATCAGAGCCAACCCGCAGCTAAGTGAGGCAGCCAATGCCAACAGCTCCGAGCCGGCATCTCCTGAGAGCGATGTCTAGTTTAAAAGTGTTGCTTCGTTTTCTCTAAGCATGCATCCAGCGCCCCTGCAGGGGGAGCGATCCCGGTGCATAGCCTGTACAGCTAAGCAAGTCCCAGCCTACCAGTGGCGATGGCTTCTGGACTGCTTCCCATACATATTGTCAAAATTCTGATCACATCGTCTCCGGATCGGTCTCCGGATCGTCCTACCGCCACCTTCGAAAGGTGGACGACGCAACTTCGTCGGACGTAGCTCGACCCTCTTATTTTCTTTCGAGGCCTCTTAATGAGGACTCGGTCTCGAACTGCACGAAACGTGTGCTTCGCCCGTGTCTAGGTGGGCAGTTCCTGAACCTGATCTCTTTCAATTAAATATAGTATTACAACAAGAATATTAAAATATAATTGTTAATAATTATTGACACATTTGCTTATTTTCTGATTCGGCTCTTGTCGTCCTCAAAGCTCATGTTTAGGGATGTTCCCGGTGCCGCCGGTTCACTACTGCCCACCGATGAGCGGCCCTTATGGGGGACTGCAACAGTCCCTGAGACCCACAAACCTCTTCTTTGCAGCAACATGAGCGAAACTACATGTATGTCCGTCTCGGCTTGTACTTTGTAAGAACGGCGACAGGCCTGGATGTAGTAACCACGCAGATGTTAACACAGTAGTGTTACTGGTAAGAACAGCTCTGAAATCAAAGTTAATGATTCGCAAATGCTTGTGCTGGCAGTATTCGTAATGATATCTTAGGGTGTGTCAAGACTCAAGACATGACCGTACCAACCAGCATGCTAGTAGTAATGGATAATTTCAAAAGACGTCAAACGCCTATCGTCCGAGCTCATGGTCTCGTCAGGGCTTTAGGGACTTTTGGTTTAGGGTTTACAGGTGCAGGGTTTAGCAGCCTGATGCAAGATAATTTTGGCAAGGCCTCAGCCAGTTAAGCCAAGCCCCAGGCAAAGAAGGCCTGAGTACCCCTAAATGCCTTCAGTTCCTCCATAACCCGTACCCAGAGACTCCAATATCCCTTAACTAAGGAATATACCTTAAATCATATAAGGGATCCTACCATAATTTAGGGAATATTCCTTAATTAAGGGATATTGGAGTCTCTGGGTAAGCAGATATCTCTACTATTGGACCTTGCGGGTTGAAATTGGGCCTGGTACCGCGAAAGATGGAAACCTGCGCCCCAAAGCGACCTCGAGGCAAAAGACCCTTGCCCTTCATAAAATACGACCTGGTCCGTCCTTTGCCAAGGCTTCAGTCGGACTCTGCAACGGTTCTCCGTGGTGGTCGCTGGAGCCGGGTAGAGGAGCCCCAGTACTTAAAGGATCATGGGACTTAGTAACTAGGGTTATTATTGGGGTAACTATACTTATAACTACTTATAACCCCGATTGAGGGACTTATAACTATAGTTACTAAGTCCCACGACCCTCCAAGTAGAGAGGAGTCTTATGATGCCGGCGGTGAGGATGGCGACCACGGTTCTTACGGTGATTTGATGGGCGTGAACAACATCATGATTGTAGCGGGGGTTAATATGGTCACCATGATGGTGCGCATTTAGGCCAGCTCGGAAGGAACAGCCCCTAAGTTCTACATTGAACACCCTTAGCTCCTAAACCACAATCACCACCCAAATTGAAGCGAGCCTGGGACCTTCCAAGCGGACAAGGATTGGGGCCCCCAATCCTTCACGGCCTGGGCCGCCCTCCAACCCTTCACGGCTTGAAGCGCTCTCCAAGTGCACAGATTGGGGCCTTCAATCCTTCAAGGCGGAGAAGCTTTTCCAAATGGACAAGGATTGGGGCCCCCCATCCTTCACTTGAGGCGGCCTCCATGAGATCGAAACATCAATGACAAGGCCCTCCGCTCCGAACATACCCCTTCGCAAGCCGTGGGGTCGGTGACTAAAGTTCAACAAAAGTCAATGACGGGGCCCTTCGGCCCAGAACCTAGTAGTAGTAGTAGTAGTAGTAGTAGTAGTAGTAGTAGTAGTAGTAGTAGTAGTAGTAGTAGTAGTAGTAGTAGTAGTAGCAAAGGTAGCAGTAGTAGTAGTAGTAGTAGTAGTAGTAGTAGTAGTAGTAGTAGTAGTAGTAGTAGTAGTAGTAGTAGTACCCCAACGCAAACCTTAAATTTTGCTTGGGCAAGGATTGGGGCCCCCAACGCAGCCCGGCGTTCGAACATGTTCTCCGAGAGCAAGGAGCCCTCCACAGATCGAAACATCAATGACAGAACCCTTCGGTCCAAAACGTACCCCAGACGCAAACCCCAAATATTGCTTGGACAAGGATTTAGACCCCCCCAAATTTCCGTCGCGACTTCAAGCGAGTTCCACAGATCCAAATATCAGTGGCATGTAATTTGCTACTTGACACACCCATGTCTGCGAAATCCAATTTGTTTGATGGTATTGGCTTGGATTTTTGGCTGGCTCCGTTTTGGCTAGCCGTGAGTTGTGCATTGGAGGTCTCTGTGGGCATGTTCCTACACTACATACAGTGTGCTAATCAGCGCCTGACCCGTCGAGCACACCCTGAGCATGCCCTAAACCCTAAACCCCGTTGAGATACGGTGGACGGTGGACTATGTGGAGCCTTGCCTGCCTTGTGCGAGCGTGAGCGTTGAAACCGCCTAGCCGGCGGACAAAAGTCATCTCAACTTAACAAAAGCCCGTAGCCCCCTAAACCCTAAACCCTCAACCCACAAACCCCTGAGCCCCCTAACAGGCGGCTGAGATGGTACCGGGAGACGTCTGCGAGATAAAGGCCGGCTTGCGAGTGTTTAGGGTTTAGGGAGGAAACCTGTGGAAAAAGAGAGTTTTCGATAAAAATGGAATCCGAAGATGGTACCATAAATAGTAGGATCCTTATTATAAGGGCCCCAAACTAGGGTACCCCTAAGTTTCGGAAACTCCCATTTGAGTTTGACTAAACCACAAAGGAACCTTTGTACGCCTTACCAAACTCGAGATGTCGCCAGGCGGGAGACAAGGTTCCTGCGGACATTCGGCTCGTGAAGCTGCGGCTTGTCCATGCAAGTGTCTACTGGGCTTTGGAGTACCATACTTTAATACTTTTTTCCTAAAGGAGCCATTATGAAATACAAGTTTATACTTTTTCCCTGGCTACTTAAAAGCCCAGTCTAGGTTGTTTAAGGGTTTTGGGGTTTCGGGCCTGTGCTGGGGATCTGGGGTCTGCATCGGCGAAGATGGGTTTAGTGTTTAGGGTTTCTGGATAGTATGACTAAGACTTACTAAGAGTACACATATCACCCGAAACTACAGGTATCTTCAAGAGGAGCAGATGCGCCTTGGTACCATGTGCTGTTGGTACGAGGATTCAACGCAGCATCAGCACAGCAACGCCAACAGCATATATAGAAATAGACAGGTTGTAGCAGTCGCGAAGCAGTCGTTTCAACGTCGTGGTCATGTTGATAGGGAGCTCAGTGCGACTGTGCTGACTTGACTAGCTTGAAGAAGTATAGAAGCAAAGCTGCTTCAGCTAGCTACTATGTTTGTCTGAATAAGTCCAAAAAGTTTTTCTTCCAGTCCCTATATAAGTGTACTATACTATACCCCACAAACGGTATTCCAATTATCAAAGTCCCTATACTAAACCCACCCCATAATGCCCCTTACAGTAACCCTTTCGGATCCCGTTGAAAACGGATCTCCGCGAAGGAGCTCTATGATAGTTACAGCATCGCAACTTGCATCAGCTCGGCTGGGGTGATGGTCATCCCTTCTGCATTGGCGCAAATACTATAGCAGTTACAAATCTTATTGCTTAGGGCTTAGGGTTCCGTGTCATAGTTATACCATCATTTGCACCCAACTTGCCAATTAAAAAGGCCGCTCATTCTAGGCTTCTTCAGTGGCCTTGCGACCCTTGAGCTCCAAAACCCTTTGTTGCTGGACGACTCCAGCAGCCCCGAAGTGCTGTGAATAATTGGAATAGGGCGTTGGGGCCCAGTATGCTATAATATACAATTATAATAAGGGCCCCCAAAATAGTCTAGGCAAGTCTGTGTCCCATCGTACGGATTAGAATTTCGGGCTTCTGGATGCGCGAGTTTCTGACTGAGAGTGCACAGCAGCGCAAGGAAGACCACAACGGTGCGCGCGGAGCAGTCGCAGCTGACGGGCGAGTCGCAAAGCGTCACCAAGGATGGCTGGGATTTCTGCTCCGTGTTTAGGGTTTTGGGGTATAGGAGTTTAGGGTTTAGGGGTTTAGGGGTTTAGGCAAAAAGGGGTATAGGGTTTAGTGGTTTAGGGTTATTTAGGGGTTCCGCGATCGGGGTGGGTTACGTGTTTTGAGGCTTTATGGCTTGGCGATAGGTCGTTTTGGGGTTTATGGACAGGGTTGGTTGCTTAGGGCTTGTGGTCTAGTATCCAAGACCAGATGCAAACTCAGGACGGTTCGGAGCGTTTGGGGTGTTGCGAGAATCTTGGGGCCCAGGATGTTTAGGTCAGGATTGTGGCTCGGTCTTCGGGATGTAAGGGCTTCAGATGTTCCAAATTCTTTGGTTCTTGGCAACATCGAACTCCCACTCCCGGATATGTTGAAAGCAATCAAGGTCTGCTGAGCAATGCCGCGGCAAATTTGATAATTACTCATCTTTCTCAGTCGGAGCTTCGTGTCCTTGTGCTTGGGACAGCAGGCCACGTCGAGGATGGGCATGGAACTCCTTCCATACGGGTTGTTCCCGCTCTAGCGGGTCGAAGATGCAGGTTGCTTTGCATTGCTGTCTTGTCCATGTGCGACTTTTCCTATGGAGGTACTTGTTAAAACTATTGTGTAAAGGCCTCGAAGCATCGCCAAACTACAGCCCAGTTGTCAACGCTTCTACACTACCGGTTTTGGGGGTTTAGGGCTGGTGTCCACAACCGCTTCTTAACGTAAATGAGGATTGTGCGCAAGGGGGGCCGGTTCCGTATAAGCCATGGATCTGTTGCAGGTGAATTCTCCAGAAGCCCGAACACCCTCACCCATCTTCATCCTTATGATCTGCGAAGAGCCCCGGAAACTCAAGCCACAGACCACCCCGAGCACTTACAAACGGAACTGCAACCCGTGTACCCTCGAAGCCCGAATCGGCTTCTATGAGAGCTCTGACACCTTAGATGACCTTACAAAGCTAGGGCCCCCAGACAGGAAGCCCTCATGAAACCTGTCCGAAGCCCTTGCGCAAGCACTAATGGCCATGTGGCCGTAGAGCCCTGATTGCATGTAGCTTTGCAGGACTCCGATCCCGTGGATGATCCTCAGATCGTGCTTCAAGGCCGACCGTGCCAGGGATAACGGGCTGGCTTAATACACAAGCTTGAATGATGACCTTATCTTATCAAGATTAGTCCTTAGGGTTCCGAGTCCAGTAGCAAAGAAGGGTTCCTTGTTATACTTATACCGTAACACAGTCTCAGCCTGATGATAAGCATCCTTGTATTGGAGGCTTAAGGGTTTCGGGCTGGGATTGCGGATGAGAGTTTTCAAAATGTCACGAGGGTTGCAGTGCGGTAGGACCGGTATAGTGATGTGTGTGTGTGTGTGTGTGTGTGTGAGTATAAGTTGTTGCCTTTGCCACTACGGTTTCTTGTGGCTGTCGCCTTGTACATTTCGAAACGACAGGCGGCGGTTTCTGATCCGGCTGCTCGTCCTTCTTCTGTTTGACATATTACTTTGATACTGTGACGGCTACTGCAACTACGACGTGCCACTTGCTAGTGCTACGGTTGCGACGACGATGCCGACAATGACGATGTTGCTGCTACTGCCATCACCGCCGCGACCGCGCCGGCTACTGTCACTACCCTTGCCAGTCTGCTGCCCTCACCACTCCTACTCCTAGTCCTACTACTACTACTACTACTACTACTACTACTACTACTACTACTACTACTACTACTACTACTACTACTACTACTACTACTACTACTCTGCTACTACTACTACTACTACTACTACTACTACTACTACTACTACTACTACTACTACTACTACTACTACTACTTCTACTACTACTACTACTACTACTACTACTACTACTACTACTACAACTACTCCTACTGCTACTGCTACTGCTACTGCTACTGCTACTGCTACTACTACTACTACGACGACGACTACTCCTGCTCCTACTCCTGCTCCTACTCCTCCTGCTCCTACTCCTACTCCTACTCCTACTACTACTACTACCACCACTACTACCACTACCACTACCACTACCACTACCGCTACCACTACCACTACCACTACCACTACCACTACCACTACCACTACCACTACCACTACCACTACCACTACCACTACCACTACCACTACCACTACCACTACCACTACCACTACCACTACCACTACCACTACCACTACCACCACAACAACAACTACTACTGCTACAACTACTGTTACTACTACGACTACTACGATGACTGACTGGTGTTGCACCTGATGGTACGGACAGCACCAGACAGTGAAGCCGCTGATGCCTTCGGCTCGTGCTAATCCGCTCTTCTACTGCCCTTCTTGAGAAGCTCCAGAAATCCAAAGCTCGCGGCACTTGGGGCCTTGTAAGCGAGCGTTTTGGTTTGGGATGGTGAACGTCGCATGTAACCTGGCATCGTTCCTCATCGCAGCATGTTCAAGCTAAATGCCATACCCGAAGACCCGAAGCTCGAGCCGCAGGCAAGAGCAACATGCTTTTTGCATCAACTACGATCTCGAATGGCGCTTGCGTCGGGCCGCTCGTCCAGCATCTAGTTTTCTTCGGCTTTTGAGCGGTTTTCCTACTTTTCGTTGCTCGCAACTGCGGCAAGACGTGTCATCCACACATATCTTCTAGCACGCACGGCGTGCCTGTTCAGCGATCTTCCTAGCCGTAAACCATCAACTCCCACCCCCGACAATCCCGTAAACCTACGGCAGAACCCACAAGAACTCGGTCAAAGGAACCTCGTAAACTCGGCTTAGAAGTTTGCAGAATCTTACCAACCTCCCCCTGAGCTCTAAACCCTAAACCCTGAACCCTAAACCCTGAAACCCTAAACCCTGAAACCCTAAACCCTAAAGCCCTAAACCCTAAACCCTGAAGGTGCGTGGTGGCCACTGGCATGTCCACCGAGATCGGCGCCATCCAGGGTGCTGTCACGGAGGCTTCAGAGAAGGCACAAACTGGAGAGTCAGGAGCTTACTATAGGGGCTTGAATATTCCGTGACATGATTCCCCAAAAATCCCTATACGTACTACCTTTTTTAATGGGATCTTTTTTTGGGCTTCGGCCGATACAAGAGCGTGTGCACCACTTGGAGACTTATCTAGGGCCTTGTTCAGAGCTCAAACACTGTTCTGCGTTCGGTTTCGAGTTTAGGGTGTCTTAGACCCTAAAACCCTAAACCCTAAACCCCTAAACCCTAAACCCCTAAACCCACCTAAGTAACAGGAAGATCCTACACCTCTCCAGAAGAAGTTGGACGAGCGACCCGGCCGACAAAGAGGGTTTCGGCTTCAAGTTGAGGGCTTCGCCTTAAGGGGTGACCTTAGCAATATTCCTCAATATCCCTTAATTAAGGAATAGACCTTACATTATAGTAGGACCCCTACTATAGTTTAAGGAATATTCCCTAATTAAGGGACATTGGAGTCTCTGGGTAAGCCGGAATAACCCACCTTTTCTAAGGACTTAGATAAGGAAATCGGAATAAGGAACCCTAGGGTTTAGGATTTAGGGTTAAAGGGGGCCTAGTAGCAGAGTAGGTAACCTTTAACCTTTTTGCGGTAGTATAGTCCCTATATAATCCCTATATAGCCAAAAAGGTTAACCTGTAGTTCCCCATGATACCCGACAAGTAGGCTAGGGTTCATGGTTTTGGGATGTTGGGCTTCTGAGAATTAGGAACCACCTAGATTCCTTAGTTTCTAGATTTGAGGGCTTCAGGTGTTGAAGCTAGTGACCCCCGCTGAACGCCCCACACTGGTCCCCAAAAAACCCCAAAACCCCAAGCCTAAAACTATTGAAACTTTAGGCACCTCGATAATCAGAGTCAGGTTTCGGGGACGGTACACTTATATAAAGGATCATGGGACTCAGTAACTATAGTTATAAGTCCCTTAATTGGGGTTATAAGTAATTATAAGTATAGTTACTCCAACAATAACCCTAGCTACTAAGTCCCATGATCCTTTAAGTATAGAATAGTTTAAAAAGGAGCGCTAAGGAAGAACCTGTGGGCAATTATGCTGTGACCCACAACAGGGTTTTCAGGCCAAGTCTGGAGACGTCCGCAGTAAGTTCCAACTTCTGTGAGCATGCCCCAAGCCCTAAACCCTAAACCCTCACCCAGAAGCCCTACATGGGGCTGCGAGGCTTGCAAGACGAGGGCTTCAGGGTTGAGTTTAGGGTTTTGGTTTCAGGGTTTAGGGTTTAGTCGAGAAAATATCTCAGAGCAGGGATTGCTTGTTGTTTTATAGGCGTGCCTTCTTCAGGGTCCTTACAACACGGACACGGATCCCACTCTTCGGAATCTACTTCGGACCCTTTGTTTCTTGATCATCCGTATTCTCAAGAGGCAAATTCCACCAGAAGGAAGACGATCAACTGAGCCTGGTACGCCTATCTGCAACAACATGACTGACCAATGTCCCTTCATTAAGGAACATGGCTTGCAGTATCATGTTAAGCCCCGGCCCCGTACAATTCAAGGTAGATTCCTTGATAAAGGGGTATCGGCATCTCTGGGAGCGTCTACCGGAACCCTTTCGGGAGCATGGGTTGGGTTCGAAGAAAGGCAAGCGTTTTGGAATGTAGAGTTTCGGTTTTAGGGGCAAGTCCAGGTGTACAGGGGTATGTGGGGAAGCCGGCATCAGGAAGCGACGTTTTGCAAGACAAAACACGAAACTCAGGTGATCCTCAACCCGCAAGCTTACGAGAGGCTGCACACAGGGTCTTGAAGGTCTCACAGGCATAAGAGCCCTCCGAACTCGCCTCCCGTTACCTCTGCAGGTTTGGGGCCACCTTGGCAAACATAATCTTTGCCATCTGCTGCTGGGCTCAGTGAGTGTCCTACTTCCGGTGTTCACTTCCACTGAACCCTAAACCCTAAACCCTAAACCGTGTCTGCCCTGTGCGAGTGTGGGAGTTGAGACATCCCTAAACCTAACCCTGCAATGCAGGCTCGTCCTTGCTAGGTAGGAGATGGTAGGAGGGGAAAGCCATCCCCTAAACCCCTCGGCCATAAACCTAGAAATCAATCCAGAGGCATCCTGGTCAGGATGTTTCGAATGGTTGAGGGTGAATCGCCGGGGTGTAGGGTTAAGGGTGGTGACCGCCCGAAGCTACCAGTCAGAAAGTAGATCCCTAATTTGGGGCCCTATACCACTAAGGGTACTTTATAGGAACCCCCATTGATTAAGGGATCTACTCTATTTAGATGCTGCTTGCGTGCGAACTTTGGCAGTGATTGTATCAGCAGGTGCCTTGCAGCGGCCGGTCTTGGCATCTTCCATAAAATCCCCAAATGTGAGTTTCCGAAATAGGGGATCCCAATATAATACCCTAAATAGTAGGATCCTTGTTATTTGGTCCAGAAGTTAAGGTACCTCTAACTTTCGGAAACTCCCAAATGGCAGATTCAAAATCCCTGGTGGGTCGCTGTAAGCCTTGACGAGGAGGTAATTTTTTAAACAGAGACCCCAGCTTGGCATGATATATTTTGCAAGGACAATGTCCAAACTGCGTGCAAGGCTCCGCTTCATGTCCCCTGCGGTCAGGAATCCTCAGCACCCTCTTGCATGAATGCTTCTTCCCTGGATTCGTCAAGAGGTTTGTGGGCTCAGTTTCAGGGACTTTGCGGCCCCGCGGCTGCCTGAAACCTCAAGCAAGCCAGGGCTCAAGTGCAGCCATGCGCTGAGAGCAACTCACGCTTTCCCGAGATCGTACACTTTATTTCCAAGCCATAGCGTCCCTTTGAACGATGGCTTTTGGCAAATGCAGCTTGTTCTTGGCCCGTACCCTCTCAATGCTCGTTGTTGTCGAGGTCCAGTCACGTTGCGGCGAGCGGCTGAAGGTCAGGAGTCCAGCAGGCAAACTCCACGCAATGAGACCCAGGACTTTGCTTTTAGCCATCGCGCCGGAGAAGTGGAGGGTTACGAGCCGGTTCCGGACCAATGCCACCCAGAAGACCATGATGTTCTCCCCAATACTTCCCGGCAACTATTCAACTTACATCTATGACACTGAAGATGCATACGATGAACAATACAGCAAAGCATTTTTCGGCATCACCATGAACAAATCGGGGTGAGACTGTATGCGCCACTATGAGATCATCATGTCAGGTAGTATCCCGTATTTCCTGAATCTCGACAAGATTCCAGCGAAGACTATGACAAGTTTTCTGAAGGAGTTGATTGCCAGGGCAATGCAGCTTCCCGGAGTGCCATCACAGAAGGAAGTGTGGCAAGCGCTGAACAGGGGCAAGGTGCTTGAGGTAAACCTTGATCATTTTGACAAGGCAGGCTACGCGAAGATTCGTGAAGAGTTGATGCACTACGCCGAGCAGCAACTCCTGAGTACAAGCATGGCCGCCAAGGTGGTGCCTTCCGATTCGCAGAAATGCACCGCGTGCTGATCCATTCGGCTTTTGCCTCGGTAGGCTACGGCCAATACTTCCTCGTAAATGGTCTTGTGAACAACGGTCACTCGGTCTGTGCGAAGCCTCATGACATGTTAGACAGCATGCGTGATGACTATACAGGCACCACTGTCGGACTCCAGGGACGCGGCTACTCTTGGATACGCACTGTCGATCACAGGAAGTTATCACAGGACTGCAGCAAAGGGCCCTGGGACTACTACCTGCTGGTTGCGGACGGAAATAGGGTTTAGGGTTTAGGGTTTAGGATTTAGGGGTTTAGGGGTTTAGGGTTTAGGAGTATCCAGAACCGGACCCTGATGCTGTGAAGACGGCAGGCAAGGTCATTGCCATCAACACGAATGACATTGGCAAAGCACACGAACCAATTCCAGCGGTGGCGACGGAGTACTTTAAGAGAGAAGGAAATTGAAGCTCAGCGACAATCCGCTCCGAGGTGTTCGCGAACAGCCGGACAGCAACGAGCTCGATGCTGAGCGAAGTCGCAGAGTTAATGCGGAGGTCTGAATAGTCAATTTTAAATCCGAATATAGTCCTTATGCAACCTATACGGTTTTTCTACGACTTCTATGATAGACCCCAAGCCCTATTCTGCCGACTCAGGTCCCCATGTCGTAGAACCCGTGTAGATCCCTTACACTATCCCGACTATCCCTCATGGCAATCCTTGTAGGGAAGGCCCCTTCAAACTTATGACTGGGTTCTGTGGCTCAGCTGTTACTTTCTCGGAAGGCCTGAATGAATGAACCGTCCTCGCCCGTAGAATCTGAGTGGGAGCGCTGAGAACGGAGTTTAGAGTTAAGGTTTAGGCGCCAGCTTGTAGGGTTTAGGCTTTCTATCGTGGGCCTGATGGCTTAGGGTTTAGTTTTTAGGGTTTGGGGTTGCATCAACGTTTTGGGTATAGGACCCCGGAGTAAATTTCGCATCTTACACCTATGAGGCCAAAGTCAATGGAGGCTATGGACCTGGAAATTCTGAAACCGAATTGCCACCCTCGGAAAATTCCTGGAACTCCCGTAAGACATCTTCCAAGCCCAAGAAACCAAACAGGCGTCTACTCGTCTGTCCCAAACAAGTCTCAAGAGCAATCAGGGGACCCCAATATGGTTGAAGGATCAGGGGATGTAGCAGGCGGGGTTCTAAGTACATGAATTGGTGTTGTGAGTAAAAATGACATGTATAACTACAGCAGCCTTACTAATAAGCCTACTTTCTACACCCCCTGAATCTCCAACACGAATAGAAAGGGGACACAGCTAAATTTGTAGGTTGACATACATTAACATGATGCCTCCAACCCTGCACCAGGCTATTCCACTTCTTCAGGCAATTTGTTTTTATTGTTTCGGACCATTTGTGCATTCAACCTCATAGAATCCCCAGTGGAACTTTGAACCAAAGTTGCTGATCCCGTAAGGCTTGATCGTGTGGCTCATCAACTACAAGCACTTCTTTGATCCTGTCCACGGCTCCTTCTTGCAGGTTCGATTCAGGGTTTGGGGTGGAGCGGTTTTGCGTTTATAAAGGCCTTGATTTTAAGGCATTTTAAGGTGGTTGGAAGGTAAGTTGGGTGTTCCGGGGGCTGAGGAGTCGTGCCGGGCTTGGGGAGACCCGAATACGGAGTTTGGTGCTTGGGGATTTCCCTGCCCTCACAAATCAGGCTGTTTGAGCCCATGCCCCAAACCTGTATATGCAGTCCTGAATCCCTAAACCGTACAGGTCTGCTACTCCGATTCTTGCGAGAAAAAACAGGGACGTTCAAAACGAACCGTAAAGCTTTGCTACAAGGGCTGCATCTACTCAGCTATATACAGCCCTGAAGCCACAGACCGTACCTGAAGCCCTAAACCCTAAAAGCTCTACGAGGGCTGCATCTACTATTTCAAGATCGCCGTGGCCCTTGCTGTCGCAGCCATCCCAGAGGGCCTTCCAGCAGTGGCCGCTGGGTGTCAGCGGAAGATTGGCGGTTTTGATTTAGGGTTTAGGGGCTGAGGGTTTAGGGGTTGGGGTTCAGGGTCAGTTCAGGGTATGGGTTTTAGGGTTTAACAAGGTAACGGTAGAGGGGGGGACGTGAATCCGTTTCGATTTAGGGGTGTCGGGTTTGTGGGTTTCAGGTCTGACGAGGCGTGGTCGTGATAAGTCTATTTTGAATAGCAGAGCTCTCGACGTTAATCTAAGATTGCCGAGTCGATCTTTACATTTGTCAGAACTAATGAGTATGAGTTTGATGAGTAGGCGCAGCTGACAGTGAATAATGCTCGCGGTGGTAGCGTCGTCGTCGCAGTATACAGCAGTGGCAGGGGACATGGTTCAAAGAATCAAGATGTCCAGGTCACCACTTGCCTGGCTTTGGGTACACAGCAAATGGCCGTCCCCTGGAACGATTTGATATGATTGCCTATACCAGACTCTCCATCTTTGCAAGGTTCAGTTTGAGGAAGTGTCAGCAGCGCCTTTGACAGTATCTCTACCAGACTCTTTCATCATCACGGCGCCACCGCCACCTCGTCTTCCTCCTCCGCATCATCACCAACTTCGCCATGATCGATCGTCAGCTTCATCATGCGATCATGGACCTCCTTCTCGTCATCCTCGACGCCTGCTCCTTTTCTAACTCCGACTTCCTCTCGACCCACGGTTAATGCTTTAGTGACGGCTAGCAACAGCAACAGCAGCAACGTCGACTGCTGTGAGCACAGCCACTACGCGACGACGACTACCACCATCACATCTAGCCTCCCCCACCACCGCTAACACGCGCCACTAGCCATTGCCCCAGCCGCCGATCCCTGCAGCATCCGCCGCTGGCAACATGGCAAGCCCTGATGCTCGCGACTCATTGTCGGCGTATCGAGCGAGCGAAGTGTGTATTTACATGTGATTACCACGTTTGTTCTCCTGCAGCTTTAGTACAGTGCGGTGGCTGCTTTCTACAACTCTTAACTCACCTGCCATGATGAACCAGGATACGGTTTGGACCAACCCCCAAACTCCTAAATGCGGCCTGAATCCTGCACGACGTGCGGCGAGCCTTCTGAATCAGTACCCTTTCTGCAGTTGTAACCATGCGAGGCAGACAAGTAGACCCTTAAAGGTGTGCAGAAGAACGGCGAGTTTGACAGTTTGTTTGCAACACAGCGACTTCCCTTAATTGGCAAATAGGCAAAGCCTGAATTTCCAAGACCCCGAAACCTAAACCCACCCTCACCCTGAATCCCAATTCTTCACCCACTGCATAGCATCAAAGGAGCGAAATGCCATCGTTCGGAAGCTGCCTTCGGTGGAGCACTGGTGAACATGAACTTCCGGGTTTACAGGGGGTGAATCGCAGCGGGCCTTGCTTTTTACAAGGTTGGAGACTTGTTGGGTTGAGTATGGTCCTAGCCTCCAAGCTTTCACCCTCTTAAACCCACCCCAAACCTAGTAGTAGAGTAGGTAACCTTTAACCGTTTTGGGTAATATAATCCCTATATAACCTCATACAATCAAGAAGGTTAACCTGTAGTTACCCATGATACCCGACAAGTAGATTCACCCTAAACCCTAAAGTTTCAACTCCTAAACGAGCCCGTTTCGGATTTCCGGTCGAGGGCACCCGAATCACCCGAATCCCTAAACCTGCAGCACCCCGAACAAGTACCAAAACGAATCCTTCGGAATCCTTCCTGCAGTGGTACTTATTCTGATTTTTAAGGCTCTCATATTACTACCTAAGGCTAAACGGCTAAACCCCATTAGGGGCCGTCTCCTGAGACCTTTCAAGAACCCTCAAAAAGGAGCCCTTTCAGGAGACTCTTGGGTGCACCACTGTAATCTGCTCGGACAAGACGGGGACCCTGACGCTGAATGCGACTCGCTGTGGCTTCCAAACGGCTCGGTTTTTCAGGTTTGGGTTTTTAATGTAGATGGGATAGTCCCAAACAAGAGTGTTGATATCAGGGATCCTTACGTAAATCGTAATCCTACACACCTTCCTCATCGCACCTTCTGCGGCGTCCAGGGCTTGCGGATTCAGGAGTTTAGCGATTCACTTGTATATTTATAGGGACCCCAAGAGACGTAGAGTTGTCTGCTGGCCCTTTTGAGGATACTATCTGCACATCCGAGAACCTTTATGTTGAGGTGCTTTGCGGGTCCCTAACGTGAAATGTTTATCATCAGGTGCTTTGTTGATTCCTACCGGAGGCCCGCGCAGAAAGGTTACTGTAAGCTTGGGAGCATGCCCCAGACCTCACATCCTACTTGATAGACCAACCAAGAGCACCAGCAGTATTATTTATAGAAAGCAAAAGTAAGAGCAAGAGACATGTTAATAGAATGGCAATGGTATCCATCGTAGTAATAATATTACAGTATCCTTTTCTTTTTATATCATCCTAGTGTTATTTTTCAACGTTTCGTGTTTATCGACTTTTTGCGCGCTGCGCGTCGACGCCGGTTGCGCATGACGCGCACAAGGCTCGCTTAGCACCGTGTTCCGTTGATGGCCCAATCTTGATCCGGAGGGTCTTGCATAGCGCGCATTGCGGCCGCCTTGGGAATCGGGGTTGTGGCGATCCTCAGCGACAAGGTGTGGCCGGGAGCCTTCGTGCGGCATGCAAGCTTTCGCACATTGACTTTGATGACCCGACGCTGCTAGAGCGAGGAGGAACTTCATGAGGACGCAATCAAGGATATGGTTCGTGGGCTTAAGTCAACATCAAACGATTCTTTCGACGGGGTGAAGCAGCGGCAAGACCTCTGAACGCAAGCGGAAACTTATGAGGATGTAGTGTCTGCAATGTTGCTCAAAGGGGAAAAGGAGGGACCCCTAATGGGGACCCCTATACCCTATAATGGGAATATAACAGCTATATTAAGGGTATATACCCAGGGGTCCTTATTCAGGGTCCCTCCTTTTACCCTTGGAGTTGCAGATGATGCCAAGGCGTGACTCAGGGGTAAGACAGTGGGCTGATAGGGAGGCGCAGGAAATCAGGCCCTATCTCGAGAGCGACATACGTGAAGTCAACCCAGAGACTCCAATACCCCTTGATTAAGGAATATATCTTAAATCATATTAGGAATCCTAGTAACTATAGTATAGTTTAAGGTATATTCCTTGATTAAGGGATATTGGAGTCTCTGGGAATGCCAAGGGCGGCACAAGGTTCATTCTTCGCAGCTTGTCGCACCGTGCCTGACAACTGAAACAGACGGTTCAGAAGTGGCTCTCCAAGATGTTTGCTCGAAGCCCGCGTGTGGGCAACTGCGGGTATCAAGCGAATGTAGCATACATACACGGGTTCGGACTGCTTGGCGCACAGTGCAAAAAGGAATAATATGAGCACACCTCCTCAGTCCTATAGTGCATCTCATCCGAAGAAAGAAATGAATGACTGTAGGTGAGAGGGAATGTTCGCATCGGCCAATCTCAGGAGATGTGCTGTACCAAAATGGTTCTCCCCAGCGCTTCCGCTGCTATGGACGCTTTTGTCGTGAAGGGCAACGGCTACTCACCTGTGGCTTGGTCCAACTGGCCGTCCCGCTCCTGCCTAGGCATAAGCTACAGGAAGTGGACTGCTGCGTTCCGAGGGTCACTCGGACACAGCTTTCGATTGAGTTTCATTTTGCGGATGGAATACAAGCACCATCCCCTCATAACTGTGGTAACGCCAAGCCGTATCCTAATCATTCGGTCGCTGCCTCGGTTGTGGGGAGTCCATATGTCTCAGCTTGTCTAAACCAGACCTGGCAAAGCCCGTCAAGAGGGGAGTTTCCGAAAGTTAGGGGTACCTTGTTTTGGGGACCTTATAATAAGGATCCTACTATTTAAGGTGCTATATTAGGGTCCCCTGTACCTGAAGCCCTACCATGAAACCCTAAACCCGAAACCCTAAGCCCTACCCAGGTGGGCTCTGTTGAAGGCTTGGCCATCGACTGGGCAACCAACCAGGCCTTGGGATTCTTCTGCAAAGTGGCGACCCTCTGCAACGACCTTGCCTCAGCTGACTTAGGGTACTTAGGGTTTAGGGGTTTAGGGTTTCGGGTTTAGCCTTAGGGGTTTAGGGTTTAGGGCATGCAGGCAGAGGCGAATTATCTAAGATAGAAGTGCCATGGTTTGTAGGGCGAGGGTCGGCTTGTTCGGTGTGGCCCATTTTTGGAAAATGCTTGTTGAGGCTTGACACTTTCAGCAACATCGTACTAGACTAGAGGGCTTTGGGGCTTGGAACTCAACTTCTTGGTCGTGAGGTTTTTAAACTTCTGCGTTCTCTCTGTAGTATGGGTGGCATGTGTTTGAGGGCGGCAGGTTGCATGATGGTGCATGCTTCTGCACGTGCATTCCCGCTGGAGAGCTCTCGCTTAAGCCCCTTGAACCTAGGCAGCCTAATTAAAATATACTATAGGCTAGAGCATATCATAGGATGTTATAGTGCATTATCGTATATTTTAGTATGCATGCAGTTTCGAGGTTTCGAGTCGCGCGCACGACCCGGAGCTACAAAAGCTCAGCGGCGAATCTAGCGGCTCGAGCAGCTGTCTTGGGTAGGGCTCAGGGTTGGGCTCGCCTGACAGGGTAATGTAGGAACCTGATTAAGCAAACTTGGGCCTTCATTAGGGTTCCTTTGAGGGGGTCTATAAGGGTTACTATAAGGGATCTATACGGGTATGATTACAAAGTAGGAACCTGATTAAGCGAACTTGGGCCTTGATTCGGGTTCCTTATACTATGAATCCTACTGTTTGGGGGTTATAGGCCCAGGGTTTCTCAGTCAGGTTCCTATATACATTATCTCAATTTTGAGCCGCCTTTGTGGCTTGACGCAGGGGCTCAAGCACTTGCAGAGTTAATATTTAGTCCGCAGATCGAGGGCTATAAAACCTACTGTAGAGATACATGGACACGTAGGGCCGTAGGTTACGTGAGCCTACGTCGGATGCCACATACAAGATAGCCGAACCAGTTACCAGCTACCATACGGGGTCCTATGTAGAGTTCCGATAATGGTGCCTCTACAAGGGTTTTTAAGATTTTAAAGATTTAAAACGCCTCTCTGTAAGGGCGATAAGATTTTCTACTGGAGCCTGCAGACTAAGACCGACGATGGGCTAGACAGAGCAACAACACCTCAATTCCCAAAGTTTGTCTTCGACTGCAGAGGGCTATACCTGTACCGTGCACACACAGAGACAACCTCCTGCAACCGAAGCGCCAATCCCTGACACCCTAGCAACAATGGGGAGAGACTGAAGTGATCCTGTGCTGGGTCATGCCTCGAAACGCGGAGATCGATGCGGAGGACGAGGACTGGGAGGCGCGGCGCGGAGCCCACGAAGCCGTTAACCACATGGGGGAGGTGTAGGTGCTTTTAAGACTCGGGGTACCCCGTTTGGGGGTCCTTATGATAAGGATCCTACTCTTTAGGGTACTATATTAAGGTCCCCTATTTTCGGAAACTCCCACTTGAGTTCCGAGTGCACATTAGTTAATGTTCACATGCATCGCTAGGTTAGTGTTCCAAGCACAAAGCTTTGAGGAGGAAGGGTTCACTCTGGACTTCAGGACCCCAACACCTTATTCTAATCATTAAGGCCCCTGCATTATAGTATCCTTATAGTATCCCTTATAGATCCCTTTAAAGGAACCCTATTCTAAGGATGTCCTTGGGCTCAGGGTTTGAAGACTTCAGGCTTTGACATTCATCGCGTTCCTGCAGGGCGTGGGGGGATAAGTGTGAGGTCATGTTGAGGTCGTGCAGCCTTCGAATGGTGTTTGGGGGTGGGGGTAGGCTCGTGGAGTAAATGGGTACTTCAGGGCCCAGAGTACATTGAAATAATCTGCCGTCAGAATTCCTACTTATTATTCTTATTAATACACTCCAAAAGCCTACTCTAGATATTTAGCCCCTTGTATTGGCAAATCGCACCCCGTAAATTTGGGCCTCCGTGATGTTGACGTTGCGTGTCCCCCAGGGTGACATTGACCTGAGCGTTTTCCAGCAAGTCCGAGATCAGCGAGACACAGCACGCAGCATGGAGTGAGTTTGCAGGTGGACTTCAGAAACGCCCCAAACTCGAAGTAAGGTTGCAGGGAGGATCTGTAGAACCGAATTTCGGGCTGCCTTCAAGACATCACGCAAAAGCTTGTTCATTGCGGTATCTGTGTTAGTTAGCCGGCTTTGGCAGGTGTGTAAAACCGCGGAGGATGTTCCACTTCTGCCCACATGCTCAGGTTCCTGTTCTTGAGGGTTCAAGTTTTCAAATCAGCGTTGAAAAGGGTGGTGCAGACAAGCAGAAGTGTCGCTGGTTGTTTGAGTTTACCTTAGGCATCAGGCTCAACCGACACCCTCTAGCACTGGCACGCCGCCGTGGCTGTAAGAGAGGTAGGTTGCATCTCTTGATCATAGAACCGAAGCCCACCATCGAGGCTCCCCACAAAGTCTTTACACATGCAAGGAAACCTTTTCAGTTCCATCAAGCCGTAGGATATTGGGTCTTTCCCGGGGTTCCGAATTTAGGAAACAGGTGTCGGTGCTGCATGTCGGCCTCGGTCAAGACGATGGCGTGTCGTAGACTGGCTAGACTTTTGAGTCCAGCAGCAAAACGAAACAGGCTGGCGCAACCCTAAACCCTAAACCCTAAATCCCTAAACCCTAACTAAACCCTAAACCCTACTCGAACCTTTTAAAAGGATCTGCTTGGAGGCTCCCTTGTCTTGCCCAACACTTACACTGCAAACCCCTTGCAAAAAGAAAAACAGTTCGTTTGAGCCAGCTACTTATGCCGATCCGTGTGAGTTGCATATGCTTTTCAAGCTGGAGCCGGGGATGAAAGTGAGCCTCACCAGGACTGAAGCCCAGGCCCCAACATGCTACTATAGGGGCCTTAGTCATTACAATACGGTTTTGGGGATCCGTATTATAGTTCTGGTATTACCCCGAAACCCTCTTCCAATTATCAAGGAGGCCCCTACATCCAACCCAAAAGCCCCAAGCGCTTGAAGCCGATACCTGAGGTATCATTGCCAAGTTGGAGGCCCAGAATCGCCCTCGTCGCGAGGCCAGCCGCAGCCGAAACAAAACCAAGGGCACTGAAGCCCTGAACCATCTTCAGTTCTGAACCTCCAGAGCCTTGTATAAATCCAACACCGTGAACACTTAAGCCCGAGTTGCGCGAGCGTAAACACTAAAGCACAAGAGTTCCAAAGCACTGAAGCCCCAAATACTAAGGCCTTGATTTAGATGTCCTCCTGATATACTTATACCGTAATGTCCCCCATTGCTCCAAAGGTGTTTTCCAATGACGAAGGTCCCTGCAATGATAGTAACCTTTGCAGTTTCAAAGATCGTTGTAAACCAGCGGTCCTCGAGATTTTCTGCAGGACACTCCTCAAGGTGAGCAGGGTGCGTCTGAGAGCCACGGCAATCCCGGGCGCGACAAAGAGCGCGCAGAGTCCGAGAAGCCTGCAGACGAAAAGCATCTTAATTTAAGCGTACCATTCAGGCTTTCAGGGTGTAGGAGCTTAAACCATAGGCCCTAAAACCTCAAGAAAACCACTTAAAACCTGCACGCTCAAGCCCTGAACCCTGAAACTTGTCAAGTTCATCCAGACAGATGGCCAGGTACTACTCAACTCACTTTTCATGCACGCATGTATCTTATATTATATGTATGTATGGGTGTTTTTGTCTCCATCTGTAGATATGTAGAGCAACGCACCGGCCCCACAATCAACCCTAATTTGGGAGACAGCCCTCGAGATCCAAACTCGACGACGAAACGGGCTGCCAAGGACTCGAGGCTGTCGATGGACGAGAACGGAGGCATCCACTTTGTTTGGGGGCTTGGCGTTTGGGGTGCAGCATCTAGAAGCTTAGATTCAGGGTTTTGGGGGTTTAGGCCCTTGAGGGTTCAGAGCTTTCTTCCTACCATGCATGCCACACTTGATTGCACCATTGTGTCTATGCTGTCAAAAGCCAACGGGTGCAGGCCACGCGACCCCTGGAAGATCGAACAAACCTTGCGTGCAGAGAGCGGTCGTCGGCATCTGTACGCCACGATAGGCTTTCAGTTTATAACTTGATAAGTTTGCTCCACGCTCCCCAAGACGCAGTGCACGGGACGAAGCAGGTTTGTAGGACTGTAGGATTTATAGGGCGTATACTGTGGTATTAACGGCAGAAGTGTTGTATACTTGCACTGCGGCAGTTCCCTTTGAGATTCCATGCAGTCAAGGAGGAGGAGGAGGAGGAGGAGGAGGAGTCTCGGTAATTAAAGCACCCACAAGAGAGCAGAGTTTGATTCTTGCGGTTCAGACTTTAAATACCCCAGACGCCCTCCTACAACCAACAAGCTTGAAACCGGACACCCAAAACCCTTAAAGGAAGCCCGAAACCCCGGAACCCCTCCTAAGTCCTAGGAGGGAAAAAGTCCTAGACCTCTGAAACTCTAAACCGTAAAACCCCAAACCCGAGAACCCCAAACCTACACCCAAAATGCAGGAATCGTGCGTGCTGGCGAGCCCACAGAGGCTGCCCTTCGCGTCCTCGTGGAGAAGCTACAGGGCCGTTGAAATTATGAGGCTGGTTTAGAGTTTAGGGAGCAACGGTGGCAGCAGCAACAACAGCCGCTACTACTGCCGCTGCTGCTGCTGCTTCTGCTGCTGCAGCTGCTCTTCCTCCTCATCCTCCTCCTGCAGCAACAACCACAACTACTATTATTACTACGACCACCAGCTCCACTGCCACTGCTAAATAAGGTTGAAGCTACTATCTGAGTTGTGCTCGTCACAAGCAAAGGGACCAAGGAATGCCTCTGTTTTGCTTTGGTCTCAGCAACTGCTGTTGGGGCTTCTGGGTTGACTGCAGAGGCTTAAAACCCTGAAAGCCCAACAAGACTCCGCCCCAAAAGTGGAAATCCGGGACACCCTGAACCATGAATCGCACAGCACCCTAAATCCTAAACTTCTAAACCTCCAGCCTATAAAAAACTCAATACAACGCGAGATCCCCAAAAAGCTGAAAACCTAAAGTGCTAAAAGCCTTCAGCCCCAAAACCCGAAACACCCAAAGCCCTCATACCTAAAAACCGTAAATCCTGAAACCCAAGGCGCGGGAACCCTAAAACCGTTCTTTTGCAACTGCCGAGGTTGGGATGTCCAGATGGCGAACCTCGTCTGAGATTGTTCAACCCAAAGCAGGTGCAGCTTTGATCGGGACTCAAGGGATGTAGCATTGTTGCCCTACTTTAGAGTTAGGGTTAAGGGCTTCCAGGACTTATAATGTGTGAGCTTCAAAGATGAGACGAACTGACCCGGATCTAGGCTCTCACTAGTAGGACGATGCTTCACCACATGATGTCAACGCGAGTTTTTGCTGCCGTTACTAGTAAGATGCTTCGTATAGAGACCTCTCACAGCTGGACTCCTAGTCGTTGGGCGATGCGTTGTTGGTGGGCTACCGGTCCTTAGGATTCTACAACGTCTAGCTTGTAAGGCTTGTAAGGCAGAGCAATTATCACATGCTTTAGTCAAAAAGGTGCGTGTACCAAGTTTATTGGAGCAATTCCTTCAAATCTGCTGTTTGACTGGCCGCAAGAGAGAGCATGTGAGTAGCATGCAAGATTGCACAATTGCCGCTTCTGACAATTATAGTAGATTAAGATACCGCCAAAGCCCCAGTCTATTCAGATTTATTGAGGCACCAAAATTTAGAACCCCTTACAGTAGCCCGGCATAGAACCCTTTGACGGAGCCCTGAATGGAACCCCATTCTACCTCTTTCAGGCCCCTACATCAGCGTAGGCTGTCGGAAATTTGTGAATCAGAGGGTCGAACCCATAGGAACAAGAATTCGGTTTCCCCACCCTCGACCTTAGTGTTGCAGGTTTAGGGTTAGGGTTTGGGGTTTGAGTTATCAAGTTTTAGGGTTTTGGGTTTAAGGTTTAGTATTTAGGGGTGCGGTGATTCTTCTTCAGGCAGTGGGTTCCATGCGTTTGACGAACCGAAACCGGTGAGTTTGGTAATATAGGGGCCTTAATAATTACCTAGACCATTATTCTTCTTCTTCTTATTATTATATTATTTTTGTTATAGTATTATTACTATTAGTATTTATTATTATTATTATTATTATATTATTATTATTAGTACTATTATTATTATTATTGCTATTATTATTTTTTTTAGTATATATATATATATATATATACATATATGGGGCCCCAAAACCCTATTTTATTTTTTCAGGCCCCTATATTAGTTTTCGAGCCGGGTGCAAAGCCAAGCGAGAGGAACGATCGCTGCTTTCCCCGCCTTGTACCCTAAGGCCCCAAAGCTGGGCGGGTGGGAAAAAAAGGCCCCAAAGTAGTTCCTTTTTGGGGTTCATATTTCGAATCCTACCAAGGTAATCCGAAGAAAAGGAGCCCCCCAAGGTAGTTCCTTTTTGGGGTTCATGTTTAGAATCCTATAAAGTAATCCCGAAAAGTGACTACTTTGGGGCCTATGGGTATGAACAGATGAGTTGCTGTGCAGCTATTCGCAGGTTTGAGCTCGTGACGTGACAAAACCAGCGGTTTTTGCTACCCGGAGCCCTAGATGAGTGCTCCGATGCCCAACCCTATACCCTAAAGCTAGATACCCTAGAGCCCTAAACTCGAACCTTAAGCCACTGACACTAAGAACCCTCAAGCCCTAAACCCTACATTCCTAACACTTAAACGCACTTAAACCCTAAACTTTAAATCTTAACCCCTAAACCCTTACCCTGCAATGCAGGCTTCGTCCTTGCTAGGCAGGAGGGACAAAAACACCCTAAACCTTTTTCATCGACCCCAAGCCTAAGTAGGAGGTCAAAAAACACCAAGGCTATGTCGAGCCAGCATCTCGATCACGAGAGGAGCAGGGGGCCGAGATCAGGTTTTTGCAAACTCCGCCGGCGGGTGGGGGTCTTGCTCTTAATTAAGCGACAGTTAAGCGAGGTGCCTGGCGAAAATGGGGGTTTTGGGGTTGAGGGTTTGGCGAAAGAAGTTGGGGTTTCGAGTTGAGGCTTTGGCCGAAGAATTCAGGGTTAGGGGTTAGGGTGAATTGCAGAATAATATTTTCCCCCGAGGTTCCTGAGATGGTGGAGAAGCTCCGGAAGTCCCCAATCTCGCGTGATATCACGTGCAGGGTTTAGGGCGTTAGGGTTGAGGGTTTAGTGTTTCCGGGTATAGGGTTTGGGGCTTATTTGGATCTTTTTCTTCGGGTTCACTATTGTTAGCGCCAGGCTCTTGGGCTTAGATCTCAAGGCTGAGGGACCGGCGCAGTGGAAACATATCTTGAGGGGGACTCCTAGATCCAAGCAGAGACATCGGCAATCCAACATATTGTAGGTGCCTGAATGTACTATGGTAACTATAGTATAGTTAGACAGAGGTTTGAAAGGGATATCATTTCCAACTATTCCGACTTCTAGATTAGGGTGCGCAGCGCAGAGGCACATGCACGAGCATACACGTACTTTAGAGACATACTCCCACAGAGATACACTAACACCATGAAGTCTCGTGTGTATATATATACACACATACATATACATATGTACGAGAGAGGTTTGACGATTATCGGGTTTCAACAAGGGAGGATTTTTTGGAAGTAATTTTCTGCCATGGAGAAAGCACACACACACACACACCCGTACACACTTACATACATATGTGTACATATGTGTATATATATATACACATACAGACAGACATATATGCATACACATAGACGGCGAAACTGAATGTATACATACACACGGCATGTTTACGCAGTTGTATCTATATGCACACAGATAGTGAGGTAGAGATGCAGCCCCTTCTCTCTCTCTCTCTCTCTCTCTCTCTCTCTCTTCTACTTGACCTCTGCATGTTCGCCTTCTCACCAGGCCTACTCGGCAGAGCTATTAAAACCATCGCTCAGACGACCGCACTGTTCAGTTTCGGTCCTCTTCTGTCTACCCTTAGCCCTGAACCCTCGCCCGACTTACCACGGCTTTGAGAGTCGAATCTCTAGAACATCAGAGACCTTGATCAATTCAGCACCTTACCTAGATGCTCCAGGTGCTGCCAGCGTCATGGCCTTCAACGACTACTGGACCCGGAACCTGGGTTCTTGTTAAGGAGTTTATAGATTAAGTGACTAAGTTACAGAAAAAAGGAAGCCATATTATCTAATTTCGATCCTTTTTTCGATAGTTTTGAATTATAAGCTCCTTATCAAGAAACCCAGGAACATCCAGAAGCGCGCAACTCTGGAGTTCGCCCGGGATCGGAAGTCTATGAGTGTGCTTCTTATCTGAGAATGTAGGTTTAAGAGGGTTTCGTAGTTAAGGGTTCCCTGAGGGTTTAGAGTTTAGGGCTCTTACTGACAAAGGGTTTTATAGGGGTTCCATATTCTATGGTGTCTTTCAGGGTTAAAACCATAGGGGCCTTCATGATTAGTGGTGTTGAGTTGTATTTAAGTTTAGATATGCAGGCATTTCTCCCGCCTCCGACCCCTCTCTTAATCTCCTCACAGCTCCTTTTAGTCATATCCTTCTTATCTACTTCGAACTTCGAACCTTCTTTGTCCTCTCCCGTCTAAGAGGAAGCAATGAAGAGACAGTAGTATCAGTATGTTTCTAAGGGGCTTTGCGATAGAGCGTGGAAGCTTCGGTCTGACTGGAAGCGCTACAGACAGCATATGAAAAGTAATAGAAAACCTTGGCCGCTGGTAGCATACATCGTATCATAGCAGTTGCAGGTTCAAGGTTTCGGGTGCAGGATGTCGGGCTTGCAGTTAAGTCTCAGGCATGTTGGAAGCAAGTTTTTTGTGCAGATGCACGATCTGCACAATGGGGCTTGTACTCTTAGTTCATGCTCCAAGTCAGGCGTGCATCTGGCAGGTATTGTGAGAAGCTGTGTATGGGCAGCAGCAACCTTAACCACAAAAACCTATACTGCTTCCGCTGTGAGACAAGGGCCCTTTGCAGGGCCCCTTGACCACCTCTGTAGTTAGGGGATAGAATTAAACGAGGGGTTTGGGCTTGGGGCTCAGGGGCTTTACTACGGTAAAAGTTGTAAGTCTTACGGGTGTAAGCATATTGAGGGCAGTTTAGGATATCAGCAGCTTTGGCCAGAGCTTGAACCTTGCTTGCATAAGAGGAAAAACACGCGAGGCTTTGCAACGACCCCGACATCCAGCCGGAGAACATCCTATTCGTCAAGGGCGCCCTGTGCGGCACACACCGACGGACCCATCGCCCTGCCTTGCTTGTCCATGCCGTGTGTAAGAGTCGAAATCCTGCCCACAACCATGAGAGTTGTCGACATAAAAGCCGCATGACCTCCTATTCCTGGAAAGGTGCTCCAGAGAGCATCCTGGACCGCTGCACTACGCTCATGCTGCCAGACGGAACTCTCCAGCCCCTTTCGGAGGCGAGCGTTTGCGATCGAAATAAGAAGCTCAAACTCCTGCAGCAGTAGCTAGAGAAGTCGGAACAACTAGTAATCTTTCCGGATTCTTGAGTTCCTACGGAGTTGCCTCCAGAATCATAGTATGACTCGATATGCTCCCCAAATCCTGCCGCAATCCTGTAGATTATGAGGGGGAGATTGGTGTATTGAGGGGTTATGATGAGCTCTAGGTTTGATCCATGCTTAGGATGTGTTGTTGCGAAATAATAATAGTAGTAGTAGTAGTAGTAGTAGTAGTAGTAGTAGTAGTAGTAGTAGTAGTAGTAGTAGTAGTAGTAGTAGTAGTAGTAGTAGTAGTAGTAGTAGTAGTAGTAGTAGTAGTAGTAGTAGTAGTAGTAGTAGTAGTAGTAGTAAGTAGTAGTAGTATTAGTAGTAGTAGTAGTAGTAGTAGTAGTAGTAGTAGTAGTAGTAGTAGTAGTAGTAGTAGTAGTAGTAGTAGTAGTAGTAGTAGTAGTTGGTCGTCGTCGTAGTCGAGTCGTGGTGCTGGTGGTGGTCCCGGTGGCGGTGGTAGTGCCAGGAGTGGAAGACAGTGGCAGTAGGTGTTTTGCAACCCGTAACCCCGAGCCCGACACCCTGAGTTCTAACCTTAAATCCGATTCTAAAGCGCGAGCCCGACGGCATACTATACCGAAGCCTGAGCAATTCACGGCACTCTTCTCTTTGAGTTCCTGATTCTCCGCTTTATTATATCTAATGATTATAAGGCCCTGATACTAAACCCTATAAAGCTTTTATAAACCGTATCAGTAAGGCCCTTATGCTGAACCCTATGAAGCCTGTCTAAGCCCGAGCTATCAAAAGCTGACTCTTTGCAAGGAGTCCCGCAAAGCCATCCTGGACTGCGGCTTCTTTCTCATTTGCAGGGCTTCTTGTAGGGGCGCAGGGTTCAGGGATGTATTCAGGGTTTGGGGAAAAGAGACGTTCAGGGCAGGGTTCGGTTGGGGGCTGTTTGGCTTCTGAGTTTCGGTTTGTTCCCTAAACTTGGCCCGACACGCTGGTAGCTGAAGTTTTCGAGGTCTGGGTTCAATTTCGGGCTCAGGCTTTAGGGTTTAGGGTCCAGGCTTTAGTTTCAGAAGAGGGTGCCGAAATCTCAAGAGGGTTTAGATGTGTTGGTTGTATGAGTGTAGGCTGGTGTAGGATTGGGGGCTTAGCTGTACTAATTTATCGATGCAGGGTCGTACTATGTCATGATTGTCTCGATTCCAAGTAAAGCTTACTGAGCCCAATGATCCTTAACCCCCTAAGCGCATTTCGGTTCGATTCCTTGTAGAGCCCCTTTGAGATCCCATGCAGACGTCTTCGAGAACCCAAACGAATTTACATCTCTGTAGGAACCGTTTAGAAGCCTTGATGGGAAGATTGGGCTCGGGGTTCTGGGATTTCTTATTAAGTGAGGATCTGGGGATAATCGTCTTGTGTTCCGATGCATCTGGAGTTCTGGTAGGGTGAAGAGGATTCAAGCTCAATGTAGGGTTTGGGGGGTTTGGGGTTCTTAGGGTTTAGGGCTGCAGCTGCAGCTGTAATAATTTGCAGCTGCAGCTGCAGCTGCAGCTGCTGCTGCTGCTACTATCGCTGCTGCTACTACTTTTTCTTCTTCTGCTACTGCTACTACTACTGCTGCTACTACTACTACTCCTACTCCTATTGTTTGCTGCTACTATTACTGCTACCACTGCTACTGTTGAGCGAGAGTCCAGGACCGAATGCTGCAAATGGCCGGCGAGGCCTTGCGCACTTCGATTGCAACACCTCTGAGGTTTCCAATTGGATTCCGGGTGTAGGCAATAAGGACCTTAAATAATTAGAATAGTGTTTTGGGGCCCGTTTTATACTATAATTCTAACAAGGAACTGAGGTTTCGATTGGATTTCCGGGTGTAGGCTTTAGGCTGGTCCCTCTAGGCAATCCTCCTAGCAGTAGAGTCGAGGGTTACGGTCGGATGAACAGGGCACACAGCCTCAGCCCCAGACGTAGATGCATGCCTTACTGGAGACACTGAAACGCCCAAGAAGCAAAGTGCGTACCAGGGTGCCGACAAGTTTTGGAGTACACGGGTCTTGGGCACGGAGCGACAGTGGATCGCCGGCATCAACACTACGCCAGCATGTTCAAACTTATGCAGCCTTAGAGCTGAAATGTAGGGGTCTTAATCATTACCAATACTGTTTTCGGGGTTCCTTATTAGAATTATAGCATATAATGGGCCCCGAAACCCTATTCTAAGTATTTAAGGTCCTATATACAATATCTTGAAAATCGCTGGATGCCAGCTCGTAGACTACAGGCGGGAAGACCAGCATGTGCCAGCTCGGAAATGCACAAAGTAATGAGACCCTAAACCCTATAAACCCAACAAGCTTTGCCAAAGGCCCAGTGAACCTTCACTTTCTGGATCATGCGAGACGGAAAAGGGTCCTTCAAAAGAAAAATCCCCTAAACCCCTAAACCCCTAAACCCTAAACCCCCAAACCCCTAAACCCCTAAACCCCCCTAAACCCTAAACCCTAAACCCTAGGGTTCAAAAAAAAAAAAAACCTCTTCTTCAGAGCCTCTCTGCTCCAAGGAACCCTTGCCTTGGCGGTGAAGTTCGACCTCAAGGAGTCGGCGGGAGGTCGACTCTGGGAGTTTCCAAATATGAGGGGGTTACCTTTAAAAGGATCCACAAGGGCTCCTTAAAGGGATCTATAAGGGTTCTATGAAGAGTTTAGGGTTTGGGAGTTTCCGAAAATTAGAGTCTCAGAGGGGTTATCTTAATTTGGGGGTCCTTACAAGAAGGTTCCTACTATTTAAAAACTCTATTAGGGTCCCCCATTTTCGGAAACTCCCATCTGGGTTTACGGCTCTTGTGCCGCGAAGTGCATATCGTTTCTATCTAGTCGTGGCCCGGCCGCTATTCGTGAACCGCCGCTGCCGCGCTGAGAACTCTAAGGCTTTGTGGCTCAAAGTAGCGGAGGGCTCTTGCCTAAATGGTTTGGACTTGCAAACTCTTGAAAGTCTGCACAGGCCCAGCTCCAGTGTGATTTCGCCAAGGTTTTTGTTTGACCCGACCTCGACTAAGCAGGGGTTTTGGGGTTCCCTCGGCTCTTTAGCTCCTAATTTTTTCTAGGGATTATCATCATCCCTGGCTCCTTAGCTCCTGCGATATCACTGGTTAGTCGACCAACGCAGTTCGAACCCCTAGGTATATACCCTTAATATAGCTGTTTTATGCCCATTATATAGCCCATTATAGGGTAGGGTTCGAAGGACGCCAAGCTACACGACTACGATGGCCCAGAGCGCCTCGAATGCAGCCACAGACAGCCTTGTCCTTTTTCATGGCTCCCCCAAAAGAATAAACAGACCGGCTAGTAGACCTTCTTAAATAATTCCTACTAAGGGATATAGGTATAGGGCTCTGTCTATTGTTTCTAAAAGGACAAGGGTGACCACAGACCGATCCCAGGTTTACAAACCGCCCAGAGGTGTAGAAACCCCTAATGTAGGAACCTGATTCAGAAGCCTTGGGCCTTTATTACTGTAGGGTTCCTTATATGCATCCTACTATTTTGGGGTTACGGGCCCAAGGTTTCTTTCAACCCGTAGCATCTCTGACTGTTGGGGCCTGGCAGTAGGCGCTAAGCGCGTTCAAGCTCGTTTGCGTTGGCGGAGCTGTTCCTGTTTTCTTATAGGTTCCAGAAAGCTGTTTCCGTTTCCGGTATCTGGATTCAGCAATACGCACATACTATTCCGATCTAAGCCGTATTAGCCGTAGCCGTAACCTTTGTATAAGTAGTACAACTACCCTCAGGCATAATATGTGTTCGACAAACGCTTGTTTCTTCATTCAGGTTCCTGCACCTAAACCCTGCAGAAAGACCAGGGGTCGATCTTGTTCCTGGGACTGGACAGGAAGGCGGGACACGTCCATCTTGGATCTGGAGGCTGAAGACTAGTAATGATAGCAATTAAACAGCAACAACAATCGTATTCTGATAGTGCGTAGATCGAGTAAAGAAATAATGTCTTTCACGTATGGTGATAAGAATCTGTGGATGAGAGTTGTTTATGAAAAATAAAAAGGAGATATTCGTAGCAAGAGTACCAGCAGTAAGAATAGCTGCCGATTCCCAGCTGATGATGGTATAGAGCCTGGGTTAAAAAAAAGAATAGTCACAAGAGGTAGTACATAATAGCAGGAGTCTTAAGACCCCCTGCTCGACCTTGGCCCACAGGTGATCAAGATGACTGGCGAGCCAAATCGGTCCTCAATCTTAGATTACAATACTCACACGAATCGTTCTAAGCTGTTGTCTCGCACCCCTAGCCGGTAGGAATGAACAAGTAATGTCGCAGTTTAGCAAAGCATGATACGTGAGAAGTCTAGTTGTAGACGACGGCGCGTGGCTGTCTCTCGGCATGAAGAGCTGCGGGTCGATTCCTACACGCTCCAACAGTGGAAGCAGATATGCGTCAGTTGCAGAGGCTGCGGCACAGCAGAACACGGAGGCTGTCAACGAGATGCTGTCACAGGGCTACAGAGCAGATGGTCAGGACTCTGACGGCAACACAGCTCTCCACTATGCTGCATTGTTCAGGCTGGACTCACTTCTTATCCCTTTACTGGCAAAACAGGCCCGACCAGACATCGGCAACAATTCCGGTGAATGTGCAGTACACTGGGCTGCCAAGTCTTCCAACGTGAAAGCTTTGGATGCCATGACGAGTGCCAACCGAGCTGTTCTCTCCATGCGTGACTGCGACGGCTTCACGGCATTTGTTGTGTCCGCACAGAATGACAATTGTCCCGTGATGGAGTGGATGTACCTCAAAGGCGTGAGCCTAGAAGAGCAGGATGACTACGGCAGAACGGCCCTGCAGTGGGCATGCTACAAGGGGAACAAGAAGACAGTCCAGTGGTTGCTCTCGCGATCTGCCAGCATTGTTCACCGAGATCTCGACGGCATGACTGCGCTTCACTGGGCAGCGATGCAAGGACACACGGTGATCGCGGAAATGCTCATGGAAGTTGGGGCCGTGGAGCTGTTAGATGTCCCAGATTGTGCTGGCGAGACGCCGATTACACTCGCAATGAAGAAGAGGAGCAGGTACCTGGTTTTTGCCTTCCACAAGTGCCAAGTCTTTTACTTTCTCTTTGGCAAGCCATACCTTTTCCAGAATTACTTCGCTGGTCTGTTCGTGTGCTTGGCTGCCTACAACATCATCATTTTTGCCTTTGTCCTGGCGCCGGGAATCGCGGCCAGAAATCCTGAAGCCGTCATGACATGGTCGACGCTGATGGGGTTGTCACTGCTGCTTTGGGTGCAGTGCCTCTTCTCGGATCCTGGCTGGCTCCAGCCGCGTACCATAAACTCCCAGAGTCACCTGCTCAGCAAAGATCCAGCACGGACGTTTGATGTTGATCACCCGATCGAGTCGCAGATGGCTCACTGCGACAGTGTGCTCCAGACGCTGACGTCCACAGTCGGCGAGGCCGAAATCGTGAGGCTGGAGCTAGAGCAGAACAAGTACAACTATCAGCGGCAACTTCTCCGGCAAGCAACGAAACGACTTGAAGAAGGCGATCCTCGAAGCCCAGCTTCGCATGAACTGCAGCCCTTGATCGCCCCCGGCTTCAATCATAATACACCCCGAAAGGCCCAGCTTGACCGGGCAACGGTGACTCTACACGAGCGTGAACGTGCTGCAGGAGACAACCTAGGCCGGGCTCGAGTGGAGCACCTGCTTGGGCAAGGGGGTGGCGAGTATTTGACCCTGGTGGAGAAAGGCGAATTCAAGCAGGTGTGCGTCATTTGCCGCTCCGTGCGCAAAATGCGCTCGCATCACTGCAAGGAGCAAGGTCGATGCGTGGACAGAATGGACCATTACTGCCCTTGGATAGACAACAGCGTGGGTTTGGGCAATCAAAGGTCATTCAGTGTGTTCGTCGTGGTGCTGCTTGCCGCCGTCCTCCACTTCTACTACACAGTCTTTCTGTATGCGTTTGACACGGTGTTCCCAGAGATCTCCCGAGGGTCTTTCGGTGAGCTTCTACAGGCCCTGACAAGTGGGTCCCTTGGACCCGAGTTGCAACCAATTCTGGTTCTGAGTGCGGCTGTCCTTGACGTGTTCCCGGTATACTTCGTAGGTTTGCTAGTCGCCAGAACCGTGGCCTACATGATGGTGAACTTGACTACATACGAAGTCCTGGTCAGACCCAGCCATGTGCAACGACGCTTTCCAAAAATTAGAGGGCGCTGGTGGTTCTTTCAAGGTTGCGGATTCAGATCTGCCCTATCCAACTGCATCAGCTTCTGGACGTTAGACACCAGCGGTGATGCAGCGGCTTCTGGGCTCTTGTTAAGGAACCAAACCTTAAGTTACCACAATCGGGATCTACAGTATTTAACATGATTTGATTCGATATGCTTTCCTTCTAATTATGGTAGCTTTAAACTCGATCCCTTATTTCAGATGGTTTCCTTATTATTATGGTAGAATTGAACTCAATCCCTTATTTCATATGCTTTCCTGATTATGGTCGCTTTAAGCTCCATCCCTTAAGATGAGCCCAGGCTTTTCTTGGAAGTCCTCAAGACAGCTTTGTCGCTCCCGGCCGGGGGTCTTGGAGCAGCTTGGAGCAAGGCAAGGCTCAAGAGCCCGAAGAGCCCTGAGCGCCAGTGAGTGCATGCATGTACCTTATCTACTACAGATGACAAGTTACGCGACATTTACAACATCGGTACGGTATGTATATATATATATATATATATGCATTTGCATGCATATAATATTTGAGTTATTGTGAAGAGCCTCAGAGCTTCACGCAGACGAACTTCGAATCAAGAGCCTCATGTGGCTGGTCCAAGTGTGTCTATGGCGCAGACCCTGTAAACCTCAAGCCCAGGCTGCTGGGTCCCTATCATAAGGGTCCTACTATTTAGGGTACTATAAACCCAGATGGGAGTTTTCGAAAATGGGGACCCTAATATAGCACCCTATTTAGTAGGATCCTTATTGTAAGGACTCCCAAATAAGGTAGCCTCTAATTTTCGGGAACTTCCATGTAGTGCTTCTAGGGCTCCGGGAAAGTAGTGTAGTCGGCCCTATAGGGTTCCTATAAGGGTTCCTGTAAGTTGGGATGAAAGTGGGCCGCAGGGCTTTTAGGGTTTAATGAGGCTTTATCCCAGCCGAAAGCCATTCCAGCTAAACGTCAAGCCTTCAACCCCTGGACAGCCGCACAGCCCATACAGCCCGGAGCAAAACGAAGTTCGCCGAAGCGAAAATTGGCACCGACGCTGTGCTATGCTGCCCGGAAAATGATAGCGGCGTGCCGGTTCTCTGTCTGATGGAGTGTCCGAGTTGCATGCACTTTTCATTTTGCAAGAGATGCGTATGGCGAGTTTGCAGATATCTATTTGTAGGGCGTGGTCACGCAAAGTCTATGCGACTAACCCAGTGCATCCTGTAAATGCCAACGTGCCGTACTTGTATCAAGTTGCAGCACTACTGCTTTCCACGCTTGGTCGAGCGTGTTTGACTCGGGCTACCATATGATAGACAATACCTGGTATAGCTTCGGTTTAGAATCATATGATTTGTGCTTATGGAAATTTACGTATCTCTTAGTACTTGACACCTTATGGTAACTTAACATTTTAATTTAAAACTTCACTGTCCGCTAAACCCTGGTTCAACCAGGCCTGTAAGCCTTCACAAAACTCTTAAGAACCAGCGAAGGCATCCTTCGCACGACCTCCTCTGTGAGCCCAAGAACTTCTCCTCGGTTGAGCAGCAGATGACCTTCTTGGGAATGGTAGGCTAGGGGCAGTTTATGCTTGAGGGTGCCAGGTTCCAGGGCTTGAGGATCTTGGAGTTTTGGCATTTACTGTTGAGCGCTATAGTTTAAACAATCATTCGGGAAATGGGGCGGTGGAGTTAAGGGATTAAGGATTAGGGTTGAAAATCTCAAGATTTAGGATGTAGGTGCTTGCTTCACCATTGCAGAATTGCAGATGGGTTTGAGGATCGCGACATTGTTTAAAGAGGTGCCTTCGCTCTCTTTGCAGAGATGGGTGTGCGGTTCAGGGTTGAGGGTTTAAGGTCTAGGGATAGGACGTAAAGTATAGCTGTGAGTGACTTTTCCCAAGGCAGTTTCGGAACACATGTTCCATTTCCCATTACGTACCAGAGTTGCGTGGATCAGGGCTGAAGGACGGAAGGACAAGCCACAAGTAGGCGCGAGGCCCTAGTCTTTTCACGGCTAACGTCCCAACTGCTCTGTAAGACCCAGAGACTCCAATATCCCTGATTAAGGAATATTTCTTAAATCATATTAGGGGTCCTACTATAATTTAAGGCATATTCCCTCATCAAGGGATATTGGAGTCTCTGGGGACTTCGCCAGGCATCATTGACCCACCGCGACCAGAGTGCATGGACGCCATCAGGGCCTGCAAGGAAGCTGGTATCAGCCACTATGGCAGCAACAGACCAGCAGAAGGTGAGGAAACTTGATACTACGGTTGATGATACAAATCCTGCATGACCCATCATAATAAGGACTATACCATAGTTCCCATGGTTACGGGTCCTTAAGGTAGTGGAGGATTTCTATCATCAACCGTAGTACGACATCTCAATCGCTTCGGTGGTGAACGGCGCAGCTCGCAAAAGTATACGAACCCTGCCTCAGCCAAGCAACCCTTCTTGAGCTATCCCTTGAGCACACTGTTGGTCCTCACCCTTAGCTCGAATCCACGGTCGACCCAAGCACGGTGGCATATTAGGGCCTTAACAGTTACCAATGCTATTTTGGGGGCTCCTTACTGTAATTATCATAGAATAAGGTTACTGTGCCCCAAAACCCGATTCTGAATGTTAAGGCCCCTGTAGTAGGAATGGCCAAGGCGTCTTCATGACGACTGGTGACAACAAGGCGAGGCCCCCACTGCATACATCGTCCATTGGGCCAAACACAGAAAAACTACACTAGTCCAAACATCCTACATCCTCAAAGGTATATGCCTTGTAACCCCTACGGCCTTAGACGCCCTTAACCCTGAATCCTTGAAGCCCTTAAATCCTTGAAAACCCCAAACTGACGCCGAACCTTTCAAGCCCTAGAAAGAAGCCCTGACGTCCTGGAAATGCTCTGACCTTCAAAGCCCTTCGAACACTGAAACCTTTCAAGCCCGTCAAACCTTGAAATCTTTAAAGCCTTTTGACGACGAAGCCTTAGAGAGACCCCAACTGCCCTGGGCGTTGAGGGTTTAAGCTTTGATACCTTCTCATTTTGAGCGAGTGCTCCATTACCGGGTCCCCAACACATCTCACCGAGGTGAACGTGGCACAAAAAGGCTTAACAAAGGGTTCGGAACACTGACGACTAAGATCCCCTTCTAGCGCTTGTAGCCGAAGCTTCGCCAGGCGACCGCGGAGGCGATCTCCCGGCAGCTAGGAATCCTCGCCCCGAGCTCGGCCACTGGGCAGATGTTAGGGTTTAGTAAACTACTAGGGACCCAAAAGGCATATAAGCATAAGCATTTTATTGGGATATCCCTACCTTATTGGGCTTTCTGGGGGCCCGAATTTAGGGTTTAGAGTTTTGGGTTTTGTCATCAAGTGCAGTTTTCAAAAAGAAGTTTAGGATTTAAGGTTTAGGGTTTATTCAGGGCTTGGTGCATTGCAGTCCCTGCTCAAAAAAAGGGTCTAATATTATCCGTTCCGATAGCACAAGTCCAGATGTAACAAGGGCGGAGGTTTCGGTTTCGAACAGCGGCCCACTCCAGAGATATCCGAGAAAGACAAGCACTCGCGGTTTGCCATATTCCGTGGGGACTCGTGTTGTTGAAAAGTCTTGATCTCAGCCTATGCCGGAGCCATGTGACATGCCGCGCTTCGCAGGCTGCCCTAAACCCCAACCCTAAACCTGAGTCTCAAACTCGACGCTGCACTGCACTACCACCCTGGACCCTACACCCTGAACGCTACACTCTGAACCCCACTGCAGCCGCAACAAGGATGCCAGCAGGAAGTCCCTCACGGGCAAAGAGTTCGAGGACATGTCCGAAACAGACAGGGCGGAGGTCCTTGCAAGAATGAGCCTCGGTTCACTGGAGGCCGATACTTCGTGTTGTCAGCGAGGTGAGGACAGGGATGAGGGTATGTGCATCGCAGCCCTGCTTTAAAAAAAGGGTTCAACGGAGGCGGCTGCAATTTGCTTTCGCACCGCACGGGCTGTCCAGAAGCCTGTGGAAGGAAAGAGCGAGGGAGGAAAGGAGGGCACATGACAGTGGGTGCTGAAGCTTCTTTGCCCCAGGAAGGGAGAGGGAGAGAGAGAGAGAGAGAGAGAAAGAGCCAATTGTTCCGGAAATATACTTGAGTTTTGATCCCATGTCAACATGATTGAGAGTGCAGCAAGATATTCGAGACCTCCTATTCGCCCCTCCTCCCCCAACCTTTCAAATGAGTTTTCCAGACCTTTGAAGCCTGCATTGCAGATTCTATTCTACGTACTCTGGTCTTGTAAACCCGACCCTAAGCCCGGAATCGCAAACCATGGGTTAACAGCGCTAAACCCCCAAATCCTAAGCCCTGTTTCCGGTTTACACAAATGTCAGACCTCGCGAGCGGGCATAGACTTCCAAGCAATGCGAGAGGGAAAAAATAGCCCTGACTCCAACGAGGATGTCTGACCGTGGGCGTGAGGGGGCGGTCTTCTCGCGCACCCCGGAAGGAATGTGATGGATTAATATAGGGGCCTTAACTTAATAATTAGAATAGGGTTCCTGTTGAGGGTTTTGGGTCTCATTATACTATAATTATGATAAGGTAATTGATAATTATTAAGGCCCCCATATTAGGCGTGAGGGCTTAGGGTAGGGTATACTTTAGGATTCAGACTATAGGGCTTAGAGCTGTAGGTTCAAAGACATCTGACCTGAAGTCCTAGGTTCTTTAGCATGAAGTGAGCCCAATTCCCGAAGTCCAAGATCTAGTGTGTAAGGTTCGGGCCTTTTCGGGGCCTCGCTGGTGAGGTTTATCTTGTTTTGTGCTCGGCATGTTCAGACTTAAAAATGGGCCAGTCCATGTTCTTCCGCCTACTTCCAATTCAACATGTCCTGCACCACGGAGTCTTCGGACGGCAAGGTAGCGAAGCGGTCAGGCTTCCTCTAGCACTACATCAGACCACCATTGACTTCACCTAGCCGTTCGCAGGGCCCGGCTACACATCTTGGAGTAGCATTGTGTAATCCAGTTCAAACCGCACCAACAAGTAGGTCATTGTAAATTTCAGGTAGACTTTCATTTGTTAACCCTTAACCCTGAGCCCCGAAATCCTATGTTTTATTTCTATGGTAGTGAAACAATCAGATGAGATGTATTTGGGACCGGTCAGACCTAGCTAATCGTGCTGCGGCCTCTATACCTGAACAACACGACTAGAGCTGCTCCTGCATAATTCTGGCATGCTGGAACCATGCCCAAAAACTCACTCCCATTCACAGTTTTTGCTGGGCCTTTATCTTCGGCATGCGCCGATTCCTTAACCCTAAACCCCAAACCTTTGCCTGCCCTGTGTGTGTGTGTGTGTGTGCATCGAAACCCCAAACCCTAAACCCCAAACCATACTGATGGAGAACAGGCATGGAACCCAAACACAAGCAGATCGTGGTGAAGCTTCTCGGCGTGCGGAGGCTTAGGGGTTAATGTAGGGGCCGTAATAATTAGAATAGCGTTTGGGGTGTTCCTTCTCATAGTTATAGTAGAGTATGCTCCTAACCCCTATTCTATTTAATTCTTAAGGCCCCTACATTAAGGTTATAGGGCAGTGCTAGTTGCAGACATGGCAGATTGATTGATGGCCCTGACAGAACCCTCCCTGTCCCTGGTGTTCACGGTTGCCCCTTCAACGCAGCCTGTTGTTGGGCAAACCAAGAATATGGCTCGGCTTCAAGGTAAACCTCAACAACAAGGTTTCAAACTAAAGGTCTGCCCGCGGCGTTCGGGATTCAGGAGTTTAGGATTGCAGCTGTCGGTCGTCCAGTGCATGGCCCGCTTTCGGGGTAGACTCCATGCATTGGACAGCAGCTTCCGAGGTTGTAGTGCGCTACTGCTATGGGGTGGCACAAGATCTAGGACCTCGAATGGTAACGGTTCAGGCTTCAAGATGAGGGCTGTACTTTGCACTGGTAGGGAAATCCCTGTCTTACACATCCTATAAACCCTAAACCGTACACCCTACCGTCTTCGTTTGAATGCGGTCTCAGGATGCTCAAGCAGCAAGACGAGATCGTAGCTATGCTTCTTGGATTTCAACCCGGCCCTTAGGATCCACCTGCCGAAGCCTGGGTTTCAATCTTTAGCGGCTGCGCAGTTGCGACCTAAACCCTAAACCCTCAACCGCTATACAATCATCCTGACATATTTTGAGATAGTATACTGCCTGGAGAGACCACATGAGCCTCTCCCTCGAAGCACCATGGGACGGTCACAACATAGTTGCTCCCTTAGTATTAGTGCTTGGTTGGCTGGCTACTGTTGGGTCTTGGGTCTTGGTGTTGCTAATCCTGTTTTGTCCCCTGGTGTACAAGTAGCAAGCTCAGCGGACTTAGCGCCTGTAGCCATGCCTGCCTCGTGCGAGTGTGTGAGTCGCAACCGCTATACCCGCAGCCCAAAACCCGTCATTAGTGTCGCAACTAGCACCGCGAGTACTAGCAGAAGCAGTAATTATCGGCGGTCTGACCAGCTCCATCACTGTTCATATTATGGTTTTGAGTATTTCTATGAGATTCCCATTCTTATGTATTACTATAGTTATTACTACTTCATTGGCTATTGCTATTGCGCTTCTCTGTTGTTCCCCTTCTCTCTCTGTCCCTCTCAGTCTGCATGGCTTCTTGCAGTTTGGTGTCTTTTGCCTCCGGTCGATGTTAAATGACCTTAAAGCGGCTGCTGAGCACCAACGCCCGACCGCATGCCAGGACAGGCGACGGAGTGAATGATGCACCTGCCTTAAAGCAGGCCCGCCCGGCTAGCTTCGGGGACACTACTGGGCATCCTAAAGGGGACCCTACGAAAGAACCCGATAGTACCCTTAAAGGGAACCCTAAACCCTAAGCCTAAACCCCATAGATCATCTGTGGTCTTCTGGTCTTGCTTCGGCCTTCCTCTGGCTAGCACTGAGCCAGCCCGTGATCTGTAGCTACTACCTTGAAGCCGAGGATGCCCCGAGACTTGCTACAGCCCGAGTTTGCGTCGAGCCCCATTGAACAAAATGTACTGCTTGGCGGCTACTCTTTTCTGCCAAGTTTCCCTTTTTGTCGATTCCTCTGCTTTCCGTTCTTGCACATCGTCACTCCCATGCAATGGTGGCTTAGCATACCCCCGCGAAACCGGACAACATATCTGTGCCCGCTCTGCCTCCGGAAGAGTCAGCAGCTGCCACAGCTGACCCCTTCCCCTCCCCCCGTCGCGCACATCTCACAGTAGTGCGCTTTCGCCCGTTTGTTTGCGGGTTGATCAAAATTGTGGGCCCATTGGGTGTCTGTATCATAGTATATTTCTTATAGTCTAAGGGACCAAAACGGGCCCATAATTTTCATCAACCTCCCTTCGATCTTCATGATCAGGTCGATAATGCAGGAACCTGATCAAGAAACCCTGGGCCGATATCCCCCAAATAGTAGGATTCATATAAGGAACCAAAATAAATGCCCAAGGTCGCGTAATCAGGTTCCTACATTGCTTCACCAGGCCGACATTGGCGTAGCCATGGGCATGGGAGGCACGGAAGTGGCGAAAGAAGCCTCGGTCGCTTGCTAGCACGTGGAGAATCACGGTTCTGGCCCTCGTTTTGGCTGAGAAACAATGAATATGAATGCATGCATGCACGAACATACCTTGAGGCCACTCATGACTAGATTCCTCCTCCAACGGGTTTCGAGATGCTTTTGCTGTAGCCCTAAACATGCAAGGTACCAAACCGGAAAATCGTAAGTCTGAACCTCAAAATCTGCAGTCTCGAACCAGAACAAGGGCCCGGCTAGCCAAACCGCAGTTGTCAGGCCTCGAAAGCGGGAAGGGCAAGCCACAGGCAGGCACAAATCCAGAAGTGGAATGAGTTGTAAGAGGGTCTCGGGCTTAGGGGTCATGTTTATGAAGTCTGGCAGAAGCGAGGTTTGTTCCAATATCAAGTTCCTGTAGTACCATGGCCTGAACACAAGCTTCCTTGACCCCCCGAAACCTTAAACCCAAAAGCCCTACACCCCAAAACCCTTCAGGCTCCTCCTAGTATAGGAGTTCTAACTGTCCTTGCAGGCAGAAAAGGGCACATAAAAAAAACAAACCCTCATCGTATGCCTTATGCCTTATGGAACCCCAAGCCCTACCCAGCTGCTCAGGACATGGTCCTAGCCAACGACAACTTCTCGACCATCGTCGCGGCGGTGGAACCATGGCTCCTCATGGGTTTAAGGTTAAAGGTCTGTTGTTTTAATGTAGTTCCGAGGCCGTAGGAATAAGAATAGATGTGGGGGTAAACTGAATGATGAACGTAAGGATCCCGAGGGAAGAAAATTGGTAAGTCTTCCGGCCTTATCTGGTGCGAAATGCCGGTTTCGGGTTGAGGTCTTTCTTCCTGTTGCCATCCAGGCAAAAGCTACAGGTGCAAAAGTGGTTGGTTTCGAGAAAGCCTGCGGCTAGTCAAGGTTTCCAGGTTCCCACCGTCTGAGACATTTTTTGTTATGTTCAGCCGGCAATTGATAGCAGTTTTCAAGCGATTTGCTTGCCAGATTGATTGAATTATCGCTCGGGTTTGTAGGCTTTGCGGTTTGGAGTGGTCAGGTCGCAGACAATCACGAGTGCAGACTAGTTTAGAGTAGGGTCACCCTCAGGTACTGTACCTTTGCGAGTAGTCTACGTTTGTGCAAAAGGGCATTGACTCCAGAAAGAACCCCAAATCAGAAACTTCCTTAGCTGACAAGAGATCAATTCACACTGAGGAGCAGGGCAGGTCCATCTACAAGAACATGAAGGCAGCTGCGGCCTCAGTCGGCAGAAGGTTGCAATGCATCAAGGCAGGTTTCGGAGTAGGAGCATCGTTGGACGGTGAGGTCATCCGCTATTTAATCTCCTCCAACATCGGCGAGGCCTGTCGCTATTCACTGAAGTCGAAGGGCTACGGGTTCCATTAGTGGTCGAGCTGGTGGTGGGTGGCCAAAGTACCGCCCGCAGTAGCAGTAGTACTCATCCTCCAGGTGGAGGCCACTGCCGTTATCATCGTCACAACAACGCAGCAGCAGCCGCCAGTCACAGTCACAGCAGCAGTAGTCGTAGCAGCAGTAGTAGCATTAGCGTCAGGAAGAGGGGCAGTGGTAGTAGTAGTTAGTAGTAATAGGAGTACCAGTAGTAGTAGTAGTAGTAGTAGTAGTAGTAGTAGTAGTAGTAGTAGTAGTAGTAGTAGTAGTAGTAGTAGTAGTAGTAGTAGTAGTAGTAGTAGTAGTAATTAGTAGTAGTAGTAGTAGTCGTCGTCGTAGTAGTCGTAGTAGTAGTAGTAGTCGTCGTCGTCGTAGTAGCAGCAGCAGCAGTCGTTGTCGTGGTGGTGGTAGCAGTGGCTGTGGCCGTGGCGGTGGCAGGAGCACGAGCACTAGCAGCCAGCACTAGCACTAGCAGCTGCTGCATCAGCAGCCAGAGAAGTAGCAGAAGCGGCAGGGGTGACAACAGCGATCATGGTATTTGTGGTGGTACTGCAGCAGTACCCGCAGCCGGAATGAATTAGGAAGAGGGCGAGCAGGATCAATGAACAAGAGGAAACGCAGCAACACAAGGCAAAGAAGTCTTCCCATTTGTCGTGCTACTCACCGTCAAGGAATGATGCTTCCAAACAGGTGTGCTGAATACTTACGAATCATACAGCACTACGATAGTGCATGGTAATGCTTGCTGGTGCACTGTCCCCGCAGGTCGCATCGATTTTCTTGACTGCGGCGTTGGGTATTCCAGAGTGCCTGCGGCTGCTGTAGCCAGATGCCATTCTCTGCATTGAGCCACAGGTAATGCACAACTTGCCATTGTCCGTGACCCCACACTGGCCCCACACCAACTCAATTATTTAATTTCTTTTAAATAAGAGCAAACCTGGTTGAACAACTGGGCCGCCTCTGCACCTCCAGCCCAAACACAGCAGCTGGGTTTCCAGATGCTTTACTTCCGGCTATCGGCTTTCTCGAACGTAAGGCGAGCAAAGAAGTGCTCAGACCTGAAGAATTTAGTAGCATAATTCCCGCTTGGTCCCATATAGCTATACTATCATGCCCCAAAACTCTTTTGCACTATCAATATAAGACAGGGTCCCGGGGCAGTTGCATACAGACTTCGATAACAAGAGCGGCATCCGTGTACCGAGGAGCTTGGCACCGGTGCAGCTTTTATGGGTCAACTTGGTCACAGAGCCATGGCGAGGATATGAGCGCTTTCGGCCTCCAGGTTTCTAGCGGGTTCGGTTGTTGCGGTGGCGGTGCTGATGATGTCTGATAACGCTTTCTTGTAGGTAATGAGGCTTTACCACAGGTGTAAACCCTCAACCCTAGTCCCAAAGTCCTCAAACCCGTAAAACCCTAAAGCCTCAAACTCAAACTATAGGCCTGTGGATGAACACGGCCGCCCCTCCTTACGGAACGTTCGACAAACTCGGGATGAGGTTTAGGGTTATGGATGTTTTTGGTTTGGGGTTTTAGGGTTCAGGGATGCTTGTTCTGACGTCCGGCCCTAGCCCGTGACTCAGGTTCCGAATGTGCCTACTGGAAGGATCAGAGGGCTTTTCGAGTAGAGATATTCCGCGAGCCTTGAAGTATAACCCTAAACCTTGATTGGCTGCATAAAACCCAAAAAGAGACAGAAGCCTCTCACTCCGGAAGAAAACTGTGATAACAGGAAAGGTTCTTAAAGCACACCCCCGTCCAGAGCATCCTGCTCGACACACTCAGCAACAATCGACGGTTGAAGCTTTGGATGCTTCAGTGTTCAAAGCGTAAAAAAGCCCCCTAGACCCTACTCAGACCGTGAACGTAAACTCTAAAGGCAACAAGCCCGACTCTTGAGGTTTAAGTTGCGAGATGAAGTTCTGGGTTTAGGGTTTAGTCTCGGTTCAACTCAAGGGTTTTCGGGGCCGCGTCGACTCTTTGTTCAAGGCTCTGCAGGCCCGAGAAGAGAGTAAGATCAGGCTTGAGGGATTTTGTAGCCATGAACTTATGAGTCTTTAGGGGTTTAGGGTTCAAGTTTCCCAATGTCTTGCCTTAAGATTCTGTCGACATACAGTTGGTTTATGCCTTAGGGAGGGTTGAGGCTTGGGGTTAACCCGAAACCCTCAACCCCTAAACCCTAAATCCTAAACCCTAAGCCCCGTCCTTGCTAGGTAGGAGGGAAAAAAAACCCTAAGCCCCTAAACCCTAAACCCTTAAATCCTAAACCCTGAACCCCTAAAACCCTAAACCCCTATCCCCTAAAACCCTAAACCCCTAAAACCCTAGTCCCCTAAACCCCTAAAACCCTAGTCCCCTAAGCCCTAAACCCCTAGTCCCCTAAACCCCAATCCCCTCAACCCTGAACCCTGAGCCGGTCTGTAAAAGCTCTGAGGATGGCTTGCCCGCAACTGCCCTGGGATTCAACCCACCGGACGACAGTGCGACTGGTTTCGACATAATGTGGGGACCTGAATAATTAGAACAGGGTTTGGGGTATCTTAGAGTATTATAATAATCAGGAATCCCCCAAGAACCCTAATACTATAAGTTGTTGAAGTTCTACGGTTGCGGGTATAGGCTAGAAGCTACTGTAGCTGTTGGTTCTGTCTTGCAAGGCGTCGCTTCATCAGAAGATCCGAGAGGCTAGTCCCGTCAAGAGCATGCGGGAGCCAAGATAGAAGACAGAGGGTTTTGGCGGATTATCGATACAGAAGCCGAAATAAATACCGACATGATTCCATAAGACTCCTTAATAGTAGAAGTTTTATTAAAATCGTAATATCCCACAAGAGCATGAAAGAAAGATAGAAAGAGACAGAGAGAGAGGGAGCGAGAGGAGAGATGCAGGCAGATTGTGGAATCCCGAGACTTCTTCCGGGCGCTCACCACAGCATGTGTCTGAAAGAGCCGACGCCCATGGTCATGGATGCGTAACACGTTGAAACGGGATGGCGTTTGATCAGTGTTCTTGCTATGAGGATTTCAGCTGCTGCTAGTAGTTGGCTGAACTTCTTATCACTATGATCATAGTTCGAGTTGTCAAAACTGTCGTTATGAAGTTTATGGCTTATTCCTTACTACTACATATTCTAAAGCCCGAGCCGAAGCCCCGATGAACCAGAAGCCTGAAGCCCTGAAGCCTAAATCCAACATACATGTATTCATTCTCTTTCTTGACACATAGTATACTATGCTGGAAGAAAGTATATTATCCTATGGGGTTGATACGATAATATAGGACACTACATGGTACTAGAACCATACTGCCATACTCTCGAAGGTGATGTCTGAGCCCCCGCGCCGCAAGGACGCCTTAAACCAGCGAGTCGAGGGTGTACGTACTCAGAGAGCCCAAAGCTGTTTGGGTGGTTGCGCTTTCATTGTTGTGGGGTATTCTCAGCCTTGTGGGGGCTAGCGGTTTGGGTTTAGGGTGATGATATTCTACAAGTAGGATAAATTCACGTGCGGTGCCATGAGTTCAAGTTTCAAGTTTGCTGGTGTCTTGTGAAGACCTAAGTCGCCAGCTTGCCGGCACCCACCCAAGAGCCCGTGCTGAAAGGGTATGTTAGGCCAATGTTCCGGGGTAAAAGGTTTGGGGGTTTAACAGTTTAGGGTTCTAGGGTTAAGGGCTCCAGATTATGTGGCTCAGGACAATTCAGGAATATGCCTGGAGCCATAATCAGAAGGCCTCTACAATTGAAGGAGGACTTTTTGATTCGTGGATGGGTGTCTCTCCCGGTCCCAGCTGCTTTTCGGCTTCGGTGCCTGAAGCCAGGCTCTAAAATCTTTAAGCAGGGCTTTCAAACCAGAGGTCTCTTTCGGGTGGACGATTACTGCGACCCTTGTTTCCGCAAGGCCCACATCCCAGACCCCAAACCCTGATACTAGACCCCAAAGCCAAACCCCTGCTAAAGTATCCTTGGTGTGAAAACCACGGGTATCGATGCCTTGGCGCATGGGCTTTGTGTTTTAAGCTCCTGGATCCTGGGATGATGTGGTCAGGACGACACGTTGATCTCTGGCTGGGCCTTGTTGCCCGGCAGACATGATGAGAGGTGCGTGCGTGCGTGGGTGGGTGGGTGTGGGCGGGCGGGCGGGCGAGCGGGCGGGTGGGGGGGGTGGTGTGTGGGTCTCTCTCTGTGTGTGTGTGCGTGTGTTTGTTTGTGTGCGTGCGTGCGTGTGTAGGTTCAAGTTTTAGGGTTTGCGCAGCACTTCGTCGAGCGAACGTGGGGATTACCGGGCGGTGGTAAAGGCCCGATGCAAAAAGGGTTTGCGCAGCACAGGTCTCTTCATGCGTATCTTCATTGTGGGTGTGTGTCTCTGCGCGTGTCAAGCAACCTTGTCAGCAAGACCCTATGGTGAAGTATAGGGGAGTTATCGGGTGTAATTAATCGTTGGTCATATTCCTGCTAACCTGGGAGTCTCTCCCTCCGTCTCTCTTGTCCCAATACATATATACAAACATATATGTATATGTATTTGTATAGGTATAGGTATAGGTATGTGTATATGTATGTAAGCATGCATGCATGTATGTAAGTTGTTTTTCATTTTTGCCCAAAGCCGTGCCCGACGAATTACGACCCTTAGGAAGTTAATAGCTACATAGAGCTAGCACGGCGTTTCGCGGCGCAAACCTTGCTTTTGGATCTAGCGTAAAAAAAAGGGTGTCCGAGTCCGAAGCCTGCTGGAGCGTTGGGCACGCATTACATGCCTGCACGGAAAGTTTTTCGAGACATGCATCAAACCTCTTGAGCCTCCGACGGAGATATGACCTGCAGACTCCGACTAACGGCACAACAAAAGCATGCCCCGCGTGTATGCATGCATGCATGTGCCAAGAAAACGGACACTTCTACTCGACAGCATCCTTTGCAGATCGCAGAGTCACAAGATGATCCGAAACCGAACTGGTCTTTCATCCCTTGGCCGGAGCTTCTGAGGTTCAGATACCTGACGATCCTTGGCCTTGAAATGGCGTGCAGCCCCCAAACATGGCCCTGAAGAAAGGAGCTTCCTTAAGTCCTTGAATTACCTAATAGTCTCCATTGTAGTTCCTTTTTTGGGTTTAGCCAACTGTATATTAAGGATCCTAGAAAGGTAACCCCAAAAAGGAACTGCAATGGAGACTGTGGTAAAGCAGGGCTCTTGATGGAGGGAGAACGCATCTTGGAGTTTAGGTTTTGGGAATGCCTCCCACAAGGTTTCCTGGAATGATTGCTCATACTTGTAGGGTTCTTTTGTGGTGAGTATCCGAAGGATTTTATCGCTGCTAAGGGCAGGCGACGTCTTGATTTTGATCTTTTGAAGCAGCTTATGCCATAGGGCCTGGAATGGTCAGCGGCAACATTCCCCCTTAAATCTCATATTTCCCCACGTTAAGTTATAGATGTACCCCGATACCCTGCCATAAACCATGCAATCTTCGAAAAGTTAAGACGTGCGTCTTCCGGCACGTCCACCTTTTTCGGACACCTACACGCCATGCAGGCCCAGCCCTGATCCAGTATAGAAATCTAGTATGCTATTATGGGATAAATCTAGTATAGTATATTATTCGTATGATACCGTGCAATGTAGTATAGCATAGTAGCCTGAGGAAGGAATGATAAAGAAGTGACTTCAAGCGCGTTCTAGTTGAGACCGCTTAGGATTGGCATCTACGTCGGCCTCGCCACGGTTGGAGTCTTCATCTACTGGCTGCTTCGATCGTCAGGGGTTTGACCAGGTTTTTTACAGTGGAGTATAACCTACGCCGTCATTTCATTCCTAGACGCCAGCCCCCGAACCCTATTCCCGCTATATAGACTTGGGAGGTGACTGTGAGACACATGGAAGACACCGTGTTTGACAGTTGTGACTGGGTCGAAGCTGATCTCACAATACAATGCTGTACCGTAGTCGTAGCTGTTTTCCGGGCTGTTTGAAAGTGAGCCCTAAACTCATATCAGACCGTAGGTTTATGTAGGTCTTACTTGCACGGAGAAGATAATTATTTCTCATTCCGAGCCCTACATTGGAAGGGGTGGTTGGTGTTTGGGGGGTTGGGGGTGGCTGCGAGGATTTTAGATCTTCCACAGTGGTGCCGACCAGAGTATTTTAGGTTTTAAGGTCGGCAGCCGCTCATGCTACATTACAACGAAAAAAGTGTGTAGCTGGAGACCCACCACATAAAACCCAACTGCTGGAACCCTTGCATTTGCGTTGGGCAAGAGGCTTGTCTGGGTCAGGGCCTGCATCCAACAGTTAGCAGCCTAACAGAGGAAATGCAAAGGTCTGAGGATGTCCATGGTGCTGTCTGCGTTATTCTATGTAAATCGGGTGCCTTCGTCGATGCCCAGGTTTTGCTACGATGCCGGCGACGATGGGCATACGCTGGCGGGCCTTTGTATCAGGGCTCCGGGTGCTACATTCGAGACGAGGGTTTGATCCTGCCAGGCCCATAAGCCCGCTAGAGTCCGCTAGAGCTGAAGCCGGTCTGACAGAGCCGTCTCAAGGTCGGATGCAAGTGTTTATAATGCAGCACACCTGCTTCGCAATCTGGACATGTTCCTACAAACTTTCCAACTCCCGATGAGTCGTTGCAGCTGGTTCAGCGTGTGACTTTGGGAGAGTGCAGGTTGAGGGTTCAGAGCTGACACAGCTGATCCCGAAGCTCTCAACCCCAAAACCATCCTTAGGGATTTTTTTTATTTTTGTTCATACAAAACCCAAGAGAGTATGCAATATATTTTTTATTATGGTTCTAAGGGGGGGTATAGAAAATCCTAAACCCAAAACCCCAAAGCCAACCTTGGTGGCTAATTGATGTGCTGCCGTGATGCTCGGACTCGTAACCAGGCTTGTCCCAGGTGTGAGTGCTGTGCAAAAGCAGGGTTTTGGTGTAAAATTTCTTAAAATCAGCACTAAACCCTAAACCCGAAACCTGTTAAAAGAGGGTGGCGTATAGTATCTCTGCGTATAGCTACCTGGAAGGTTTCTCTGGATCAGCTGATGAACTGGGGTCAATGCTCCTCTTGGGGAGCATCTTGGCACAGCATATTCGGATTGATAACTTTCGCCGTAAGACTGTCCGAGCCCGAAACTGTGAAACTTCAGGTTGCAAAAAGGAGGGGGTCCACAGTTCAGGGTTTCGGATGTGCAACGATATGCCAGGCTTTCTCGGCTAGGTTCTCGTGAAAAGGCACGTCGGTTGGATGTCCTACCCTGTCTCAAAGTAGTAAGTACATCCCGTAATATCCCCTGATTTTATATTACAATCTCATAATAGGCTAATTCACGTGCGTCCTCGCGCCGCCGCGTCCCGCGTCCCGCGTCCCGCGGCCCGCGGCCCGCGGCCCGCGGCCCGCGTCCCCCGTCCCGTCCCGCGTCCCGCGTCCGCGCCCCGCGCCCCGCCCCCTGCGCCCCGCGTCCCGCGCCCCGCGTCCGCGCCCCGCGCCCCGCGTCCCGCCTCCCGCACCCCACATCTTTTCATCAGTTGTATGGCCGCCCATGCCAGTGGTGTTGCGGTCCGTCTGCAGCTAAATCCGACAGCTTCAACTTATCTTATCACCATCACACGGAACAGCACTTGTCATATACATAATAGGCCGATTTGTGCGCGGCCCAGCGCCTCCATTCTGCGGCCGGGCACAGATGGTTGTACTAGTAGTAGTAGTAGTAGTAGTAGTAGTAGTAGTAGTAGTAGTAGTAGTAGTAGTAGTAGTAGTAGTGTAGTAATAATAGTAGTTGTAGTAGTAGTAGTCGTATAGGAGTCGTAGTAGTAGTAGTAGTAGTAGTAGTAGTAGTAGTAGTAGTAGTAGTAGTAGTAGTAGTAGTAGTACTAGTACTAGTACTAGTACTTGTACTTGTACTAGTACTAGTACTAGTACTAGTACTAGTACTAGTACTAGTACTAGTACTAGTACTAGTAGTAGCGTATAATAGTAGCGTAGTCGTAGTAGTAGTAGTAGTAGTAGTAGTAGTAGTAATAGTAGTAGTAGTAGTAGTAGTAGTAGTAGTAGTAGTAGTAGTAGTAGTAGTAGTAGTAGTAGTAGTACTAGTAGCTACTACTACTACTACTACTACTACTACTACTACTACTACTACGACTACGTGTTTGTTATATATAGTAATAGTATTGGTAATAGTAAAGAGTAATAGAGTAATACAGTCATAGACTAATAGACTGACAGATTGATAATAAACCAATAGACTACTAGACATAATAAACTTGTAGACTAATAGACTAATGGACGAATAGACGAATAGACTAATAGACTAGTAGACTAATAGACTAATAGACTAATAGACGAACCAATGCAACTGTCACTCTGGACGATACGCATGCATATCTCTGGAAACTTGGATCATGCATACAGAAAGCACATGTACCAATATGTAACGCAATATAGTAATTATATCTTTGATGGAAGGATGAAAAAGGAAAGATTGATGGATGGATGGATGGACGGACGGGCGGACGGAGGGATGGATGGATGGATGGATGGATGGGGCAGAGGCATTAAAAAAAAAGATAAGCAGCAAAGGAAATTTGATAAGCATCAAGAAAAATTTGATAAGCATCAAAAAATATTTGTAGACAGAGAAGTAGCACTAGTAGTAGTAGTAGTAGTAGTAGCCATTATTTGTTTGGTCCTCTGGCTATTTTCGCGTGTTTGTTAGAGATGGTAGTAGTAATAGTAATAGTAATAGTAAGAGTAAGAGTAAGAGTAAGAGTAAGAGTAAGAGTAAGAGTAAGAGTAAGAGTAAGAGTAATAGTAATAGTAATAGTCATAGGCATAGTAATAGTAATAGCAATAGCAATATAATCGTAATAGTAATAGTAATAATAATAGTAATAGTAATAGTAATAGTAATAGTAATAGTAATAGTAATAGTAATAGTAATAGTAATAGTAATAGTAATAGTATTAGTAATAGTAATAGTAATAGTAATAGTAATAGTAATAGTAGTAGTACTAGTAATAGTAATAGTAATAGTAATAGTAATAGTAATAGTAATAGTAATAGTAATCGTAATCGTAATAGTAATAGTAATAGTAATAGTAATAGTAATAGTAATAGTAATAGTAATAGTAATAGTAATAGTAATAGTAATAGTAATAGTAAAAGTAATAGTAGTAGTAATAGTAATAGTAATAGTAATAGTAATAGTACTAGTACTAGTACTAGTAATAGTAATAGTAATAGTACTAGTACTAGTACTAGTAATAGTATCAGTAATAGTAATAGTAATAGTAATATTAATCGTAATAGTAATAGTAATAGCAATAGTAATAGTAATAGTAATAGTAAAAGTAATAGTAATAGCGTCCCGCGCCCCGCGCCCCGCGTCCCGCGCCCCGCGTCCCGCGTCCCGCGTCCCGCGTCCCGCGCGCCTCCGCGGCAAAAAAAAACCTATACCCTACAATCTTCAGATTACAGCCCCCATCTTTTGTTGTTCAAGTCCTACTCTCATTCTTCATGCCTGCTTGGATGGGACCACCCCGTTTCAGGGTTGCGGGGTTCAGGGTTTGGTGCGAGGTTTCGTCTTCTCAGTACGCGTACGTAGGGAAGCCCAAGTGTGATCTGAGTTTTTGCCGAGGCCCACAACCCCGGGCAAAACAGCCTGGCCACCAGTTCCGAATTGTGAGAGTTACTAGGATCTGGAGTAGGCCCTTATTCCCTTTTTGTAGGTGTCAGGTTCCCCTATAGGCCCCTTTAAACCAAAAAGGGCACCCTTTTTATTCCTAGGCTACTCTTGGGTCTAGGTTAGGGTTTAGGGTTTAGGGACCCCGACGTCTCCTCCTAAGGTGACTGAGGAAGGCTCTGCCCTAGAGCTTCGCTGCCGGCATACACTCCAAGTACGTGCTTCAAAAAGGGTTTAGGGTTTAAAGTAAAAGCCAGAAAGTTGGAATATGATTATCCTAAACCCTTTATGGTAAATTATAAGGTATCCTACCCTGAAACCATATTCCAACTTTCTGGAGTTCCCTTTAGGGTTTAGGGACCCTGAAGCTTCGAACGTAAGCCCTGCCACAGCTCAATTTTGCCAAGGGCTTTGATGCGAATCCTATTTTGGACCTTGACTTTGCCGGCAACGCCTGCAGCTATTTCACAGCCACTCATCTTGCAGCTCCAGGCTTTCACGGTTCAGGATTTAGGAACAAAGCGTGGATTGAGGGGTTTAGTTTAGGTCTCTACGCCCTTTACCGCTGATTAAGAAGCCTCGCTTTCGTAAGCTTAACCTGGTTTGGGGTTTTGGGAACGACTTGGCATGCTGCCAGATTGAGAATGGGCTTCGTGCAGCAAGGGATGAAGTTTTGCAGCGTCACATTGATTCGGTTCTTGCTGGCAGACACCGGGTGTCATGCTTACAAGCTGATGCGGGCATGGAATGTTTTTAGGTTTGCGAAGGTTTAGGCGAAGGCCTGCTGTTATGCCATTTTGCAAACCAGTAGCTGTTTGGATACTGTACAGCTGAAATGAGTGCAGTACAGGCCCGTTGTACACTTGATGCCGAATGTATTTGATGTAAAAGGCCTGCGTGCCAGCCCCAAACAGGGCCATCTCGTTATCGTCGTTTCTCTTCCGTGAAAGAGGTCCGAGGTCGCGTTACACAAAAGTTCACCGTCCGGAATGACTCCAGCAGCGCAGCAACAGTACATGGAAAAGAAGAATGAGCATAGCCTAGCTACCGTCAGCCGCGAGCGCGGAAGCAATGGAAGGATTAGATCATGGCAACAAGCAGAAGTTATCAGATTCAGCACCGAGCACCTTATGCAGCACAGGACACTTCCAGGATTCATTGCGCTCAGAGTTGGATTGTGCCCTAAACCCAAAGCCAAAAACCCTGTGCGCACTGTCAGCCCGAAGTCAACAGCTTCGAAGCGCGTCTCCTGCAGAGTTTGCCCAGGTCGGCAAGGTGAAGGCAGCCACCCTGTCAATCACCGTGCTGGCGGGGACCGCGGGGACGGGGGTTCAGTCAACCAAGGGCTGACGGTTTGGGATGTAACGGCCGTGGTCTGGCTAGACTTGAGTCCGGTAGCAAACGACTTACCTTTGGTTAGTAGGGAATGCAGGAATGGGGTACAATTATAACTACTATTACTACCCTTCTTCCATTCCCTACAAACCAAAGGTAAGACAAGGGTTAACGATAGGTGGTGGAAGAGGGCAGGGGAACAGGCAGGCAGGTCGTTGCGTTTCCGTGCGTGCTTCGTCATTCTCGGTGCGCCTCTGAACTCCGACTTTTGAGAAGGGCTCCTGTTATGGGTGGTTGTCAAAATTAGTGACCCTTTTTTGGTCCATATTACAATACGGCACCTATTATTTAGGGTACCCAAAAAGGGGACCCCAGTTTTGACAACTACCCTTCCGGAGCAGAGCTTTGTGTAGGATTTCGGGCTGTTTGGGGTTTAGTAACTACTAACGGTTCAGGGTGCAATTTTTCCATGCAAGGTGATGATCCAGCTGTTGAACGCGTTCAACGCTGTTTCGGAGGACTCCGGCGAAGGTTCATGATAAAATTCGAAGTTTTCAACAACATACGTAGATTCCCTGCACGCTCAAATCCAGCACGAGCGCTAACGTTCGGCATGCAGTTCTTTTTGTAATCACCGTTGTGGTTTTGCCCTTGCATACCCCAGACCCTATGCCGTGAATTTTGTGAACCTTGAACTTTGCCCTAGTTGAACCTTGCACCCCTGAACAGTGAACTGAACCTTTTTGCATCTGTCGCGCTCGAGATGCAGCTCTTCGGAGATACTTGTGGCTGTACATACACACCCTCCGAAGGTTGAACCTTAAGCTTCGAAATAGGATCATGTTAAACCCGCCAAACCTAAGCTTACACCATCGACATCTGAGCAGATCCGAAGCCTGGCAACATGATAGCCCTCGACCAGAATTTCCACTAGGGTTGCGAGTTTGGAAGGGTTCAGAGTTCAAGGGTTTGGGGCCTAAGGTTTGCAGTTTGGGTAGGATTCCGGGTTGAGGAGTTCGTGTGCTGAAGAAAATAGTCTTGGGCAGAGGACGCTTCCCTCCTGATACGGCCTCCGTGGACGAACCCGTATCTCGTGGTTGCCTGTGCCATGGTGGAAGTTTAGGAACTTGAGCATCCCCTAAACCATCCTGAACCTTAAACCCCGAAGCCCTGAACCCCTAAACCCTATAGCCACCCTCTCCCTCGAGTAGCAGTTTCGGACGAGTTCCCTGCGTTGCGACACTGTTCAGCTGACAGGGTGGCAAAAAAGTAGCCTCAACCCGTAGGGTTATGCATGGAGGTTTGTCCGAGCGAGACAGACAAGGGAGCACTCTGGGTCATGTAGTGTTCTGGTGAAAATCGCGAGGGTGCTGATTTCGCAGCCGATACTTTAGGGGCCTAAATCATTTCCCATACGATTTTTGGGGCTGCTTGTTATAAGTATAGTATAATATCCCCCAAAAAACCCAAAACTCCTACAGTAGCTGCAGGGGATGGTATAGCTCCAGGGCAGCATGTTTGTCGTGATAGCTGGTGCGGGGTGAAACCTTCTGCTTTCTCGAACTGCCGCAACGGATACAGTATGCTGGAGCTCTCGACATGCAAGCTTGCAATGCTTGCAAGAAGCCTCAGTTGCAGAACTCCAGGATATCAAGCCGGGATCGTCGCCATCAAACATCATCAACCTCTAAGCTTACCTTTGGTTAGTAGGGAATGGAAGAATGGTAGTCATCGTAGTGATAATTGTACCCCATTCCTCCTTTCCCTACCAACCAAAGGGAGGTAAGGAAGCCTCCACCCCGAACACGAGGAGGGCACCTAAGTGACTGCAATCCAACCCCAGCCTGCCGAGGCTTTGCTCTTAGCCCCCATGAGCCCCAAAGGCTGAACCTAGACAATCGAGCAAACCCCCCCCCCCCCCCCCCCCACACCCCAAACCCCTAAACCCTGCCTCGCCTGGATTGTCCGAGTGTGAGCGCCGAAACCATAAATCCCTAAGATTTGAACCTAAGACCTAAACCCCGAAACCCTAAACCCCCACACCCTAAATCCCCAAGACCTAAACCCTAAACTCCCAGACCTCGTCCAGCTTGTTGGAGTTGCGAGAGCATGGCATAAACCCTAAACCCCAAGCCCTACCTTAAGCCGGAATAACCTACCTTTTTAGGGTTCCTTGTTCTGATTTCCTTTTCTAAGTCCTTAAAAAGGTAGGTTATTCCGGCTTAAGGTATGAAATAAACAAAACGTACCAAACACTGAGGCGGAGGCTCTGCAGCGCTTCACTGTCTCATCCTGTGATCTGGTTCAGAGATTTTGTTGCGAGGGGGCTGGGGGGCCTATGGGGTATTTGTAGGTACTCTTGGCAGCGAGACCGGGTGCCTTTCTTGCATGCCTCGTACGCCAGTGGCTGAACCCCAACAACCGTCTACATCCCACTGTGCCCCTGTGGGAGCCAAGCACCATCCCGAAACCGTTGGCTTATGCTGTTTTGGAGTTGGGGGGCTGTTGTCCTCAAAGGTCCGTTTCGAGCAGACCTTAGTGCCTTCGGGGGCACCAAGGTACACGCCGGCATTGGCAGGCATCTTTGGTGTGTGCCCCCTGGATGCCCATGACTGGATGTTGGTGGCTCTCTTCTCCCTGCCGGTGCTACTGTTGGACGAGGTCGGGATTCCTCGAAAATAGGGACCCCATTTCCGGTTTAGGGTTTACAAACGGCCTAAATGATTTAGCAACTAGGGTTCAAGCTGAGGCTTTGTGGCGTCCAGATTCGAAACGCCAGACCTGTTGAACATCCCCAGGTGCTCAAGTTCTTCAGCCGGCAGCAGAGGACGTCCAACTAGCCGTGTTCTCAGGACACGAGCATTTCAACCAAAGCGAACAGAGGCTCAAATTCATTTTAACTCCAGCCGCCTTTAGATTTCAATCAGACCGGCGTGAGGAGATAATGCCTTGAGGGGCGGGACCTGTGGTTTATAAGGTTTAGACCCAGGCTGAAATGTATAACAGTGGTGCTTTGAAGAGCTTTCAATGAAAATAGCAAGAAGCCAGCGAGGAAACGGAAGGAAAAATACGGGTAGCTGTATCAGGTGCACTATCGAACCCGCCCAGGGCTTTCACAAGAGAGAACCGTGTTCAAGGGTGCGCCCCGGGCCATGCTTTCGAATTTTAAATTTAGAGCCTCCGTGGAACTCGATGTCTTCGAGGGCATCGGCGGGCTCCCGACCTTGAGGACGACGTGGAACCGGCCCCGAAAGGCTTTTGAAGTCCGTAAGCAAATCCAAAGCTCATGTAGACGACCCTTTTGGAGGTTCCTGCCGTCCAAAAAAGGTACAGCCAAAGGTGCTTCTTATCGGACGAGGGCACTGCCATCTGATCCCTGTTTGGGGAGTTGTTTGGTACTTTCGGTTCGAGAGTTCAAGACTGGTTTGTAAGACGCCATGGCGCCAGGCATGCCGGCATGTGGTTCGCGCGCACAGCTTCCAGCTGGGAAGGTCTTCCATGGGGGTACTGAAAGGGGTCACGACGATGTGCGGGCAGAGGCTGTTTTCGCATCAGGGTGGCGCAGTTCGGGTTGTGCTAAATCTATGAAAATTTGGCTGGAGGAGTAAAAAATGAACAGCGGAAGAGTCAGTGCCGTAGAAGTAGAGATCGAGGTCCGGAATAGCTTTAATTCTATTAATAGAAATGGTGTTACTTCGAGGGTTCCTCCATATACTTGTCCTATCATACACCCCAAAAGTATTGAAGGTCTGTGAACGTCCGCTCTTGGGTATGCGGCGTCCTCGTGCAAGACAAGTTTGTTTGTTCCAGTTCCGGGGCTGTCGAATCGGAGGCCTCAAAAGGTGGGATGAAGGTAGGTGGGATATTCCCAAATAAGAGTCCTTATAATTATATAAGGGATCCTTAATCCTACCTACCTTCATCCCACCTTTTGAGGCCCCCGATCGAAGCAAGGGCAGAGAAAGCACTCCGAAGGTTGCCGTCGGAGCAGTCCATGCTCCCAGCTCGTCGATACGGCGCTTAGACTAATACATACCCTTAAGCCCAGACCTCTGATTCCTCGAACCTCCAAGACTGAAGTCTGTAAGCCCTACTCTGAACTTCAGCCTCCCATTGGCATAGCAAGCTATGTTTGACCCGATCCATGCCATTTTGAGTCTATGGTCGCTTGTCCAAGTTGACGTTAGGGTTTCCGGTGCTCCTGGCATGCATGTAAGAAGGGAGTAGCGCCACATGTCTGAGCATCACTAAAAATCGTGCCTTCCCTCGACTCCCGAAACCCAGTCAATTTGGAGAGTGGAAGGAGATGCAGCGTGCCTTTATAGGTTCTTTACACTTGGGGATAGGGAGTTCGGGATTCGTACCTGTTCCACTCATGTTCGGCACCCTACCCTACGCCCGCGACCTAAACCCCCGTAATTTGTTATTCTTGGGAGGGTGCAGCGATCGGCAACCTTCAGTGCCTGCAAGCCTGCACAGCACCCTCAAGACAGACAGCGCGCGAAGATAGGATGAGTCCAAACAGGGGCGGATTCTGCGTGGATTGTTTCAGGCTCCTTTCCTGTGCCCTTCTAGCAAGTGGCGTCACCAACGGCGTTTGACGTGACGAAACATGACATCAGATGAAGAGGCCCTTAATACTTCGAAGGTCTCATAACATTGTCGGTGCAGATGAAGAACATGGACATCCTGCTGAAGACGGGGCTGTGTTTCGGTGAGTTGGGTTTATTTAACGATACCCTCCGGTTCTCCTGAACAAACCACTAAACCACCTGTCTGGCCTCTCACACTCTGCTCTTGACCAGGTCACCGCAAGGGTTATCACAGCCCTAGCCCTTTCACGGAGTCTGCAGCGTCCACCGTTGACCAAAGCTTTGGCTTGAGAGCTGCTGGCATGGAGTCTCTGGATTACTAATACCATTACTGTTTCTATTGCCACTATTACCATTATTATTAGGTCTTTGCCGGGCTATGTCGCAATCTCTCGCCTCACTTCTGGTGCTCGCACCGCTGGCGCTCGGCGCGGCGCCGTCGTTTTGGCCCCGCTACGGTGGCGAAAGGGAGGCACGGGAGTTCCCCTGATACTTACAGGCCTTTGGCGATTTGGGGCACACGCACACCGTCGACCACGAAAAGTTTGTAGGATGAGGATGTAAGCACGACGAAGTTTGCTGCTGTCATCAGGATGCTTATCGGAAAAAAAGGGGCGGTTTGCAGTGATTGAGAGAGGTGACTCTCTTGGACGGCGAATGGCAGTTCGGCCCCTTGGCTTCAGGTACTCGTATGCTACCTTAGCCTAACACAAACCCTCATTTTTTGTAGTTTCCATATTATGAACCCTAATATGGAATTTATAGGGACCCTACAAAAAAAAGTAGGGTTTGGTAGGTTAAGGTAGGCATGGGGCATCCGTGCCGCGATGCGGTTCATGGTTGGTCCCGGAAATCCACGGCTTGGGGTTTATACAAGGCCTCGGAGCGTAAATCGAAGCTGGATGGCGGCTCAGAATGGCGCGAATCTCACAGAGGGTTTAAGCGCTGCCACCACAGGCCAGGGATCAAAAGAAAGCCCAAACATGTACCTCGCCAAGTAATTGCTTCACTGCGAAACCATGGAGAAAGCTTGACTAAGGCTTTAACAGCGACAAGAGCTTCGACGTCCTAGCGCCCCTGGACACCAAGGTCGCAGGGTTTCGGCTGCAGGGGGAGGCAGTCGTCTTTCTGAGCTCGTTAGTGGGGGCATCCACCTTTAGATTGATGTTCCTTCATGGATCCACGCTAGGCGCAATCCCTGATGTGTTTAGAAATGTTTAGAACTTACAGACCGAGGGTCTTCCGTGTTTGCTAGCAGAAATAAGTTAAAGTTTTGTGCACGCTGGACCCCTTAGTCAGTAGCTTGGGAATCCTGAAAAGCCCTACGCTAAAATCTAATTAAACCTGTATGCCCGAGCGTTTCTGAGGGCTTGGACCTAGGAGTCATTTTGGTCCGTCGTTGTTCTGCTAACCCCGCGACGTCTCCATGGGTGTGTGTTAAGGGTTTGTAGGCTTAGGGGCTATGCCGGGCCTGTCGCAAAAGGGTCTACAGGGTTTAGGGGTTCAGGGTTAAGGGCTTCAGGGTTAAGGGCTTCAGGGTTGAAGGGTTTGGGGTTTAGGACAAGGCCTGGTTGCTCCCACACAGGGTATGTTCATCCCCCGACTGTTTCTTCTGCACCAGGGGTCCTTTGGAGACGCCAGTCTTAACAGCAGTGCGCTCTAATCTGGACGCTACCCGTAGAATGAGCTTAATACAATTGGTTGCGGTTCTCGAACATAAGCCAGTTGAAAACATAGCCTGGCTAAGCCGAAGCCCTAAACTTCACTAAACCCTAAATCCCATGAATTTGGGTATTGATTTCTGTATCACCTTGGGAGGATCCCAGCCTGACGCCAAACCGCACCTCTGTACCTGCCTCCGTGGACGCGGCGCCGCCCGGGGTTTTGGGCCGGCGGGGCGTGGCGCTCTACCGCCCTTTGGGCCTTGTCAGCTGGACTTTCCAGGATTGTTTTGTCAGTCGTTAAAACCACACTGAAGTATATGGGGATAGAAGATAGGTCATCTGCAATGCGGTCTTCGGATCGGCCAGGCGGGAGCCAAAAAGATAGGGTCATCGACCGGCAGCTACCGCACTGGAGTACTGTAGCGCATGAGATGGCTTCGAGGCTTCTACGGGCCTCCTCCCGAAAAAAAAGCACCCCAAACGTTACACCAACTACCAACATCAATATCCCGGTCGTTCTCCACCCCGCAGCCCAAATCGAGGTACCCACTTTCTTCAGAACGGTCATGCACGGCTGCAGCGGCCTGACAGCATCGAGAATCCTTTGGTGGTTGGTGCGGTCGCAGTTCTATCCAGAGCTGGACACTTCCTAGGGCTATCTGGGACTTGGCTTGAGAACAGGCTGAGGATCCGGGTGTTGGATGTGAAGATTTGGTGGTTGGTGACAGTCTAGAGGCTTGTCAAGAGCAATTACCCATGACGCTGGTACATGTTTGCCTCTGTTGTCGTCGCAGGACGAGGCCCTGTTCGTTCAATGGTTCGCCGCAAGAGCCTAATTTTTTTGCACAACTAGTACTCTTATTCTGTCACTAGCAGCATGATCTTCCATGCTGAACGATGCGCTGGCCTAACTGGTGGCTAGTGGCAGTGTTACGGACGCGGTATCTTGTTGTGGAAGCGGTTGTGCGATGCAAGCGGTAGAAGCAACAAAACTTAGCACGTGTCTTTATGACTTGCGAAAACTTATCTAACAGGGATTTCGGTAAGGCCGAGCAGCAAGCAGGACAGCCAATGACATAATTAATTAGTTAAAACGGCAAGCAGTCTTGTATGAGCCACCACAGCACAGCGACAAGAACACTACTTGGGTGGTTGTCAAAATTATGGTCCCTGTTTGGGCACCCTAAATATTAGGTGCCGTACTAGAATAACCCGCCACCGTGTTTACCGTACCCCTAAATATTGAAAAACGCAGCTGCCGCTGTGGTGGCGTGCTTATTTCAGTGAGTTTTGGAAGTACGCAAATGACAAGGCTGTTTTGCGTTTTGTGTGGGAGGCGTTGCTCGAAAAGGTTTACGCGCGTGTGTTGTGACAACGTGTCTTGCTCCACATCCTTGCGCAGCATGTTGTACCAAGAGCCCAAAATTCTGTAAATACCAGCGTTTTGGGCATGATCGCCAAAGGCAGTGACATGAACATCAACCTGACCATCTTCATCATCATCTTCATAACCATCATCCTCGCCATGCTCAACATCATCGTTTGCCTGATCATCTTCATCATCATCCTCATAGTCATCATCCTTATCATCACCCTCATAATCGTCGTCATCATCAACATAAGGCCGGTGATGCAGTTAACGATGATGTTGAAGATGGCGAGGATGATGGTTATGATGAAGTTGGTCAGGTTAATGTTCATGTGATTGCCTTTGGCGGTCATGCCCAAAACACTGGTATTTACAGCATTTTTGGCTTTTTGTACATGCTGCACAAGAATGTGGAGCAAGACACGTTGTTACAAGCATCCTACCACTGCTACTGCTACCGGCGCTACTGTGTTACTGCTTACGGTCAACCATGTCGTTATTAGCCCCCCCCCCCCCCCCCGTTACTGCTTACGGTCAACCATGTCGTTATTACCCCCCCCCCCCCCCCAGTCCCCAGTAGCCGATTTCACGGGTACGGTAAACACGCCGCTGGCTAGAATAAGGACCCGGACCCAAAAAGGGACCCTAGTTTTGACAACCTGAAAGGAGGTTATAGGAGCCCAAAAGATCCCTTTAAGGGAACCCTTAAAAGGAGCCCTTATAGGAGCCCTATAGATCCCTTTAAAGGAACCCTTAAAGGGGCCCTTATAAGAGCCCTCTAGATCCCTTAAAAGGACCCCTTAAAAGGAGCCCTTATAGGAGCCCTATATAGATCCCTTTAAAGGAACCCTGGGGCGGCCTTCAGGTTCATGGGCTGCTCCTTCTACTGCCGCGTTTTCGTAGACGGAGGAGAGGTGGGAGAGCACCGCGCAGGCAGGTTCCCGGGCGAGGGCTTGCTGTTTAGAGTTTACGGTATTATGCGGTTTAGGGTTTAGGGTTTACCGTATCATGGTATCGTGGCCTTTTTATACCAGTTCATTTAGCACGACATGTGGCTTTGCTACGCACAGCCATGTTTGAGGCATAGCGAACAAAGGTATGAACGTGCACCTGACCTTTAGTTCAACTTGCTGACCCCGCAGTGCTCGCCGAGTGCACCGTGAGGTGGCTACGTTCCATGGTGGCTTGCGTCTTGGCTGGAAGAACCTGTTCGGTGAATCCCTGACCTACATTGTGAGTCCGCTTGCCGGTCTGTATTATTCCCCAAGCATAAGTACCATCATCTCTTCCAGTGCTTGAAGTCCACGCTGGCAATTTTGGTGTTCATTGTTTCCTGGCGTCGTAGGTGGTAGTGGTGGTAGTAGTGATCTATACAGTGGTCGTAGTGCTCGCAAAGTGGCCGTAGTCGTACGCATAGCCATAGCCGCAGCCGTGGCAGCTTAATTTTGGAAAGCCCAAGAACCCAAACCTTAAACCCTGGCTTCGTCCTTGCTAGGTAGGAGGGAAAAAAACCTTAAACCCTGCATCAGCCTGCCGGCCTGCATCTTCTGAATGCGCAAAGCTCATGAACCCTCGCCTGGACCTGACTGTCCGAGCTGTAGAAATCCAAGACAGCCCCGTTGGAACAAGGCCTTCTACACCCAGACTCGGGCTTCAATAACGGGATACTGACTAGGCTTCCTGAAGTCACGGTAGGAACCTCAAAAGCCTCCGAGCTTAGAGGTCGTTTATGTCCGGGCTAGGGTCTTCGGGAACCTTATCCCTCGGTGCAGGGAATCCTTCTCAACGATACTTAAAGGATCATGGGACTTAGTAACTAGGGTTATTATTGTGGTAACTATACTTATAATTACTTATAACCCCAATTAGGGGACTTATAACCATAGTTACTAAGTCCCATGATCCTTTAAACAACCGACAGCCCGAGGACCTCCCTGCACCGGCCACCGGAAACGCCACGCGAGAGCTCTTCGTTATGGCGGACAACCGCCTCCCCGGCTCTAACTTGGGCCCTCTAGAGTTCAAATCTGGGCTTTTGTTCGGGAGTTTCAGTTAAGCTACCATAGGGATCCATAGTCTATAGTAAATGATATGGTTTCCTTGCTATGGTAGCTTAAATTAACAGCTAAAGTAGATCCTTCAACACGAACCCAGAAAACAGCAGCCAGCCGAATATTCCGAAGGACAACATCTGTAGCAGAAATCATGCTGCTGACGGTGGTGATAGCGACAAGAACTTTGACGAAAGCTCTACTGTCATATGAGTCATGACAAAGACTAACGGTAGTATTGACATGAACGACTTAAGTCGTCACTTTAGTAACACTGGTACTGGCCACCGCCCCAGGTTTCAATCGCACCACTGCCCCTGTACACACCGGCGGTGACTTCTGGAACTATGGAGGCGGGAGAAGCGAAGGAAGAATTGCGGTCGGCTTTGGGTTACAGGTCAGGGTTCAGGCTTTCACTGCGAAAGTTGGCCCCCAAAATTCTCTCTGGGTGGCACAAACTGTGCACGATTTCAACACGATCCCCTTGTCAAGTCTCCGTCCCAGAGTTCGGGATTAAGTTATAAGGTCTGTGAGGCCTATGCCGCAACCCTTGGAGTGTTCGAGTGTTGGAGATCAAACCCTGAAATCCCAAACCCAAGATCACAAACTCCCAACCCTAATTAATCTCTACCCTACTTGGAGGATCATGGGACTTAGTAAGTAGGTTATAAGTGGGGTTATAAGTCCCCTAAGTGGGGTTATCCTAAGTATAACCGACTTATAACCTTACTTACTAAGTCCCTTGAGCCTCCAAGTATATTCCCTTAACCCCAAAGCAGAGGCATCCTTCGGAGCGTTTTGCTCCATGCTGCCAGGCTGCACGAAGTTGTATGGCTGATAGGTTCGGCTCCTACGTACGAGGGGTTTTCGGTGTAGGACGTAGGAAAGCTCATGATTTCGGGGTTTTGGGGTTCAGTACTGGGTTAAGTGGGTTTAGGGGGGTAATTTTTTCGGCTCGACCATGGCATGAAGCGCAACGGTGAAGAGCACGAAAGCCAGCAGCTCTGGATTTCGACATTTCCTGTGCAGATGGTGCAGAAAGTTGCAATAGGGAAGCCAAAGCAGCGAACGTCAACGTTGTTCGGGTTGTCGGCGTTGTCGTCCCGAGATCACCGCAACGAGTGTACCAAGCGGTGGCCCCACCGGAGTATGTTGAAAAGAAAGCCTTGTTGAAAACTCTCTAGTTCCGGAGGAGGGTTGCAAGCAAGCTACACACACGCACACATAAGTACATACACGCGTGTGTCTTTGCCTATGTCTACGTACGCATATGTTTTCATACATTGGAGCATATGTGTCGTGTGATTCGTCCTACAGGACATGCCCGATGATCCCAAAGAGACGTGGCCTTGGCGCGCGTGCGCCGAAGCGCTGTGTTTTAAGGTCTTTTGGGTTTGGGGGTCATGGTGTTTAGGGTTTAGCTTTTCGTTTTGGTGCTGCGCTTTGCGGGGTTTTGCGGCTTTGACATTTGGTTTTGAAACCTCCTTGGCTTGTGTGACAGGGAGAGGAGGGTTCGTCTTCTAGGTTCTCAGAAGTCTTGACGCTGCCTTGCAGCTTCGGGACCCTGGCACAGAGAGAATAAAGTTTGGTAGGTGAGGGTATTGTGGGGTTATCGTTAGCAGAAAACTATCTGAAAACTCAATAGGTGTGTGTTTAACATGGGGCAACCTCCATTTGTGTCGTCAGGTGAAATGGGTCTTTCTTGCTTGGGGCATTGCTCTGCGGGCCTCAACGGCAAGCAGCCTTGTTGAAGCTGAGGGTCAGAAGTTTCGGTGCCCACAACATGCATCCATCAAGCAGGTTTTGGATTCAGGATGGCGGGCGCGATGATCTAAGCTTGGTATTGTCCCCAAACCCTAAACTCCAAACCTAAACCCCAAAGTAAGCTCAGACGATTGGGCAGACATAGTTAAAAGAAGCTCAACAAAGCAAAACCTTGACCCTATAGGTGCGCATAAACATGGATGCCCACCATAAGATCCGAAACCCGACGAGTCGGAACCTGAAGTCGAGAGTCGGCATGCAGCCAGGCACGCTGAGACGTGTTACAGTAAAAGCCAGAAAGTTGGAATATGATTTTCCTAAACCCTTTATGGTAAATTACAGGGTATCCTACCCTGAAACCATATTCCAACTTTCTGGAGTTCCCTTTATGGGGCTGCAAAAAAAGAGCTGTTACTGTTTGCATCTACACGCACATGCAACACACACGTGGCAAGCTACAGCAAACAGGGGCCGCAGCATGATCTAGGTGGCAATTTGGGAAACTTGTTAATTTCCCTTATGGTTCCTATAGAGGTACCTATTCATAAATACTTTTCAGAGCCCCAAAACTACAACCCAGTAATACAATCCGGGAATCCGAAGACCTGAACACTGCTCAATTGACCGATGCATGACTCAATAGGGTCCCTCCTTCTACCCTTGGAATGACAGTAGCTTTTCCATTCCAGGTACGTGTTCCCGACGGCGGAAGACCTGGGTGTAGTGGACATCAAGGCGCTTTCCGGTCATTCCGCTTGCTGATTACTTGCATGCCCCGTCCCCGTGTGCAATTGGAGAACCGCGTGAGCTTATATATTTCGCACCCTGCGGAGGGAATGTGGTCGAGTCTCTACACCGAAACATGTCAATGTGGAGCCAAAACACGACCCAAGCCCGAGGGGCTTCAACAATCACCGATACTGTCCCAGAAACGACCCGCGAACGTCATTCTAATAATTAGCGCCGTGGCATAAGCCAAAGGAAGTCTTTAGCGGCTTCTCTATCGAAACACCCCTGCCCTGCGACACGAGCAACACGCAGCTGCCTGCATCGGATGCTCACATGCTAGAATTAGGGCCCCGGCCCATAAACAGACGGTTCGCATCCACCAACTCTCAGAAGCCACCAGATAGTGATGACCTCGGCCAACTTCACCGGCGCGTTGATGATCATGCTCACGTTCGGCACTCAAGAGCCGTCTGCAGCCCCTTGGATGCTGTCTTGGCAGAGTTTTGCAGAGCAAGGGCCCTAGAACTCTTTTGGACACCTAAACCCTTTACCCCCTAAACCCTCCCAAGGACTCTTTTTGACACCTAAACCCTAAACCCCTAAATCCTCCCAAGGCAGGGGACCCCAAGAAAGATTTCTCTGGGCGGCCGTCTGCAGATCCCTGTCCTAGGCTTTGCACTTCCAGACCCGAAGCGAGTTAGTTTAGGGGCCTCAATAATTAGAGCAGGGCTTGGGGGTGTCTTATGCTATGCTTATAATAAGGATTCCCCAAGAGCCCGTTTCTAATGTTTAAGGCCCCTGCCAAGCCAAAGCTTCAGCCTTGGTTTACTTAAAGGGTCATGGGACTTAGTAACTAGGGTTATTATTGGGGTAACTATGCTTATTATTACTTATAACCCCAATTAAGGGACTTATAACTATAGTTACTAAGTCCCATGATCCTCTACGTATATTCTAGTACCCTTATAGTATCCCTTATAGTAACCCCTTTAAAGGAACCCTAGGAACCCTACCTCACCTACTAAGCCCCATGATCCTCCAAGTAGGCCCTAAACCCTAAACCCTATAGATCCCTTTAAGGAACTCTATAGATCCCTCCAAAGAGCCCTTAAAGGAACCTTACTTACTAAGTCCCATGATCCTCCAAGTAGGGTCTGGGGCGAATCCCAGGTGAACGCCGTGGCGTCCGCGGGGGAAGCATGGATCCGGTCTGTTCAGGTCCGGGGCTTTGAAAAGCAGAACGTTTAGGGGTTTAGGGGTTAGGGGTTTAAGGGTTTAGGGGTTTAGGGGTTTAGGGTTTAAGGGTTTAGGGGTTTAGGGGTTTAGGGTTTAAGGGTTTAGGGTTTAAGGGTTTAGGGTTTAGGGTTTAAGGGTTTAGGGGTTAGGGGTTAGGGGTTTAGGGTTTAGGGTTTAAGGGTTTAGGGGTTAGGGGTTTAGGGTTTAGGGTTTAGGGGTTTAGGGTTTAAGGGTTTAGGGTCCACAGCACAGTCGGCGCCTCGGTTCCTGGCATATGTGTAGACCAGGTGTAAAAAGGGTTCAAGGGTTTTAGGATCTGGCTAGCCCCAAGCCCAATGGCAAGAAAGGGTTTAAGGGTTTAGAGTTTAGGGGTTTAGGGTTTCCTAGTAGTAGAGTAGGTAACCTTTAACCTCTCTGACGTAGTATAGTCCCTATATTAGCAAGAAGGTTAAACGCAAGATAACTTACAGGTTAACCTTTAGTTCCCCATGATACCCGACAAGTAGGAAAAGCAGAACGTTCGTTTGGCAGTGTGCTTTAGATGGAGTTGTGAAAGTAAAAGTAGGACGGTGCACAATGATTAAAGACATCATCGGGCGGTATGCCCGAAGTCCGAAAAAGTAGTTAGCAGAGATGCTGACATGGATGGCAGGAAATTTCGAAACTGCAGGCCTTCAATATAGATGCTGGCGAAAGCCTGATTCCAGAACTCAGCGCTGAATGTATATCCTATCTTCGCGTTTCATGAAGATGTTGCACAGCAGCTGAAGCAATACCAGTACTCATAGTCATCCGAAGACGACGGCTCGCAGCAAAGACATCGTCGTCCTTTCCCTACAGCTCTACATTGAAGCACCCAAAAGCGAACAAGCGAGCTCGTTGGGCTCCGGCGACAGACTCCTTCAAAACTTATCTGGTGCGGTATATCTCTTCTGGACCTCAGAAGTCATGTCTACATCCCGAGCAAAGGGAAAGTTCAGGGTTTAGGTCGACACTGTGTTTGAAGCTCAAGTGTATCACCGTTCATCAGACCAAAAAGACACATGCCTTGCCTGTGAGCGCCGGAAGCCCAGAAACAAATCCTAAAACCCAAAATAAGCCCTACAACTCGAGCAGCGCAAATCGTAAGCTCTACACCCGCTTCGAACCCCTAAAAAACCCGCAAGCCCTGGACGCCAAAACCCCTTGCCCCCCCTTCAGGGTTAGGGTCTAGGGGAAGAGCCCTTAAAAAATTTTGGGCTCAGGTACCTCAGCCAAAGACATGGTCCCTCAAAGATCCGCAGATGCACACCGTGACGGTGGGGAGCCTCCCCTGCCGACAGGGGGCTGGAGTTCCTGTGAAGGTTCCTTTAAGGGTTCCTATAAGACTTGCTTTAAGGTTGTACTACAATGGGTTCCTTGAAGGGCTCCGTACGGGGTTTCTATAAGGGTTCTTGCAAGTGCACCAGTGCTCCTTTGAGGGTATGGATCTAGGGCTCCGAGGAGGATTCCTTGAAGGGTTCTGATAAGTGTTCCTGTAAAGCTGCCTTCACGGGTTTCTAGAAGGACAGGACCGCCTGAACCGATTTATATAGTTTCTAGGACCTGTCGGATTCCCGCTTGGATTTTTGAAGGGGGGGGTGGTGAGGGTGCGGGAGTTCGGGTCAGTGTCAAGTTCAGGGCAAGTTGGGCATCATTTTTTGGGGATCTTCGAGGGTTGTTGATTCTCCGAAATCCCCGATTGGACCAGGCTTTCGGTGCAGGGGTTAGGAAGACTTCCCCTAAAGATTGAAGGTTAGCCTGAAGTGGGCAGGACTTCCGATAGTAGGGCGGACCCATTATTCGCTACAGATTATGGTGGCGCAAATGAAGTTCGAACTTAACAAGAGCCCGGCTGGTGCGCACCAGCAATCAGGGTCTCGAAGGCTTTCAGGTCCGGTGTTTAGCGGTTTAAAGTTTATGGGTTGCGGTTTACGCTTTTTGGTCCGGGGTCAAGGCTCATGGGATTTAGGGTAGGGGGAAGTTGCGGGTTGAAGGGTTGTGAGCTCTGAAAATAGTGACATCATGCAAGAAGACGCACTTCGTCTGGAGAGTTCGAGTGTACGAGCGTATACTATAGGAGCCGAAATAACTATAACTGCTATTTTGGTGGTTCCTCATCATAAGTATATAATTGGCCCCAAAACCCTATTCTAATTATGAAGGCCCCTAAAGTATAAGTCCTGAGCCTGTAACCCTAAACCCTAAACCGTAAGCCTTGCTCAGACGATTGGGCAGACAGGAAAAGGAGCTCAACAAAATGCAAGCCCTGAACCTGTAAATGCGAAGGATCGGCAGCGCCACGATCACGGAGCGCTTCGGTCTCAGGCGCTGGGCCTACGCTGATGGCAAGTTGCTCTTGAACGGCGAGGCGCAGCAGTGCCTGGGTTTACTGGGCTCTTGTTAAGGAGTTTAGTTTAAGATACCATAATAGGGATAGTAAATAATATGGTTTCATTATTATGGCAACTGAAATCAATTCCCTTAACAAGAACCCAGTTCAGGATATTCCGGGTCAGGGTGTTCAAATCCAGGGGCTTATGACAGGACTTTTGTTTCACATGTTCATAATAGGGCTCAGCTTTTCCAGTAAGTCCAGTTTCAACAAAGGGGATAGGGGTTTGTTTTCCCAAATTGTCTTGCGAGTCAGATCCCAAGCGCAGTGACTGTGAGCTATGGTTGCGGGAAGTTTTGATGTGAGACGGTTTAGGGTTTAGGGTTGCGGGAAGTTTGATGTGAGATGGTGATGGGTCTGGAGACTCGCGTGTACACTGCGCTCGTTTGGGTATTTTCTGCACCTGGACTGTATGAGAGTGTGTGTAAGTATTACTGTGTTTGGATGAGCACGTGTGTGGGCGCGACTGGCGTACGCTCAAGATTCATTGTGCAGGCTGCAGGCTTTAACTACCAGTTGCCAAATGCACGCGGGAAATGACTCCAGCAAGAAAACAAAGTACGAACAGTGTGTAAACAGGTTAAGGTGATGTCAAAAAGGGCCCTGAACCTTGAAGCATCCTAAACCCCTAAGCCGTAAATCGTCGAGAGACTGGTGAGAGGCCGTGAAACTTCATGGCTGGAATCACCATACGCAGTGGATCGACACAGGTACGGAGGGTTCAGGGCTTGGTTTCGTGGCTTTGTTTTGACCTTTGGGTTTTAGAAGGCTGGCATATGGCCAGCATGACCCTCGCCTGCTTGAAGGCTGTCTTGCATGGGGCGGTGATGAGGTTTCAACATGGTTTCGACGGATTGCCTGTGTAGCCGCTCATGCAAGGGAAACTTGTATTTGCAACTATAAAGATATGATATATACACACACATATATATATATATATATATATGTGTATACAATGTTTTGTCTTTGTTTATTGGTTTATATATGTACATACATAGATGACACCGATATGTGTCTGTCTGTCGGTCTGGCTGGCTGCCTGGCTGGCTGTCGTTGTATACACACATTTGCACACATATACATACCGATGAAATCAATCATCGAAATCACAATACTATAACAATAAGACTGAGAAAAACACTAATCATAGCAATGGCAACAGCAGCAACGACAATAATCGCATTATGCTAATAATACTATGTAAGATGACATACAAGGCAAGTAAACTATTCGTTCCAAGGGCACGCGTGCGTACATGCACACGTGTGAGCGCGCGCGCGTGTGTGTGTGTGTGTGTGCGCAAGTTGTGTGTCATTTAGCCGCCTTTACGAGCTCAGTTGAACCCCAACTCCTGAAGTGGCCGGAGAAGACTACACTGACTACAGAAAAGCTCGCCCCGAGCTAGCTCTGAATCCGTCCCCTTAGTGGATGCTTCCTGATCCTGTAGTAGGCAATCAGGGTATATATATATATATATATATTATCTATGTGTATATATATATGTATATATTCATATAACATAAACACATATTCACACGCATATACACAAACATGTGTATATATATATATATATATATATATATAAGCAATGGAAGCAGAGATTCAGACCTATACAGTCCTTTTGCCCCGGAGCCAGAGGTGCTTCTCCGACAGACAGCCAGCTTGATGAGGAGGGGATGTGCTCGGAAGGGGCACCCGGGACGACCCCGGACCAAGCACTGAGGTGTCGTGTGTGCGGACAGAGCACATGTCAAGCAGCTTCGCATGCTGGGTTCTGGGTCGAGTACGGATTTGCTTTTTTTCCGCTATATCGGCGAGGTCAACAGTTGATGCACTTGAGCGATTGATTTTCCTAAGGCCAAGGTGGTAGCGGCAAGGCATGGAAGCCTAGTCATTAGTCATGAGAGCTGAATCTTCGTCTGACCTGGACTTTTACTCAATCTTGCGGGGGTTGTGCGCGACGCACAGGAAAGGAGACTGGGAGTGCTTTGTTGCTATGTTGCGGTTTGGCGTTTGTGGTGACAGCTTTGTTCACGCGTTCAGTGCTACATGCATTCCTTCAGTCTTCCGACCTCTATAGTAGGATTTGGGCCTAGGGCCCAAATCCCCTAAACGTCTAGATAAGAGCCCAAGACCACCTCCATGAAGACACCTTAGCATATGCCCGACTTGTACGTCTGCATACACCCCGTCAGGACTCCTGAGCCCGAAACCCCAAACCCCGGTAGCCCAAGAGGAAAAACACACCACCCCGAGGCTCCATACATGGTGCCCTACTTAGTAGCTGAGTGGATACACTTTAGACTTTTTGGGATGGTATTACCCACTATAAATTTTGTGGCTTATGAACTCAGCAAATAAGCCGAACAAAGGCCCGAGGCTCTAGCGTCAGGACCTCGCTCTGCTTCGCGAGGGCCACGCCAACTTCGTGAGGGGAGCGCATCTCGGCTTTCAGTTTGAAAGGGCTTCATGTCATTATAAGACTTTGAGAGCCATCTAAGGGCTTCAAGCTTTTTGGGTTTGGCGTTTGGGGTGTTTTGCCCCGCGTTTCCACTGAGCCCAAAGGGTGTGCAGGGATCGGCGGGGAGATGCCAGCGGGGCCTTGGGGGAGTAAGGTTCACAGTTTGCCTTTGACTTATACAAAGCATGGTCTTTGGGCTATAGGTTTGAGGTTTGTATGCAGACTCGCAGGACTTTGCAGCCAGGATCTGTATCGTTGTATCTGAGCTTCTACATAAAACCGGAGCCAATGTCCCGTCTGCTTCGGTATTTTGATCTCTTAACGCTAAGCTCCCACGCATGGCAAAAGACCCTCAACTTTTAAATAACCCAAAGCCCAGACCCTGCTTCAACCTACCAGAACATATGGGAGTTTCCGAAAATAGGGGACCCTTATATAGTACCTTAAATAGTAGGATCCTTATTATAAGGACCCCAAAATAAGGTACCCCAATTTTCGGAAACTCCCATATGTTGCTTGCTTTGGCAGGGTCGTTATAAATTCGATGTTCGTGATTGTCATAGGGCCTTACAAGAAAAGTACGTGTAGTATATGGTAGCATGAGGTATACCCTATGCCCTAAGCCTCCCAAGCCTGACCTGCCAGGCACTATCCGCAGGATCAGCGCTGGCTCGACCGCCTAGACGAGTCAGGCATGGCTATGTGGGCGACCTGGCCTCAAGTGCATGGGTTTAGGGTTTAAGGGTTTAGGGTGCATCGGTTTAGGGTTTAGGGGGAGTCATAGCAAACACGCATGTTACAGGTTCAATATTGCTGGCCCGCTTTCCAAACCCTCAGCGCTGCCCGAAAGCCAGTGCCGGCTGTCTCCCTCGCCCCTTTTTCTTCTATCAGCTTATTGAATCTATATACTGCGTCTATCTACTGAGGCTACCTCTGTACCTATACCTGCAGATATGCGGCATCGTTGGCCCCTTTGCCCATGGCAAGTTTTCCATTTTATGCCTATCCATTTGTCCAGCCGGCCCCTCGGGCACCTCCCACGGAGTGGTACCTATCTACCGATGAGTCCACCATGCCGACATGATTGAACTTCAAAGCTTAAACCCTAAACCGTCGGCACGTGCAGAAATATTGGGCAGGGGTTGATGCTTACCCCACCACTGCAGCCCCGAGCCTCACGCTATTAGCCCAACCCTAAACCCATGGTAGCTGAGTAGGTAGCATTAGCATCTTCCTACCGTAATCGAAAATTCAACGTTGTTTTGGGCCAGGGCTTGAACCCTGAAGAAGAACCCTAGACACCAAAACCCCTAAACCTGAACACTCAATGCAAAATCCAAACCTTAGGCCCTAAACGTAAACTCTAGATCCACATCTTGAAGCAAGGGGGAGAAAGGAGCTCAAAACAAAACCCAAAGCCTAAACCCCATAGACCCTAACCCCTAAACCCTGAACCCAAACCTCCTAACCCCTATAACCCCTAAACCCTATACACCGTTAGACCCCTAATCCCAGGAAGAGACGTTGGGTCCCGGGGTGACCGTGGAGGACTTGCAGGAGCCTCGGGCTGCTACGATCTGGAATATTAGGCTTAGGGTTTAGTGTTTAGGGAGTTTAGGGCTTCGGGGGTTTAGGGTTTAGGGAGGTTAGGGTACCGAGACTAGGGTTCTAGAAGGGTTACGGCGAGGTGTCAAGGTCTTACGGGCAGAAAAAATGAGAAGAGGGTTTGGGGGCCCCAAAGTATATTCTATTATTTCTAAAGAGAAGCCCTAAGGAATGGCATCGGCAAGTATTCGGTTTCTTTTATCGTGGCTTGGGATTATCTGAGTTTCGTAGCATGCAAGTAGGCTTGAGATCTGCGGGGCTACAGGGTTTAGGTCGTTTTTTGGGGAGGGGTGATTGGGTGGTAGAGTTTTGTACCTGAGTGTAGATCTCTGACCGAGTTAACCCCTCTCTTCACTTGAGATCCGAACGTCTAGCCCGTTACAGAGAAAGTGTTCTCACGTCAAGGCTTTGCACTACTCTTCGGGGGTGGAGTTGGGACTTCAAGGTTGATGCACTCTCACTTTCTGGTGTTCTCTTGAGCATCAGTTAAACCCTAGACTCTCTAGACTGTACGTGTGCAAGTCTGGCACCATGGGGTTTTGTGGATCCTTTCGAGGTTCTGAAGCAGGTTGGAAGTGTGTACGACACTGTCCGAAATAAGCACATGGCGTGGTTCCGACACCTGATACCTACGCAAATTTGCAGGGGCAGAGCACCGTAGAGTTCATGCTCAGAAACTTGACGACGAAAGATAGCCAGGTCACTTCTGGACGTACGTCAATAGGGGAGGTAAAGCCGTGCTATTCGATCACAGAACCTGGCCCACACACCATCTCAGCCGTACCTCCCTGAAGGCAGCCTGTATATGTTGGGGTGCCCGTGATCTTCCCATGTGCCTACAGTGCCTGTGCACCGCAGGACTGGGGCCATTTCATGAAGTACCAGCGGCTGCCTTACGCCTCGAGTCTTGCTCGGTTTGCAGCTCTCCAAGCTTTGTGTTTGAGCGATGGGTTGCAAGGACTCGGGTAGATGTACATATATATATATATATATATTTCTATATGGATGTTGTCCAAAGGCCTCTGTCCGTCATATTTCATTAGATGTGCTTTACTTCAGGCTGCTGCCGCGTTGTGTTGTAGTCTTTGACTCCCTTCTGACTAAAGCCACAACAACCACCAATTCCCAACCTCGGCTTGGAACATCATAGCACGGCCTGCACCTTTGGCTGAGGCTGCAGCAGGTGGACGAGATGCTGGCTGCCAGCATGAACCACCCATCGATCATGGCTTGGGCGTGGTTCAATGAAGGCCCCGAAAACCCGAGAACCAAGCGCCCAACCCAAAAAAACAGCTTGAACAACCAAAACCCAGCATCACTCCAAACTCCTGCTGATCTTTTCGGAGGCTTTCGCAAGGGTAGAGGACGAGGTTAATTGTTGGGGGACTGCAGCAGCAAGCACCCTACAGCAGTACTTCAGGGTTGACGGCATGTCGGAATTTAAGATGCTACTCCTGCAGCCTCAGCAGGACCCTCGAACGAGATGGCTGCTTGCCAGGCGCGTTTGAGAGCATGTGTGAGCCTTGATTGCCACAAGAGGCTGCGACGCCACCACTGGCACTTCCACGGTTGCCAACAGCTTCGTTGAACCCCACCTCTTCCGATGACACCACGAGCATCATGACGACCGTCATGGTCGGGCTCATGATGATGATGATGAAGAACATGAAGGTGATGATGGCCACCAGGACCACCACCACCATCATCGTCTTCATCACCATCATCATCATCATCATGTTGTGTCGTCACCAACATCGCCATAGCAAATATCAGCACGTTTGTCAACTAGCCAGCAACACCGTCAGTTCGCTTGTCCCTGGCCCTAAACCCTACGAACCTTATATAACCCTTTAACCCCGATGAGCGTAGGCCTTAAACCCTGTAAATAAGCTCTCAACAGTCTTAAACTCTAGTCAAGCGATGAAACCGTACATTTTATTGATAAGCATCAAGAACCCAAAAGCCTCTCAACTTTCAAGACCCAACGAACCCTTAAAAGCCCTACAAGCTTCCTAAACCATCGAAGTCTAAACCCCTCCCATAAACCCTAGATGCCCGCAGGCGTATCTGGAGTGCTCCTTGCGTGCAGCTGAAGCGGACCGCTTGTCCCAACGCTTGGGCTGGGCCTTTTAAGTTATTTGGTTGTGTTTTTTTGGTGTCTAGGTTTAGAGTTTTCTTGCAGACCCTGTAAGGGTGAAGGTTTCCTCCACGCCCGTAGAGTCTACGGGCTGCCCTAAAGGTCGGCCCCTTGAAGGGCGCCAAGGCTTGTCTACACTCTACCCATAGGCCCCGAAGTAGTTCCTTTCTGGGATTACTTTATAGAAGTATAAATATGAGCCCCAAAAAGGAACTACTTTGGGGCCTTAGGGCAGCGTCTTGGGTTTAGAGTTGCGGATTTGGGGGTTGTGGCAACCTGAGTCTCGCCCCAGAGTACGTAGCCCTCGTGGTAAACCCTACAGATCGTGCCCCTTATAGACCCCTTTAAAGGAATCTTAATCAGCTTCCTACATTATTATGGTACCCACTATAGATCCCTTATGGGAGCCCTTATAGACCCCCCAATGATGTGCCAAGGCAGACGTGGCGGCTGGGGTTCTGGCGGTCTCAAGTAGCAGCCTTGGGGTCCCGAAAGGCCTTGTGAATCCAAGGGGAACAGGAGGGACCCTTAATGGGGACCCCTACCCTATAATGGGCTATATAATGGGTATATAATAGCTAGATTAAGGGTATATACCTGGGGGTCCTTATTTAAGGGTCCCTCCTTTTACGGTTCGAGGGAAGGTTGAGGGCCGCCTTTCTTACTGTTGGGACCGCTTTACGAGTCCGAATACGAGTCCGAACTGGGAGGTGTTGGTAGCTAGGGATGCGGAACCCAAGCCAAGAGTTTTCGAGTAGAGTTGGGAAAACTAACTGGGCTTTGGAGTACCATACTTTAATACTTTTCTCTTAAAGAAACCATTCTGAAAAAAAATGTATATTTTTCTGGTTACTAAACTTAAACGCCCAGAAAAGGTAGCACAGAAGAGCAGGACCCCACCCGATTCCGCACATGGGCCTCCAACAAGAAGGAGGACGACAAGTGCTTGGAGCACGCGACACGCTTCAAGGGCAGATCTCCCTTTCCAGGAGCTTCAGGGTTGATGTCGAGGTTCCGAAAACTGAGCATCCACAATTTAAACAGAGGCTGAACAGTAGCATCCCTTTGAAACGGAACTCACGGCCATCCCATGCCCCATGAATTCCAGGTCGTTTGATACCCTGAAGTAAACTCGACGGCTCAAGCCACTGTAGGAGCAACGCATAGCGCCCAGTGGTCTTCGCATAGAAGCCGGGGTAAGCTATAACGGGAGGATCATAGTCTTCCGAACACAGTTGCACCTCGTCCTCCTTGGCGCCAGAATGCTGTCACTGAATCGCGATAAATTGAAAAGTTCCAGCTGGATTAATGGTTCTTTGAGGTTTTTTAACGTTAAAAAACAATGGTTTTTTGAGGTTTGCAGATGCAGCCAACACTCGAAGGACCAAAGGGTCCCGCCTTCCGACCCGAACCAACCTTGCCTGCAGAGTTAAAATTCCTAAAACCCATTAAAACCCCAAACCCTACTAAAACCCCCAAAGCTCCACAGCCCCTGAAGCCCTGCAAACCCTCAACCCTGAAGCCTTTTTTACAACTGTTCCTCTCAAGACTCCCTGCAATGCGGGCTTCGCCCTTGCTGGGTAGGAGGGAAAAAAGCCTCTACAGCCCTAAACGCACCCTATGAGTCGTCTCAGCCACAGACCTTCGACGCTTCGGGCCTGGCCCTCTAATTAATAAGCTGCCCTGAAGCCTTAACTATAGTCTCCTTAGGAATTATGTTTTCTATTTGTTCATATAAAACCCAAGAGAAGATCGAACATAATTACTATTTCTATGATGGTTCTAAGGGGGGGGGGTATAGTTAAAGGCCCCCCCTTAACACCCAAGACGCCCCCACTCTTTCTTGGGCTCCGAAGTGTGGCTTCCATGTGGAAGTCGATCGGGCTTCAGGGTTTTGAGGGTGTAGGCTTTGTAGGCTGTAGGGTGATATCCTAAAGCACCACCACCCGCAACAAACAAACATGGGAGTTTCTGAAAAGGGGGGACCAAAATGCAAAAGAATAACCAGTCGACGGATCCTAGAGTTTGCTTGGCTCCTATACTCTCTTTTCACACATGCTGATCACGTTCTGAAAAACTACCTATACTTACACAGCGTTTTTCAACGTTCATGGCTCCTGTGGTGAAGAACTGATTGTCAGCTGCTAGCGCCGACCAGTCAAAGTACTTAGAACCCGAGACCTCGTCTGGCCAGTCCGAGTTGCGAGAGCGTAATAAGTCAGTAATACTCGCGAGTGCGGGAGCCAAAAATAAGTAGTAGGATCCCTGTTTTTGCAAACAGCCCCGTGTCCAAACACAAAGGCACTCCAGGTGTCTGGAGCCTTTATACAAAACCCCCACGTCCGAGGCAACGGCTGTGAGTTTCAACAGCTACCCAGCTTGGTATTCCGAGAAGCAGGACCTGTCGGCTCCCAAGCGCAACTCGGATGGACACCCGGTTTAGGGTTTAGACCCTGAAACCCTAAAGTCAAAACCGAACTTGCGGGGGTTCGCGTTTAGGGAATAGGGTCAGCCTATATACTTCCTAAACTGAAACCCGACACCCTATTCCCTGGTCTAGGGTTGGGGCCCATGTCTCAAGTTAGACTAAGGACCCTTTCATAATTGGGAGTAAACTGCTGAATTACAGGGCTTTGGAGTCTCATTGTGGCTTTAAAGGCGCACAGCTTTGGAGGTGTAACTTTAGCATCGAAGGTTTTTCAGGGGTCAGATGGAGAGGATGAAGCTTTGTCAGGACTTGGAGGGTTCTGTGTCAAACCCTAAACCCTAAACCCTAATTAAACCAAAACCCTAAACCCTAAACCGTAAACCTGTGTCGGTGGGTTTTCATCCGGGGTTTTTGGTAACGTGGGGGTCCTTCGAGCTTGGAACTAGAGTCCGGTTTAGGGTTTCCTAGTAGTAGAGTAGGTAACCTCTAACCTTTTTGGGGTAGTATAGACCCTATATAATCCCTATATAGCGAAAAAGGTTAACCTTTAGTTCCCCATCGACAAGTAGGGTTTGGGTTCGACAACCGAACCTGAAATGGGTAGTTTGGGGACCTACACAGGGACCCTAATGTAGAGAACTGTCCAAATCCTGTCTCCAAGCCCCATGTCAGCTATTTTAGGGCTCCTGATGTCGGTGCTGTTGTGTCGTTTGCTTGGTATTTAAACTGTAGTGTCAGGGCCTTGCCACTGACAGGCACTTGGCTGGGGGCGTCGTAGCTTCGTTGCGGGAGGGTCTCATGCATTTCAAGTTTGTGGCTTTGTAAGCATTAGGAAGATGCCAACTCCACCACCAAAAGCATTTGTTTCGTGCACATCTTCAGGCGCATTCCCTCATATACACTATAGATCCACCGGTGTGTTCAATCATCAGTCTTGGAACGCGTGCAAGTTTTCTTTGACATCACATCGCATGGATGGTGTAGCATTCTGAGCCCCAGCAAGCCCCAAACCCTAAAGGATTCGAGCCCCGTATGCCACGGCCCACAGGTGAGTGGACTGCCAGCGCTGCCTGGGCAAAGCGAAACTTCCCGGACACCGGCCTAAACCCTAAACCGCTTGAGGTTCGAATGAACAAGAAGGGCTTCAGCTGCTCGAGGGGCCTTTCTAGGGAGCATTTTCGTTGAAAGCAGAACAGTACGGATTCTCGAATCATTCCTGCTTGTTTTCCTGAAGCCCTAAAGGCAGAGTGATCTCCCTGTGCTGGAGGGCAACTTCAAGGAGTTATCAAGCCAACAACCCAAACAGAAACCACAAATTTCGATCCTTGGGTTGGCAGCGTATTTGCAGCATCGGGTTTAGGGTTTAGGGTTTAGGGCAAACTACCAGGCGTCCTTGCAAGCAAGCCTGCAGCAAAAAGCGTTTAGGGTTTAGGGTTATGGGGTTTTCTGTTTTCTGCCGTTTGGCTACTGACATTTCTTGCCGCGAAGGTTCAAAACACTCCCCGCTCTCTAGCCGCTAGCCCGGGTGTGTCATTTGGTGGTGAACCCTGGAGTAGCGGGTGTGCTCTGAGTTGCTACGGGCACCGTATTCCAGCATCGTAGCAACACATCATAGATCAAATACCAAAAGTACAAAAAGGACAAAAGTACAAAAAGGACCCCACTATTGAACAGTGTTCGTGAGGGTCCATTCTTTGCTGAGGTTTCTGACCTGCTAGGTGCGGAGTACGCATTCACACAGCACCGCTGCTTCTTCTTTTGTCCTGGCTGTAATGGCGGCTTGCCGTAAGATTTCGAAAACGCTTTGTTTTGCCCCACTCGCACGAGGACAAGCCGTTCTTCATCAGCGAGACTGGTGCTGGAGGCTTATCTGCTTTGCTTGACCGCCAACCCTGAAGTAAAGTTTGAGTGGCGAGCCCTGAACCCGGCAGTACCTGCCATGAACGTCATTGAAGGCCTAGGGTTCAGGGAACCTAGTAGTGGAGTAGGCAACCTTTAACCTTTTTTGGTATAGTATAATCCCTAAATAACCCCTATATGATCAAAAAGGTAAACCTTTAGTTCCCCATGATACCCGACAAGTAGGGGAATCTCTTATCTTTGTGCGGACTTTCAACATGCGAGGCTTTCACTGCTGTGCTGCAAGCCTGCGGCCTCATGCTTCTATCTGCATGCCACGGGCACTTCCTAGTCTCTTTCCTTCCGGACTGCCACAGGCTACCGCCGAACTCTAGTATAGGGGCCTGAATAATTAGAATAGGGTTTTGGGTTGAAGCGGACTGAACGTCGGGCGAGCAAAGAAAAGCAGAGTGACTGGTGCACCCTCTTGAGTAGAGACCTCAGAGCGATTTAAGCTCCAAGTTTGTCAATGATGCGACTAACTGATTGAATCATGGTACCAAATTCCTGGTGCCACTGATTCAGTGTAGCTACAGGAACGTCACGTGGAGTGGGACATCTACGGGCAAGATTTCTAGGTTCAGAAGACATGCGAAGAAGCTTTGCGCAATTCACACATGGCTCATCAGAGCTCCACCTTGGTGCAAGAATGTGAGATCTGAAGGAATTTTCGAGCAATTGTTTCTGCTGAAATTGTTCAAGATGAGCCTGACAGCGCTGAAGGCGCTTAAGGGCTGCTTTGAAGCGAAGAGTGGGCCCGGGTTTAGTCGGCAACAAATCACGAATGTCAGCAGCTGGCATATTATCCCAAGATTCTAAGGGATGATGCGTAATGCAAGAAACTTTCGAAAGACGGTTATTGTCAGCATCACTTTTGAGATCGCAGACTTGCTTAATCCAAGGAATAGGCATACCTTTACATCTAAATCGCGGGACAGGCCAACTTGTAGAAAGAGGAGTAGTCATAAGAATGTTACGCCGCAAGCCCACCTTATCACAAAAAACTGCGGGAGTGATACGCAAAACTTGCGAGTTAACATTTTCAGCTAAGCGCATTTCAACACGAGTTGCTTGAAGATCAGCTGAAGCTTGAGTCAAGTCCCATTGCGGAATAAAGAACAAAGATTCAGGAAAAGCAGTTTCACTCGGGAAAGATTCAAGCCATTTTGTCTGAGTATCGTTAGAAAAGGACATGCCGCTTAAATCCGGATTTTGGTGCTGTGTCTGAAACAAGAAGGCAGAAAGAACGCGCAATTTGTAGGCAGCCATACCGACAAACTGACACTGCTGCAGGAAGTTGGCACAAGCGCCACCGTGTTGTACAAAAATCGCTAGTGCCTGTGTCCAAGTGAAAATTCTGACAGCGGAAACGTTGTATTTTTGCGTCCATTTTGTCCAGAAAGAAAAAAGCAGAGCGAAGTCCTGAGCAGTGCTGCCCCATTTGTTCCACTCAGTGCGGGTGCCAGGTGGATTCCATTGCAACGGTAGCGCATCTGAGAAGCATAAGTCACGAGTCTGTCGACTAGGGCGTACCAAACTCACACACGTATGGTGTGAGATGGAGTCTTCCGGTACAAACTGGCAGTATGACTCCGGGTCTCGGTTCATCTCCATCCATTGCCAAAGAAGTTGAGCAACAAGGAGCTGAAGCTTATGCCAATTTTCACGAAGCGCTGGCGGAAAATGAATGCTACACACCATGGCATTTTTTGCACAAGATGGCCAAGCAATGCGGTTGCAAAGCTCTGGAGGCCATGATTGCCTCAACGCAGCAAAGCGTGGACAATCCCACACAATGTGCTGCACGGTACCCTCTTCGCAGAGGCAGTACTGGCAATGAGGGGTGGCTTTGATGCGCATCTGAAAAAGACGACGGGGAGTGGCATGAGCATCAGAAAGCAGACGTATGATGGGGTTGCGGTATGGCGAAGAAGGCTCAAGACCTCTTAGCAACTTAGTTGTTGCACATAAATCCGTATCGGTAACCCCTTGCCATTTACTATGCTTTTGTTCAAGTTGCTGATAAAAGTGTCTTTTTGTCAGGTTCAGTCAAAAGAATACAATCATTGCAGCTATTGCTGATGGCATCTTCATCAGGAGAAAAGCGACAATCAAGCCAAGCAATGTCCCGTTGAAAGATGGTGACAGGGCCATACAAATCATGTTTAGTAGAAACAGATTGATCAAGCATTTCTTTAAATCGTTGTGCCAATAACGGTGCATGGAGGAACACCTGCCTCCAGAATCGCAGGTTGTGATACACCATAGCGCTTTCAGGATCAAATACATGTGTTTGCTCACAAAAAACGGCATGTGCTGCTTGTGTTTGACATTTGCGAAACGCCGTTGCCTCAAAAATTTTTGATCGTAAATTGTCTAGCTGAGTCTTAGTTGGACGAACAACCGAGCAAGGATAACAAATGGCCGGCATAATTTTGCGCGCTACAATGGTGATGGCGTTGTCATGTGTGATGTGTGATCTGGCAATTTTGTTGAGCAACACACAACATTGATCCAAGATAGGCTTGTAAAACTTTGACGCAGATGTCCCTTTAAGCGGAAGTGGCACGCCTAAATACACAATTTGAGGTTGGCGTTTAACTTCATACCCGTCCAACCACCAAATGTTCTCAGAGTCAACATTGTTTCCAAAGGCAACAGTTTTGGCCTCAGTCTGGAAACCGAACGAACCATCCCAAAACTGTGTGGTATGAAACGCTTGTTGAAGTTGTTGACTGTCAGTGCTCAAAAGTAGACGGTCGTCTACGAAAACTTTCGCGAGCATGTGGTCGTGTGGGATTTCCCGCGTCCACTCCCCCAGCATCGCCGCTGCAGCAAGCATACTAAGCGGGTCACCCTGCGGAATACCGACGGTGGCTCGAAAAGCATCTTTGGAAACAGCGCCATTTAAGGAAGCAAACCGCCTGAGCTCGGTAATCATAAAATGCCATGTGGCAACGACAGGAGCAGGAAGACCCGTGTGCAGTAGGATTTCACAAGCTTTATCTGGTGGGACATTGTCAAAAAATTTTTCGGTGTCAATAGCCACGCCCTGGATGACAGCCTGGTGAATGGGATTGAGCCTCCACGTTGATTCACACATCAGTGCGGCAGGGAGCCATGCATGATATGCAGAGCGGCCTACGATGCCTCCAACTGAATGCTCGGGAATGTTGTGCTGAACATCCTTGTACATAACCAAAACAGTTTTGCAGAAAAGCCGATAACACACAGGGGTGATGGTCAAAGGTCTCAAATCTTTAACCGTCGTTCTGCCTTGTTTCTTGGGGATGCATGTCATTTTGCAGTTCAGCCAAGCAATAGGCACACGATGCTGAAAAAGCGATTTGTGAAATATGTGTGCAAGAAAACGAATAGCAGAAGGTGGTAGCCGTTTGAGGTGCCCAATTTCAAGCCCATCAATCCCCGGAGCTTTGGATGCATCAGCTTTAGAAAGAATCTGTTGAAGGCTATGCTCAATGCTGTGAATTTGTTCATCAGCGCAAACATAGTTCTGAAGCTGTTCATTTCTTCCACTTTGATGCGCATTTTCACTTTTGTAAATCATGGCAAAGTAGTCTGTTATCTCTTTCAAGGAATCATGAAGGCACGTGGTAAACCCTTCATGTCCGTACTTGCTACTGGCAATACAGGAAGGGATCGGTGGAGACGGTGCTTTAGCCCATTTAAAAAGATTTTTGAGCCACGAATGCTGTGGTTGTCCAGCTTTCTGAATTTGCTGCCGCCATTTTCGAATTTTATTTTTGCTGATTTGCTGTAGCTTCGAAAGAGCATTTTTGTGCAATGGGTTCATTACGACAATTACAAACAAGGAACTCCATTATTTACGCCCCTATATTAGAGTCTAGGGATGCGCAAACACACGCCGCAGGATCGACCCTTCTGAAACTAGTAATTCTAAACCCTAAGCCCTTCTTCTTCGAGCAAGGTTTCCGGAGCCCAGGTTGCACATTCATCTACGATATGGGTCTTGAATAGCTACCTATACTATTGTGAGGGCTCCTTTTTATGATTATAGCATACTATGCCCCAAAACCCTATTCTAATGATTAAGGCCCCTACATTGACCCGTGTAATAAAGGAGCCTGAGTAGTGTGGTGATTGCCACTACTATGGCTTAGGGTAATAGGCTCAGACCTCAACATGATATTGGTAGTTGCATAGGCCCCTACCGTACCATACGGAGTCACCCGACAAAGTCTGGGATCAGCGTTTAGATGCCGTAGGCACTACGTGGACCACTCCTGGACCCCAAAAGTTTGCAAAATAATCGCCCTTTAGGCGTGGGGCTATGATTTTACTTGCGTTTGGTTTGTTTAGGGCGGGACTTTTGCCAGGTCTCTATGAATGGGCCACCAACGCAACGGATGCATACTGGACGCTCAAGTACCAGCAAGAGGCCGAGACTCATGGGGGACAAGACCCCAAGCCAATAAACTGTCGCATTATTATCGCTAGTACTCCCATTGTAGTCGTATTTTTTGTACTCATACTGTCCCACTTATCTCCATGCATCCCACTGACCGCTCAGCCTAGAGACTCGCTTCATCCGTCTGACACCAACCATGCAGACTTTGCCTGATGAGCTTTGCAGACGCTTTTAGAAGCTACACATTAGAAGCTGCCCCCACCCTGTAATAGTGGTATAATAGGCATATAATAGGGCCCCAATGTAATCCTTATAGTCACTATTACCGGGTGGGGGCAGCTTCTAAGCTACGCAGGGCTGCAAGCCTGAAAGCCGGGATGCCAGAGCTGGGACCGTTGCAGGTCATCGACGCGGATGTTGACGTCGCTCTTGCGGACAGCAACGTGTCAGGATTGACCCTGTGGCATTTCTTCGACTTCAAAGGCGGGTCCAGCTTGTGCCGATGCTTCGTGCCAACACGGTAGGTGCACTTATGCTGTCCTTCTGCGTTCTTACCGTAACTCGTGCACTTCCTTACATCCAGTGGTACGGTACTTGGCAGCAGCAGCAGCAGCTGATGAGTTACAAAAGATGACAGTTGCTCGACTCCCACTGAGCCCCGGCATGTGTTCTGTAGGCCGAATCCGCGGTAAGACCGATGACTACCCCTTCCTTCAACGGATAACAGCAAGGGGGGCTTCAATCACTGCTGACCCACCAGAAAGGCATGACGATCAATTTTAAACTATCAGGCGCGGACTTAAGCCCTAAACCCTAAACCCCTAAATCCTAAACCTTAGTCCGAGTTGCGAGAGCCTAAACCACTAAACCCAGACCCCAAACCGTTCGGCAGGGAATGACGAGGCTCAGATCTGCGGTCAGGAGCTCGGCGGTTTGGGGTTTTGGGGTATAGGGCAAGAGTTTCCGAAAATTATTGTACCTTGTTTGGGGGTCCTTATAATATGGATCCTACTATTTTGGGATTTTTTTTTTGGATCCCCTATTTTCGGAAACTTCCGTATAGGGCAAGAGTGTTGGATACAGGGGCAAAGCGAAGCTTGTGAGTCTTGATGTGAAAGGAGCAGCACAATAATCAGCGTGCTCGTGTCTACTAGCCAAACTGTTCATCTCTGTGTAGGTTCAACCAGATGGAGCAAGATTCCGGGATCGATGATACAGCAGAAATTCTTGGGCGGCATCATGCCTCCGGTTTCCCACCTGAGTTTGACGACCGGTCCTTGCCGGCCAAAGGAGTCGAACTACAGGCTAAACCCTAATCCGTTACACCCGCTCCCCGCGGTGCGACTGGGTCAGCTGGGCAGATGGGAAACAACCCTAAAGCCCGAAAACCCAGCCAGGAGAGAAGCCACAGTTCCCGAAGCTCGCGACTGAGGCCCCTGCCAGTATCTTCCCGGTGTGCAGCCGCCCACATGTGGATGGTACAACATGTCAGGCAGGGTCCGGGGGCCACGAGCCGGAGTTTCCAATTAACTATCGCTTGGCGGTTGCATCCCTCGTAGAACGAGAAGCTTACCTTTGGTTAGTAGGGAATGGAGGAATGGGGTACAGTTATAACTACTATTACTACCATTCTTCCAATCCCTACTTACCAAAGATAAGGAGGGGTCTGCTGTTGAGTGTTCGCTGGCACACAATCCAAGCCCATGCTGAAGGGTTTAGGCTACGAATGCTTTTCTTCAGCTGTTAGGAACAATCCCGTAGCATCGAACCCGCGAACCCCGCACTGCAGAACCTCTGAACTCCAAATCCTTCTGAAGATATATTATATAAGGTTTTTATAGGGTTTAGGATCTGCGTGACGTGGTTTAGGGCATGGCCGATAGTTAGACTTGCCATTTTCTGCGTCGTTTGATTCCGTCAGCCCTGATTCCCTCCCTCCCACGCCCACTTCCGTCTCCACGAAGCCTAGACGATCTGACAAGATGTCCTATGAAAGCCATAAGCCCAAAACTTCAGGCTCTGAAACCCTGAAACCCCAGTCACTGGAGGTCATTGCGAAAACCGTCCTGGTGGGCTGAACCACAAGGGAGTTCTGGACGCCTATAGACGCACCCTGGCATGGGTTTAGGGTTTAGGGGTTTAAGGTTGGACTAGCCAGATCCTTGCATCACGGCTCCCCAAGCCCAGTTGCGAAAAGAGGGTTTCAGGGTTTAGGGTTAAGGGGCAGCAACGCACTTAAAGGGAAATGCTAGTCTTGTGGAAGCCACTACTACTACTACTACTACTACTACTACTACTACTACTACTACTACTACTACTACTACTACTACTACTACTACTACTACTACTCCTAATGCTACTACTACTACTACTACTACGACTACTACTACTACTACTACTACTACTACTACTACTACTACTACTACTACTACTACTACTACTACTACTGCGACTGCGACTGCGACTGCGACTACCACGACTACCACTACCACTACCAGTAGCACCACTCCTGCTGCTGCTGCTGCTGCTGCTTCTGCTGCTGCTGCTGCTGTTGCTCCTGCTCCTACTGCTGCTCCTGGCGCTTCTGGGCGATATTGATAATCCACAAGTCTTGCGACTCGCCAACCCATCGACATTGCACCAGGCAAGAAGCCGTCGTTCAGCGCCGTGGCGCAGAAGTACGGCCAGCACGCGCCAGCGGAATCGGGCCCTGGCCACCTGTACATAGTATAGTTTATAGCGGTTGAGGGTCAAAACCCCGACATTTGCATCGGTACTTGGCCGCGTCGGGGCGGAAGTTTCAGTCGACTGGACCCCGCCGTGCTCAAAAAACGCCTATTTCTATAGTTCTTGGCAAAGGTTTACAGAACGAAGGTCTTGGTGCCACATCCTTAAAGACATCTTTCAAGCTTGATGCGCCCACGAGACGTACTTAGCTATCTATGATGGCGCCGGGAGCGGCAGGGACAGCTGTAGGGGTAGTGTGTTGTGCTAGTCCTAATAACTACTCGTACCGTCGTAGTTGTGCCGCAGTAGGAGCAGCAGCACTAGTGACAGCAGGCCAAGTGAGGCGAAGCACGCGCAGGAGGAGTTCCCCAACAGGTATCTTCGTAACTGACTAGGCCATTCAATGACCAATTGGACCTGCGGGAAAGCCGACTGTCGCGTTCCTAGGTTCCTCAGTGGTAATTTTGGGGCTTCAATAATTACCAACCCTGCTTTCACGATTAAGGCTCCTATAGCACCCTTTTGCCCCTTTTGTTTTAACGGGCCTCTAGTTAAAGCGGACTAGCTGGAAAAGGGGTACCCTTCTTCTTATAAAGGGGCTACTCAGGAACTTAGTTTCTGAGTTCGGACTTCAGAATGATTTAGCAGAGTGTCAGGTGGTCATAGATAGGTCGGACAAGGCAGGAATGAGAGTCGAAGATTGGCTTGCTTGCGGCATTTACGAGCTTGGCTCACACGAATCGGAGTCAGAACATCATCATGATCTACTGCGCGTCGCAGCACACGCCCCCTTTGCCGCCCAAACAGCAGTGCGATTTCTAGGAAACGGGCTGGCATTGATTGGTCCCAGCAGCTCTCAGACTTTGTCTTCCCACGTTCTATAGAAAGTAACATTTTTGGCGTCTTCGGCATGGCTGAAGAGGCACGGCATGGCCACTGCGAGGTTTTGAGTCAGGGGCCTTGGGCACTTCTCTGAGCTTCCAGGGGGACTATCCTCTTACACCTGCACATGTGGGGGTTTCCGAAAATTAGGGGTACCTTATTCAAGGGCCCTTTTAGTAAGGATCCTGTACTGTATTAGGGTCCCCGTTGTCGGAAATTCCCATGTCTGTCAAAACAAACTCTTGCACGCAAGCGTGCCATCTAGTGACCCTGCTCCTGCGAACGGCTCTAACATTCCTGCAAGTAACCTTATCAGCAAAATATCTTGTTTCTCGCATATGTGGTGCTCACTCACTGACCTTCGAAACAAGTCTATACCTCTGTCCTGCGGCTGTAGAGTCTGTGATTGAAGGGCATATGACATTACCTCGTACCCTGGCTGCAACTTCTAGCACTGCCGTTGCGCCAGATTTAACGAGTCATAAATCATAATAGTAACAGTAATAGTAATAGTAACAATATCAATAACAATAATATAGCGGGTTTGAAACCAGAGGCGCCTAGCCGGGGGCGCAAATGCGCAGAAAGGAGGCTCAGGCTTCAACCAACCCCAGCATCCAAACCAGAGAACCCTACAACCCAAGACCTGCAACCATAGAACCACCACGCTAGTCCCAGTTGTGAGGGCAAAAACACCAGAACCCAAAAGCCCTCTAACCCTAAAGCCCCAACCCCCTAAACCCCTAACAGTTACCCTAACACTCCAGAACCCTGAACCCTGAATCTCTAAGCGTTTTTAAAGGGCCTTCAACAAAATCTCTAAGCGTTGACAGAAAGATCAAAATCAACAACAAAAGCACTTTAGTGCTTAGGATAAGGTGCCTTATAAGGGTCCCAAAAGGGTTCCTGTAAGACTTCCATAGTAAAGGAGGCTTCAATAAACTTAAAACTGGGCTTGGGGGTTTATCATACTAAGTATCTGTAGCAAGGAATCACAAGAAACTGTATTACTTCTTGTATTACTATTCGTTCAGGCGTTCATATTAGTATTGTCCCTGCACTGCTAGCTGGTCAAGTCAGCTGCTGAAAGGTTCAGGGACATATGTAGTAAGTAGGGTCTAAGCTGCCAGAAGTAGGTAAAAATGCCTTAAACAAGGTTTTCCGCGAAGCAATCCTACTTCGAGGCTACTGACTAAGTCCCCTGATCCTTTAAATCAGTAGCAACCAGGGAAGCACAACCCTAAAAGGCTAAACCCCAAGACCCTAAAGCACAATGTCGGACAGGAGCCGACCAGCTGGAAGGACGAGCAGGCTCCATGGCTTTTGTTGGGTGGAGGTTCAGGGTTTAGGGGGTGCTGGCATTCATCAAGTCCAGATGTAAAAAAAGGCTTGGTGATTCGGTTGTTAAGGCTTGACAGGCCTTTTGCATGTTGATAGTAATATGCGTATGTATGTATGCAAGTATGTATGAGCATGTGTATATAAAGACAGAGAGAGAGAGCGAGAGAGAGAGAGAGAGAGAGAGAGAGAGAGAGAGAGAGAGAAAGAGAGAGAGAGAGAGAGAGAGAGTCAGTTTTCGGTAGTTGTACTCGGAGCGCCACCCACCGGAGTAGTAACCCCAAGATCCACAATTCTGCAGTAGATGCCCGAGCCCAGAAGTGTGTGAATCCTGGTGCATATTGGGAGTGTTGTTGTACCCCGAGAGCGAATGAAAACACATCACGAGCTCCCTCACTCAGCAACAGGGGCATGGGCAACAGTGTCGTGATGTTGTTGTTTGTACCTAACCAGTCTTTCAAGCCCACCCGTGGAGGGCAACAGACAGCTATCGCACGTAATACCGTGCGTTCCAAATATCCATCAGTCGGGTATCCAACATGGGATAGCTGGCAAAAATCCTCTGACTGCCCTTGGCCCGTGCAAGTGTACGGATCTGTTCATAAGCCCAGAGGTTATCGAGGGCTTAAAGCCAATACCTAGCCCTTGAACCCCGTACGCCGAAGTCAACTTAAATGGATATCTTGAGCCTTTTCGACCCTAAACCCTAAAGCTCGTTCAAACCACAGACCCCGAACCATGATGAACCCTAAAGTCCAAATCCTGCTCCCCACAACCTTAAACTTTTATAAACCCTAAACCCTACAGTCAAAAACCCTAAAGCCCGAAACCCTAAACCCTACAAAAAAGAACCGGACGCCTTTCTGCATCCCTAAGGCGCTGGAGGAGGCGCCCGCGCCAGAAGCTTCGGCTGCTTTTGCGGAAGAAGAAGGCCGGCTCAGGGCTTGCGTAGGCGCTTGTTATTTAGTCTTCAGGTTCAAGGTTTAGGTTATATATATATGTATGTGTATATATATATATATGTATGTGTATATATATATATATGTATATATATAGGGCCTTTGTAGGTGCGACGTGGGTCAGTCATCGCAGGTAGTTGCTTCGTGAGTTTCTGCCGGATAGGCAGTTCAAGCAATTGGAGTCTTTGCCCGATGCCGGATGTGTAGTTTAAAGGCTACTGCGGAAGATACTTCTGGAGATCGTCGATGCTTGTTTCCTTCTTGTGTTTCTCTCACTTCCACGTTTGCATCCCTCGTCAAACGAGAAGGCCCTGCTGTTGAGGAGTGTTCGCTGGCACACAACTCAAGCCCATGCTGAAAAGTGCCTCCGCAGGGTCGTAGGGTTTGGGGCTTAGGGTTGGAGGGGCACGAGTCCACAGCACAGTCGGCGTCTCGGTTCCTGGCATATGCGTAGTCCAGGTGTAAAAAGGGTTGGAGGGCTTAGCATTGGATTCAGGGACTACTACGGCCGAAGAAAAGGTTGGTGTAAGCCATACTCGGAAGCCTGCCATCTTGGGGCCGAAAGATAGGTTGAATATGGTAGGGTCTATAGGGTTTAGGGTTTGGAGGTTTAGGGGTTCAGGGTTAAGGGGAGTTGAGTTCATGCTGAAAAGTGTCGTTGAGTTCACTGTGTGAGATACAGTGCTGCTGTAGCGATCGTGACCTAACACTAAGTCCCAGGCCCTAAGCTTGGCTTAGACCTGGAATCCTCAGCCCTAAACACTTTGAAACGAACAAAACAAGGGTTTAGGGTTTAGGGTTTAGGGGAAATCAAGCTACCCAACCTTGAGGCGAGCAAGAGTGGCACGGAGAAGGCCAAGCCATTGGACTTTGTGGGCCAATGTTTTGAGAGCGCGGGTATCAACAAAAAAGAGTTTGGGTGAGCAGGATGAAGCTTAGCACATAATCCATCACGCAAGTGCCGGGGGAATCGTAGAGGGAGTGCTGGGCTAGTTTCGATCCTTCTCCAAGATTGCTGGTTGAAAGGGGACCCTTAATGGGGACCTCTACCCTATAATGGGCTATATAATGGGTACATAATAGCTATGTTAAGGGTAGATTGCAGCAATGCGCTGCCAGGTGACGTCCCAAAGCCAGACGAGGAGCAACGACTTGTCATGCAATGTTTGGGAGCTTAGGGTTTTAAGGTTTAGGGTTTCAGGGTTTTTGGGTTTAGGGCAGACTGGGTAGAAGGGCCCCTGTGATGTGGATGATGCAGTTCAGGATTCGCATTTGTGTTCGAGCCCCTCATTTTCAACTCGAGCTGCCAGGAAAAGGCGTCTTTTCTACTAATACCCTAAACCCTAAACCCTAAACCGAATTGAAGGCTCCTATTCTACTAATACCCTATAAGCCCTAAACCCTGAGCCCAATAGGAGGGGAGGTGCGAGCAACTTGCATTTTTGTGCAGCGCAGGTGTCATCTTCAAGGGCTTATAGTAGGTAACCTTTAGCCGTTCCTGATCACCTGGACCCCAAAAGTATGTGGAGTACTTTACCTACTTTGGGGGTCTCGGTAGGTACAGCCCCCATACAGTAAGAGTCTGTACTAGGGCTACTATTAAGGTCCGAGTGTATCTATATTATGAATACTAATCAACTATTATTGAGTGGGGGCCGTCCCCAAGTTCCTGATATCAGAGACACCGTGCCGAAAGGGTTGAGAGCTTCTTTGGGCTAGGGTACTCAGCCCCTAACCCTAAACCCTAAAAACTGTGTACCACGCATAGGCTGGCTCTGCCTGCCGAGACTTTAGCCCCTAAAACCCCCCCCCCTGCGGGTGGGCCACTGAGCCTTGAACTTTTGAAGGCAGTTCGGTTTGCACCCTGTATGTCGAAATTTCGCGTGCATCAATGCCTCATTTTCGGAGATCAGAAACATAGCCTCTTCAAAAACATTATGTAGAACACACAGGGTTTCTGCGCTTTTCGTCGGTGTTGTGGGTTCTAGACCCGAAGGTGTTATGCGGGCAGTAGTACACTGAAAGCAACACTGGCGCACATAACGAAAGTAATTACCACGCCTGTCACACGAAACAGGGTTCAACATAGGATTGAGAATCTACTGAAGCAACCCGTCGTGTGTCCATTCTCAATCCTGTGTTTAAACCCTGCTTCGTGTGACGGGCGTGGTACTTTCGGTATGTCCGCCAGTGTTACTTTCAGTCTATTACTTCCTGCGTAAGAGCCTCGTCATAATGTATCTGGAAACACAGAACGCCATCACCCCTCCCCTCCCCCACCCCCCGCCCACGCACAAGAAGAAGCAAAGACAAGGCACAGAAGTCCCTGCCGCATGCTTCAACCCTGGCTCCTGCAGGATGTCGGAGATCAGGAAGAGGAAGGGGAGCTTCTCGGCTGAAGATTCGAAGTGCGTTGGGCTTCGGGACCCTGGAGCATGGGCCTTAGGGGGTTAACAGTGCGGTAGGATTGTCACAGCGCTGAAGCTATCGTGTAGTCAGAACAGAACCTACAGCGTTCAGAGCTGAGACGCGGGTAGGCTCCGAATTCCTGAAGCCATGTGTGCTAAGCGCCAGATCCTCAAATCCCAATTCCTTGCTTGAAACCAGGCTGATGGAGGATATCCCCGGGGCAGCAACCGAGGTGGGGGTGGGGGGGGGATCTCGAGAGCAGTGGTGGTCCGAATTGGGATAAGGTAAATCCCACTTTCTTACATTCCTGTCATTCTGGATCCGCGTCTTTGGGGTTTCGGGTGTAGACTCTAGATTACGGGTTCCTTGGTTTGAAACTTTTATGTGGGTTTACAGTTCGGATGTAGGGTTTCCCGTTTGAGGACTCATGATGGTGCGGATTTAGGATGTAGGGTTCAGGTGCAGGCAGGTGGGTTGCAAGATGCAGACTGATTGTGCCTCAGACCTTACACCCGAAAGCGAGTAAGCCTGGAGATTCTTGCATCCCAATGTCTGGTCGAAATCAGTCTTGGTGCCAAGCCATTCGGGTCGATAGATAGTAGCGCACAGAAGAACCAACCGTTCCTTCAGGTTTTTCCATTTCTGATATAAGGTCTAGGGGTTCAGGATGTAGCAAAAATCCAAATGTGACAGCCCTTGGACTTGCCCACAGGAGGGCCTCACAGCGGAGGATGCAGATGCGTGTCTTGCCTGCTTTGCACAGGGCGCAGATGGGTCTCTGTTCGAAGTTGTCAGATCCCGATACCAGCCTGACCTCTGAAAGCTCAAACCACTCAAGGCGCACATCCTGGTTTTAAACTGCTGTTGGCGTGCAGCATCCACGTGGGATCGCGGACTCATAGATTGTTTGGGGCCTGTGCTTTGCCTTGAAACACGTTGTGCTCGGAAGGCAGGTGTGTGCGTGTGCGTATGTGTGTGTGTGTGCCTGGCACCCATTTGATTTCCAAAACCCGAAGAAGCTGCGGAAGCTATCCCCATCAATGCGAGAACGCGAAGTCGGCAGCGGGTCTGCCAACTCTCCTCCATACTGTAGGAGAATAGGGTGTTGGCCTTTATACTATGATTATAGGAAGAAGCCCCCAAAATAATTTACGTAATTCTCAAGGCCCCTATAGTACTTCATAGCTTCCCCGCCTCTTAATACAAGTCAGTAGTGGGGCCTATATACAAAAAACTTCCGCTGGTTTGTTTCATTGAGGGTTCGGTTGCACTTCTATAGTCTATGCATGTATCACAAGGCATCTTTACGGATGAGAGCATTCATGTCTAGAGATGCGTGTGGTTCGAAGGCAGGAAAATACAGTGGTACGTATCTGGCCTCTTATACTATACGGATAGCCTTTAAGTAGCTTGGGCGTCGGCAGGTGTTCCTGCACTGCGAGTTATTTTTTGTTACCCAACTGAGAGGCCAATGTTTCAATAGTGGTTTCGTCCTCGTGTTTTGAAACGTTAAACCTTTCCTAAGCAATTTTTGTCTGAAGCCCTGCGGATTCAGGGTGTCACAAGAGCCCATTGGAGCCACCTATCTGAGGACCGCAGCCCAAGGAGAGGGTGTGGCGGAAGCAAAGGCGGCCGACGAGGTGATGGAGGAGGAGTCTTTCATCCTAAGTATGAAACTCTGAAGTAGCCGACATCATTGTGAATTACTCAGACCGACGAAGGTAACCCTAAACCCTAAACCTTTCATGATGGAGATCTGACGGCAGACCCTGGTTCGAATTACCGAACGGAAGAATCAATGTCCAAAAGGCTCTGGGTATAGGATCAGCGGCTTTGGAGAACTAACCACAGCACATCCTCAGCCACATTGAAATGTTTGCTACCATCTTCAACACTCCTGCTTTATAGCCCATGGAATTCTCAGAAACGCCTTCACAGACCGAAAACCTTCAACTCCAAAAAGCCCTAAACCCTCAACCCTGCAATGCGGGCTGCGTCTTTGCTACGTAGGCGGGAAAAGAACACCTGAATCTCTCGAGCGTGAGGGCTCAAACAGCCCTAGGCACAAAAACCGAAACCTTCAACCCTAAACCCTCAAGCCTAATCCTTAAACCCGTGGAAGTTCAGGAGAAAGAGGATGGTTCCTTGGAGTCGAAGAGGGTGTGGATAAGACCTCCTTCGGGGTTTGGGATTCAGGGCTTGGGGTTTAGGGTTTACAGTAGGGGTTTGGGTTTAGAGTTTATGTTAAGGTTTATGGTTCAGGGTTTGAGGTTTAAGTGCCAGGTTTAGGATTTAGGGTTTGAGGGTTTAGAGTCTAGGGTTTGAGGTTTAAGTGCCAGGGTTTAAATAGGTGTCCGGGTTTAGGGTCACCCAGGCGGTATTCACACAAGCCTGCGCAAAAGGGTATTGCAAGGCCGCGGCTTTAACTGAGGAATTAGGGTTTAAGGGCTCAGAGGTTAGGCTTCAGGGTTTCGGGCTTAGGGCTTCTGGGTTTTAATTCAGGTTGTCAGGTCCGGAACCCTTGCCTTGAGCCCCGAAGTTGAACCCAAAGGGTCTAGGCGTCGTAGGGTTGGCCCTGTGAAGTTTCAGGGCTTCGGGCTTCTAGGCCCGGGGGCCTGCTTTGGAAAGCTATTACATGGGGTTATCTTCATTCCTAAACCCTAACCCAACGGGCAAGTGGAGAAAGGGTCATTGCACTTAAAACAAACTAAACCCTATTCTAAGCTATGTTCAGAACGGACAAGCCAGCTCAGGAATCTGGGAACTAACACGAATGGTGACTTGTTGTGGGGTTTAGAGTTAGAGCTTTGGTTGCATGGTTTGGCGCTCTATAGGCTAGGGCGGCTAAAGTTTACGTAGCGCGTGTGTAGTTTCGGAGTGTAAAGAGTTCCGATGATTCAATTGTCCAGGAATTTGCGACGCTCGGGAAGGACACGGGATCTTTGTACTCTGAGCTTGTCTTATTTAGTAAATTAACGCTTGCAGTTATGATTTTTGGGGTTAGGCCTGGCAAGGCTTCTCCATGGACAACTTGATGAGAAGTGTGAGAAGGGGCTTCAGCCAAAAGATCGCGTGTGTGAAATTGGAAAAGCAGTTACTGCGCTCCACGAATGCCCTCGCGACGGGGTTTGGAGTTCTGTATTAAACTCCATAAAGCCGACTAAGCCCTGTAGCATCCTATTACATACGACTCGTACGAAAGACAGGGGGTCGTTGATGAGCCGTCGTCGTTGCCAGCTGGAATCAACTGGAGATTTCTGGACTCGGCTTTGTCAGGATCGGTTTTCAGGCTTGGGATGAAGATTCAGGATACAAGGTTTAAGCTCGGTTTCGATGCGCTAGCTCCCAAGCCGTGGAGCCCCCTTTTGGATCCCGATTTGCGGCTGAGTATCGTTGAGGGCGCTGCAGCTGCAGTCGCTTTGCAGCCCACTTGGCATTTCGCTTGTGCGGTGTTGATGTGCCAGGCTTGGGAGCACTTGGCAGAAGAATCGTCTTTGGCGCAGCTCGTGCCTGGTGCATCGCATCCAATGAATCCAATACATTCTTCTCCAGGGACGCGTGGATCTGCGACCCTGCCTGGCTACTCCGAAGCCATGGGAGTCTGAGAAACTGAGGTTTTGAAGTGCGAAGCATGCGAGCCTCAAGGACTGGATCTTCGGGGTTGGTTGTCAAACAACTAAACCCAACCTCCCTGAACCTCAACTTCGGCCGAAAGCATCCAAAGCTCACCCTGCTCCGAGGTAGTAGTGCCTGGTGGGCCGCGGAGAAACCCACCGAGGCACATCATAAATGAAAGCTTACTAATTGCATGGGCCTGGGGAGACATGACATTCGGGAGGTGGCCCAAACTCAGACCTAACGGCACTGGGTTGACTGCTCCTCGCTCTAGTGGTTGCTGTTTCTTTACGGTTTACCGGTCTCTTGCCTTGCCTTTGGGCCTTTGGGGTTTAGGCAGTGTCATAAGTGACAGCACCAGAAGCCTATGCCAAGCAGAAGTAGCTCTTAGTCTCAAGCTTTATGTTATGAGGCATTGACCCCAATTCATCGCAAAATCGCAAGCAAACCAAGTCCAAGAGCTGGTAGCACCACGGACAAAATTCTCTCGGTGCGGAACACGTCCGGAAGAGTGAACCAGAAGCCCCTGAAACTTCCAAGCACCTCTTGACCCGCGAAGCCTTGTAACAGCTCCAGGCCCTAGCTTCCATGTTTCCCGCCGCGCCCACAAAAATGCACACACAATAAAGCAACGGTGCGTGCACAGACACCGGCACAGACTCAGACAGGCAGGCAAACACACACACACACACAGCAACATGGCACCACAACAGGAGCAGTAGCAATAGCAACACTAGCCTGGACCCACGTTGCCTCGATCCACCATAGACAACCCTCAAACAGCACTGACAAGCCTACAAGAACCGTACAACAAGTCGCCATACGACTCTATGACAAGCACCACAAGTCCTTATAGACAACTAACCTGTTCTAACAACCTTATCACAAACTGTATAAACCTGCCAGATTCCGATCAAGGCTTTGTAAGGACATTCCGTAAAGAGCAACCTATGAAAACACACTGGAGCGGCGCTAAAGCTCGAGCCGCTTTGGAAGCCTCAACAAAAACTCTGTGGTTGTCGCTCTTGCTCGCTCTCTCTCTCTCTCTCTCTCTCTCTCTCTCTCTCTCTCTCTCTCTCTCTCTCTCTCCCTCTGCTCGCTCTCTCTCTCTCTCTCTCTCTCTCTCTTGCTCGCTCTCTCTCTCTCTCTCTCTCTCTCTCTCTCTCTCTCTCTAGAGTTCTGTATGTATGTACATACCTGTTTATTGCAGCTGCATACACCCCTACTGTTGAAGTAGCACTACATACATAGAACGGTGCTGCTAAAAGCAAATGTTCGACAACACTATACAGCACCATGGCAATTCAACAACACCACATTAAAACCCTTTACCATTTTAAGAAAGTTGACAACCGTGTCAATCCTTTTTCTGTAGTTCTAAGTCCCCACAAGCAGAAGCCCTAAGCCCGAAACCCTAAATCATAGAAACCCAAAGAGGCTAAGAAATTCCTACGCTGGAAGTAAAGTCCCTTTAATAGTAAGTACACTGAAGCTAAGTAGGGCTCCTGTAACAACAAGTTATGCTATCGTCACTGAGGGTCCTTATTTTGATATGACCATACCACCCAGACTCGCGAGGCAGATGCCGAGGCCGAGCCGGAGGCATATGTTTGTTTTCTGTTTTGGGAAGAAGGGGGGTAGAGGAGGGTTAGGGTTTAGGGTTGGGGGCGGTGGAGGTTTAAGGTTTAGGGTTGGGTGGGTGAGGAGGGTTTAGGGCCTTTGTGGGTTCACAGGTTGAAAGGTTTTGCGGTGGTAAAGTTGCTTGAAGAAGAACTGTTGGCAGGGTTCTTCTAGGATTTTCAGGGGGCTGCGGCTTGTTTGGCTGACTTCCGAGTGTGATTTGTTGATTGGTTTTGTTTTTTGTTGCTTGCTGAGCTTTCAGAAACCCTAAACCCCTCAAAGACCCTAAACGGTTGTTGTGTTTGAAGTCGTAGGGTTCTTACATGTTCTATATTGGTATTTAAGCCACTTGTCCGATCTCTTCCCCACGCCGCGAATAATCTGAGCACCCGCTGGTTTGATCAGTTTTTGCTTCCATGGTTTAGGGACCCAAACCCAGGGGTACAAACCCTAAGGGTACAAAAGAAAACTTATTGAAACACTGCGAGGCATCTGCAGCTGCATCCGATGATCCAGCTGCACGAGTTGAGATAGGCATCCTTGGTGCAGTTGCCCCGTGGGCCTTTCGCTACGGTTTCAGGGTTGGAACACCTGGGGCTCATTTCCACCGTCACATAGAAAGTTGCGCGGGCTACTTACTGCCTGCGAGGCACAAACGCACACCCTCACAGAAACATACATAAAGGTAGACATGTATGCATATATGTATGTATGCATGTATGTATGTATGTACGTATGTTCGTATGTGCGTGTGTGTACATCTCTGTACATATGTATGTATATGTACACAGAGAGAGACATGTATTTGTATATGCACATACATATACATACAATTATAGCCATGTAACTAATATAGAGACATGTGAGTGCAGCACATGTCTTCAGGATTTTTGCATTGTATACATACGTAGAAAAACAGTATGAGTAATGATGTTAACACCAATAGCAGTAGGAGTAGCAGGAGGAGGGGTGGTCGTCGTCGCAGTACAGGACTACTGTACTTCAACTCACTGTCTCGCAGTACAGATATAGTCACTACGGTTTAGGGAAAAGGGCTTTTAGGGTTTAGGGTTTTAGGGTTTCACAACTGCGTTTGTACCTATACTGACTGAAGATATCACCATCCCTCAGCTCCTCAACCCTTGCATTGCGAGACTCTTGATGATGGCACGGCAGAAAGAGAGAGAGAGAGAGAGAGAGAGAGAGAGAGAGAGAGAGAGAGCGAGCGAGCGAGCTCCTCAACCCCCAAACCAAAAGCTCGTCAAGCCTTCGTCCGCGAGGATTGGTTCCCAGGTTGAGGGATTTTTTTCATGGATCGTTGAGACTCAGGCCTCCCCAGCTCAGGGGCTTTTGTTTGTTCCCGGTCTGCCCCAAAAATCCCCCGACAAATTTAGACCTGAACTTAACAGAATTCCTCGCCGACGGAGCCTGGAGCCTTGTTAGTGCCCCGTCAGAGTCCCTCACGAATCACCATCCCGATTTCCGATGAGATAGGCTTTCAACCAAATCTCCCCGGCCACCTAACCGATATATTCGGCGCAGATGTTGGCTGGGAAACTACTGCCTGGCTATTGGAGGAGGACGCTCCAGTCTCCCAGGTTGTGCTGATTCATGTTGATGTCTTCCAGTTCATTACCCTCAATGCTCGTTCCAAAGATCGTTTGAATACCTTGAACCCAACAGCCTTTCGGAGGTCTCGGGTTCGAATCTTAAAATTAGGTTTTCAGTGGTTGTGTTCCCTTATTTTTGCCGAAATACCTGGAGGCCTCATGGAAACGATGGCAGCCCGTAAGAAGTTTTTTTAAGCCCTTACAGCACCCTGTAACAGCCTATCACCTCAAAAATCCTGAAAGAATTCAAGAAACCCTTTCGATCCCTTTCGAACCATAAGAAAGCAAAGCGTAGAGTCTCTCAAGCCCTTCTAAGAATCCTACAAAGCCCTTTGTATGAAGCATTCTGGAAGAACACCATCACTTCGTAGCTGAGTAGGCAACCCTTTAACCTTTTGAGGTTTATATATATATATATATATATACTCCTACCATAATTGAAAAGATTAACCTTTTTGGGCTAGGTTTCTCAGCCCCTGGGATCAGAACAAGCTCCTCGAAAGGATGGCCGGCGCTTGCGGAAGCTTGAGCGCCTGGCCGGGGGAGAGGCCTTCTTCCGGTGATTTCCGGGCATGTTGGGGTAGGGTTAGGGTCTAGGGTTCAGGGTTCAGGGTTCAGGGTTTAGTGTTCAGGGTTTAGAGTTCAGGGTTTAGAGTTTAGGGTGTAGGGTTCAGGGTTTAGGGTTCAGGGTTTAGAGTTTAGGGTTTAGGTTCAGGGATTAGGGTTTAGGGCTGAGGGTTTAGAGTTTAGGGTCGAGGGTTTAGGGTTCCGGGTTTAGGGTTTAGGGTAGGGGAGTTTCGAGGCCCTCCAATTCAGGAATCGTGTTTGCTTCGTAGTTGGGGCTTCAGGGTGCAAGAGTAGGTTATTCTTTGCTACTGGTATTCTGGTTATATTTGCGTCAGCTTTTCTTTCATTGCTACTGGTACTGTTGCTAGCACTACTTCAGTATCTACTACTGCTATGTTCTGTGTTTCTGCCATCCGTGTTCTTGGGTTTGCTTGTGATGCCTGCCAGTGCGTACACATGTTCGGCCCACCCTGCAACACGCTTGGTCAGTCACTTCAGCCTCCAAGACACCTCGTCCTGAAAGGGATCGCAGGGAGAACGCTTAATGCCTAAAACTTTCAAGTGCAATGCAGGCATGTCGCGCGCCGGGGGGGTAGAGACCGTCCTGCAACTGTAGGAATTCAATATTCAATGGGCTATGCTTCTGAGTTCAGGCGTTTTGTGAGGGTCTGGGTTTTCTGGCTTCTTTGAGGACTCCTCTCTTTCCTTTAGCAAAGATGAATATAATAGGGGCCTTCAGAATTGGAATAGGGGTTTGGGGGCCATTATACTATAAGTATAATAAGGAACCCCCCATGATAGTCTAGGCAATTATTGAAGGCCCCTAAGATAGAACCCTATCGTAGATCCCATATAGACTAAGGTGACTAAGGCCCTAGATTGCGTTACCTTGGCAGCAAAACGAAATCGCGTCCAAAGTCCGCTGCGCCCTAAGCCCTAAAACCTTCGTTCTCGTCGGTTGAAAGCGCGCATGTGGTGACCTAGAAAACCAATGAATCCAGAAGTTAAGTAGAATTGCTTCTCGATTTAATAGTTCGGTTTTGACCCAGAAGCTTGTTCAAATCCGCAGACTACGACGTATGATTCTGCGCGCCTTCCTCCCATTGTTCAGGGTGGATCTCCGGAGCTTACAGTAAATGATTCTGGCTGTTAAGATCATCGGCAGGTAAACCCTGCTGCTTTTCTTTCTGGTGCTGATGGGATTGTGATGAGCTTGTGCAGGCCGAGGCAACCGAAGAGGGCCAGCTCAAGGTGCGGCGGAGGGGTCCTGGGTCGGGGTAGTTAGGGGTTTAGGTTCAGGACTTCACGGTTTTATGCAAGATGTCATCGGACGACGGATTTTAGGGGGTATGTAAAAGGGGTTTCGGGTTTTTAGGTGGTAGACATTTAGAGTCTTGGGTTTCGGGTTTGGAGCTGACGGTTTTGGGGGGTGTTGTTGCAGGGTCAGGGTTGGTGGTTCAGGTCTCTGGGGGGAAGGCTGGCAGCTTCTATGGGAGTTTTCAGCCTTTCAGCTGTTACGACTTCAAGTGGGTTTAGGGTGCAGGGTTTGGCTTTTGATGGCGTGACATCGAACCACGGTGATTGCCTTCAGTCGCCAGGATGGTTTGCGCGTGGGTGGTGGTGCTCTACATGATGGTGCTTTTTCGGTCCCCAAAGTAATATAGGGTAGGTACCCTGAAAAAAAACGACCTCAAAAGGAGCCCGAATTTGTGAAACTACACGTGTGTCTGTCCATGTCTTCGCCGGCCTTCCAGTCGCATCTGCATATGGATCATGGGACGGCGTTTATGTGCGGATACATGCACACAGTGCTCATTATAGTACGTGCCCGGTGATGTAGCGCATACACATACACATGCTTACACTTTTACAAATGCATATACATATAAGTTTATGTATATATACACATATCTGTGCACATGCGTTTTGCGACTCCATGTCATTCAATGTTGCGTTGCAAGTATGTCGTGCGTCCTGCGTGTGTTGCGTCACTCTTCGGTCACCTAGAACTTAGTCGCTCAGATCCAGCAAGATTCGTAATACATATCGAACTGAAATTTGTTTGTCCCGAGCTTCTTTATTATGCTGTGAGGTATGCTAGTCAGTATGTACTTCGGATATTACCCTCAGCACGGCATGACCAAAGGTGACGCCTTCCTCTGCCGAGCCACCTCCTGGAGGCTGCGGCACCGGCCACAGCCGCTTGGGCCTAGATGCGAGGGTCTTTTTACGGTTGACGGTTTAGCCCTTCGGGATGCTTTATTTAGTGTTCAGGTGAGGATTTAGATTTTGGGGTTTAGGCCTCAGGGTATATGTTCGATCAGAGTTTAGGTTCACGTGTGGGAGTGTATAGTATAGCCCGGATGAAAAAGGCGCGGGAGTGTAGGATTTGTATACCAGTGTTAGAAGAAGCGTTTGTGATTGTAAGCTGAGTGCCATACATGGTTCAGGAGATTTGCTACACACTGGGTCAGAAAGCGTGTTGCTAAAGTAAAGGTGCGCTTTGCCTCAATGTGTTTTCCATTGTTCTGTAACACAGGGTCAATAGATTTAGAATCGGGCTACTATTCTGGCACTTACAGTGCATCCCGGTGTAGTTGGTGCTCGGGTCTTGGCCTTGTGAGTGATGTAGGTTTTGGCTTCAGAACCCAGGGTCCCGGGGTTGTCTTTTGCGGAGACTTGCTGTGCTAGGAATAGGCAGGCTTTGCTGGAGATGTGTAGATTTGTCGAAACTTTTGTCGAAATTTTGGGATAGGTAAGCAATGGTCCTGAATCCTAGCCCTGAACGTAAACCTTAACTCTGAACCCTACACTCAGACCCGGAATGCCCAGACTCTACATAAAAACGAAGGACGCTCGACAAGTCCATGGCCAACCCTTAAGACCCGACGTCAGAGAATCCGAGGCTGGTGCGAGATTATCGCGCGGGCTTTGCAACTTGGATGTTCCTCCAGCCACTCCGTAAGATTCCAAAGAATACAATTGCCACAAACAGAAACGGTCACACACCCAAAGCAGCCCAACAACTCTAACTCAACCCTGAACCCATACGCCCAAACGACTCAGGAACACACAAATAGCTGCACAAGGTTTGGTAGCCGCGTGTTGAGACGTGGTGTTGTTTAGCGCCGAGGTCTGGAGTACTATACTTGCTTATAAGATTTGCAGTTCTTTGAGGAACCATTTATCGAAATAATGCTTACACCATTTTTGATAAAGAGAGGGAAACCGGGTAGGGCCCCCAAGGTCTTGGCACAGGCAACAGACCCCCTGCTTATGGGCGTTCCGAGTTGTAGGGCCGAAAAATCCTAGCTTCGCCCTTGCCTTCTTGGGTTGAAGTTTGGGTTTCCTGGCTCTGAGGCGTTTCGCCCATACCAGGAAAGCGGCCAGTCGTCCACGGATTGTGCCAGACCGAGGACCATGTATGTGTATTTCAGCCCGAGGTGCGCCATGCGCACCGGCGAGGATGTCGAGCTGCCTGCTACCGTCGCAGATTTTGTGCCTCGCCTCACGCGCGGAGGAGGAGTTGAGTTGGTACGGGGTTTTGGGCCTAGGACTCTTAGGGCAGTTGGTGATCCCCACCTCCAGAACTCCTGACCAAACGTAATTACAGCCTGTTCGCCGCCAGGCGAAACCTGAAGGTATGAAGCCGAGGCTAAAGCTTCAATCAAGCGCCCAAGGCATCCACGAATATGTACACTGCCAGAAAATTATGCACCCTCCAACTTCATTCCTGGGTTCCCGGAGGAGTGCTATGAGCTTCTGAAAGTTTTGGCTTTGGCATCCAGGTCCTACGTAGCTCCTCATGGGACGAACACAGGATGCACCCCTGTAGCGTTGCGACTAGGCCTATGCCATTCTCAAAGAAATCTTGTTGACTTGGAGTATGGTGTATTCTTCAGGAGTTGGACATGATGTTGTCAAGGCACCTCCAAGAACAGACCAGGCGGCCCAGGCTACCCAGGCTAGGGCTCTCTTGCAAGCGGTTTTTGCATCGAAGGGCAGTTCAACTAAGATCACAGGAACATTGGGCCGAGCTGGCATGCTCCTAGAAAAACTTTAAAGTGTGCCAAGCTATGCTAAGCTCAGTCTGGCGGAGCGGGTAGTGTCAACATCCTGACAGGTTTTTGGAGTTTGATCCGGGTTTATTGTCGGATATCTTGCTATCTCGGCTGCCACTGAGGCTTCGTCTATGGAGTTCGGAGACGGGCTGGGCATCATGATTCTGGAGGCAACGGTCCAACCTTGCGACGTCTCCCCAATATCCGAACCACAAGATGTCACAAGACCCCTACACCTTCTAAACTCCCTATTTCTACTAGACTAAAACCTAAACCCCCGACGGTACATAACGGTACTGGGCAGTGTACGAGGCCCATTGACGCAAGCAAGTGCCGCGTGTTGTAATAGTACACTCGGATACAACCCTTACAGCCCAAAAAGAATGCGCCCAAAGGACTGAGTTCAGCTGATCCTTCGCTAAGACCCCGGAGGCCTGCCGTTCATTTGCCCTCCTACTTCAATCTTCAAAGCCCACTTGGAGGCTTATGGGACTTAGTAATTAAGGTTATAAGTAGGTTATACTTACGATAACCCCACTTAGGGGACTTATAACCCCACTTATAACCTACTTACTAAGTCCCATGATCCCCCAAGCAACCTACAAAACTCGGTCCTAGCCCTGCAACCTGAATCCTCGAGCCGTGAACCCTAAAATCTCGAAACTTCCTCGAGGTCCCTGCCGCTGTCTCCAAGAAACCAATCAGTGGAAAGGATGGCGCCAAGCTTCTCGAGCTGTGCCTGGGTGAGGAATATAGGCATAGGGTTTAGGGCTGCTGGTGGGCCTCTATACTAGGATGCTGGGTTAGAGCCTGAAGTGGCCTTGGTTTAGTGGGTCAAGAATGTAGGGCTGTGAGGTTTTCGTGGTTCCCATGCCGCTTTTAAGACCACGTCACCCGCTCCAGGGCCCTAGAGTCATCGAGTTTGAAGCCGCGAAATCCCTACAAGAATGAGTAATGTTTCCAGCGGTTCCCCGTACCCCGTATACTCGGAAAGCCCGCATTAAGACGATTTCAATGATGCCACAAGAGAAGCGAGGGATTGATGTGCAGGGCTGCTGAGTCCTACAGCCTCAACCTTGCCAGAGGAAACCCTAAACCCTTAAGCCCTAAACCCTAAACCCTAACGCAAGCCATAGACCACGATGCAGCTGCAGAGGTGTGACACCCAGGATGTCGTTGCGGTCTTCACGACTGCCAAAGAGGCCCTGGGAGTTTCCCAAAATAGGGGACCCTAATATAGTACCCTGAATAGTGGGATCCTTATTATAGGGACCCCAAAATAAGGTACCCCCAATTTTCGGAAACTCCCCCCTGTTCCAGCATCATGTTTCAAGGGAATTCTGGGGCCTGAACCATCATCGGACACCAGGGAAGAGCCTTAAATCTATAATCCGCTTAACTACGTCCGCACACTCACTAAATCCTAAACCCTCAGACATTGGGGGGTTCAGACAAGATCGAGTGCAAGCGGTTTCAAGCAACTCTGACGACAGAATTCCCAGCGGCGGCAACCGGTCATCATGTTGCCAGGCCGCCAGCGGCGGCGGAGAGGCAACCGGATTCGCCGAAGGCCCGTCGTGTTGCTTATCCTGTTCAATATTCCGAAGATCACGACTTCCTTGATGTCATATGGGTGGTTGTCAAAATTATGATCCCTTTTGGGGTACCCTAAAAATATTAGGTGCCGTACTATATTAGGGACCCAAAAAGGGACCATAATTTTAACAACCACCCATAGGCTTTCAGACCTGCTGCGGAGCCCCCCGGGATTGCCTCTCCCTAAGGGTCCAAGTGCCCAAATAGTAGGGTTTTAAGGTCCAAAAACCATTCAGAGTATGGATTTTGGGACCTAAAACCCTAATATTTGGGTACTTGGACCCTCTGGGTCTGATACCGGAGAAGCTGAAAGTCCCCTCAAACCCACACCATATCATGCCAAACCTGCGAGCTTCGGAGCTCCAGGGTTTAGGGTTTAGGATTTATAGGACCTGGTCGGACGTTGTTGTGACTCAGCTCCCGGACCTCACGAGAGGGTGTTATCGTGATCATGGTGTTGTTCTGTGTTGGTCGGCTTTCCCTGACTCGTGGTCACAGAGGATTCAGAGGTTTGTTTCACTTCAGAGATGAGTTTTGATTTTCGCGATCCTTGGCAATACGTCGGAGGGTCATATATTCTGGCAGCCAGCAAGCCCAGTGTCAAAAAAGGATTTATAGGATTTAGGGTTTAGGGTCTGAAGTCAGGCGACACCGTCGAGGCGAAGTACGGTAGCAGCTCCTTGGTTGGCACGCCTTCTTCCGGATGCAAGTTGCCCCCCACAACATTCCACGTGCCTCGAACTCACTCCTAGAAAACCCCTAAACCCTAAACCGATGTTATGGCACGCGCCCGACCAGAGGCCGTGGCCGGACAGAAACCATTAAACCATGATATTATAACCCCCGTAAGTGCTTTTACTGTTCGAGTGCGAGTGCCAAAAACCACATAAACCCACAGCCTCAAACTCGAAACTGTAAACCCCCAGCCCTGAACCCCCAGACAAGAAAACCTAAGCCTCGTATCCTAAGTGTGAACAGTAATGTTTAGTATCCCTAGTCCCTGTAGTTGTTGTTTCGGCTCTGGTCAAATGCTGGACGACCGTGAGGCTGACAGATCTCTGAGTCCGCGAGAGAGAGAGAGAGAGAGAGAGAGAGAGAGAGAGAGAGAGAGAGAGAGAGAGAGAGAGAGAGAGAGAGCGAGCCGAGAGTATAGCAAAAAGCCCAAAACCTGGTGCTAACTACTGTATACATCCTACGAGAACCCTTAAAGAAACCTTGTTCCGGCTATTGAGGCCGCTAAATGAATTAATGTTCATAGCAACCCTTGTAGGCCAATTACGAGAGCCCTTTACGGAACCCAACTCCCCTCAATTACAAAGGCCCCTATCAGCGAACCCGTGCAGAGCCCTCAACAGACTCTGTCTTATTCTCAAGGCAGTAGGTTCGCCTATCGGACCCTGAGCCCCTGACCCCTGACCGCTAAAACCGAAAAGGCCACCTAAATCTTAACCCCAAGCCGCTACTGCAACCCCTAAACCCGGAACAACCTAAACCCGAACACAAACCCCCAAAAAACCGTAAACCTTAAACGAGTGTGAGCGCCGAAAGCCAAATAAACCTAAATCCCTAAATCCCCAGAGCGACCTCAACCCGGAGAGCGAGAATCCCAAAAAACACCTAAACCCTAAACCCTGCCCCTATAGAACCCTAAAAGGAACCCCTAAGCAAAACCCTAAACCCTAACAGCCCACGCTAAAAGCCCTAAACCCACCAAAAAAACTTTAAATCCCAAAAGCCAGAAATGACCCAAGCCCCTAAACCCTAAAGCCCCCGAAAAAGCCCTAAACCTAAACCCGAAAAGCCTTAAACCCTTTGCAAACCCCCCAAACCCTAAACCCTAAAATCCCTAAAACCCTTAAAAGCCGAGTGTGAGCGCCGAAAACCCCTAAAAGCCTTAAACCCTAAACCCTAAAAACCCTAAACCCTAAAAGCCCTAAACCCAAATCATACTAAACCCTAAAAGCCGTAAGTCCTAAAAGTCAAAAAAAACCGTCAACCCTAAAAAGGCCCTAGAAGCCCTAAATTCTAAAGGTCAAAAACAACCCTCAGCCCTAAAAGGCCCTAGAAGCCCTAAATTCTTAAAGAACACCCTAAACCCCAAACCCCTTGTGAACCCCAAAAACCCTAAACCCTAAAACGGCCCTAGAAGCCTTGAATTCTTAAAAACAAAAAAAAACCTAAACCCTAAAACGGCCCTAGAAGCCCTAAACCCCAAAAAGCCCTAGAAGCCCTAAATTCGTAAAGCTCCTGGATTTTATCAAGGCTGGGCCTCGGCTGTCGTCCTGGAGGCCGCGGAGCCAGGCCGGGGAAGCTCTGGGCGTCTCTTTGAAGGGGGTTTACTTAAGGGATTCTTCAAGGGCTCTTTAAAGGGATCTATAGGGTTCCTTAAAGGGATCTATGGGGTTTAGGGTTTAGGGTCTACTTAAAGGATCATGGGACTTAGTAACTAGGGTTCCTAGGGTTCCTTTCAAGGGGCTACTATAAGGGATACCATAAGGGTTTAGGAATATACTTAAAGGATCATGGGACTTAGTAACTAGGGTTCCTAGGGTTCTTTTCAAGGGGCTACTATAAGGGATACCATAAGGGTACTAGAATATACTTAAAGGATCATGGGACTTAGTAACTAGGGTTACTATTAGGGTAACTATACTTATAAATACTTATAACCCCAATTAAGGGACTTATAACTATAGTTACTAAGTCCCATGATCCTCCAAGTAGGGTTTAGGGTCTCTTTGAAGGGGGTTTAGGGTATGGGAGTTTAGGAGTTTAGGGTTTAGAAGTTTAGGGTTTTTTTCAGGGGGCTTAGGGTTTTGACTGTTTAGGGGCTTGGGGTTTTAGGGTGTTTAAAGATTCCATGGAAGGGTTCTATAATAGGGTTCAGGGTACAAGGGTTACTCTAAAGGCCAGGGCCGGCGAGTTTCTGAGAGTTTCTTTGAGGGTTTTGTTTAGGGGTTCTTTCAAGGGTTACTATATGAGTTGCGTGAAGGATTCCTTTAAGGGTTACTACATGCCCATATGGTTTCCTTTACGGGCTACTATATGGGTTCCTCGTGGGGCTGCTGTCAAGGTGACTACATGGGTTCCCCGGGTTCGCACGAGGGTAATTAAGATCCTAAGCTCCCGCTAGAAGTCATAAGCCCGAAGAGGAACAATTTCTCTGCACCTCCAGCCCAAGACGAAAGCCACGACGAGCATAACATAGGGGGGGGCTTAGTAATTAGAATAGGGTTTTGGGGCCCGTTACTCTAATTATTGTAAGGAACCCGCAAAATAGTATAGGCAATTATTAAGGCTCCGAGGGTACACTGCCCTTTGCAACCACCTTCGCCCTCCAAGGTGCCAAAGTGAAGATAAAGTGGGATTATGACAAAACCGAGGCAGAGCTGGAGAGTTGGGACGTGCAACCTGGCCAGAGTAGTAGTCGTAGTAGTAGCAGTAGCAGTAGTGGTAGTAGTTGTAGTAGGAGTAGTCGTCGTAGTAGTTGTAGTAGTCGTGGCAGTAGTAGCAGTAGTGGTAGTAGTTGTAGTTGTAATAGGAGTAGTCGTCATAGTAGTCGTCGTAGTAGTAGTAGTCGTAGTCGTAGTCGTAGTCGTAGTCGTAGTCGTAGTAGTTGTTGTAGTAGTAGTAGTAGCAGTAGTAGTAGCAGTAGTAGCAGCAGCAGTAGTAGTAGTAGTAGTAGTAGTAGTAGTAGTAGTGATAGTAGTAGTGATAGTAGTAGTGATAGTAGTAGTGATAGTAGTAGTAGTAGTAGTAGTAGTAGTAGTAGTAGTAGTAGTAGTAGTAGTAGTAGTAGTAGTAGTAGTACTGCTGCTACTGCTGCTGCTGCTGCTGCTACTGTTACTACAAAAAGCAACTACTACAACAACTACAACTACTACTACCATCACCACGGCGACTACTATTCTTCTGCAACTACGACGACGACTACTACTGCTACGACTAACACTGCCCTGATAGGACCCTACAGGTTACACATTCCCGAAATACCACATGGTAGCAGACCTGGAACATGGTCGGCTTGATCTGCTGGAAAAGACGTATTTTGATCTACCACTATCCCTATTATCCAGGTCCTTGCAGTAGAACTGCTCTATCCAGCTTGCCGGACTCTCCGAAACCTGTCAGCCTAAGGCAGAAAAAAGAGTCGGCGCAAGACGCACAAGAAGTCGTGGAATTCAGTGCCGGAGACAAGGCGCGGAGGGTCTTAGTGCTACTTGGTACTATCCGAACAGTATTCTCTTTTGCCAAATCGTTATCACTGGAGTGTTAGAAGTGTATTGAAGAAAATACATGGGTGTAAATACCTAGAGTCAAGAGTATGGGCGTCCAGTACTTGCTCTAGGAGCCACAGATCGTGAATACTATGCAACTGATGAAAGTAACTTACGGACCCCAAAAGCACATAAGCATAAGCATTTTATGGGGATATCCCTACATCATTGGGCTTCATTATAAGGGGGTTTATATGGGATATCCCTATCCTAATTTTTGCTTATGTGCTTTTGGGGGCCCCAGTAAAGAGGGGGCCAGCAAGCATGTTGATGCTGCGAGTGGTCTTGCAAACACCACGAACAAAAGGTAGCGACAATGGCCGCGATGAAGGTGATGCTCGTGATTCACAGCAGCAACGTAACAGCAGCAACAGGAACCCCAAACCCCCAAACTTTAAAGCAAACCCTAAGCCGAAAATTCTGGAACAATTCCAAGGCTAAACCCCCAACCCCCCCTCCCACAAAATATATTTGAATCATCTTGAATCCAAAACCCCGAAAAGTCTGAAACAACCCCACCCCAAACACCCAAAACAACCCTACGAAGCAACTCCAACATCAAAACCCTATAGGCATGAAACCTAATACAATCTCAGGTCCCAAGCCGAAAGCCCCAAACTCCAACGCAGCCCTAACAGAGCCAACTTCAAACCTCGTTCTCTGGCCCGAGGTCGAGGCCAAGTACGGCAGCAGCTTCTACGACGCCGAAGTCCTGTCCATGTCCCTTAAAGACGAAATGAAGCCTAAAAGGGTTCAAGGTTCATATACCCTAATTATCGGGGTTCATAGTATCAGGGTATAGGGTAGGGGGGTTCACAGTATCAGGGTATAGGGCCCATGCTTTGAAGGGACATTTGGTCCGTAAGGTCCATGGAGGATGGCAAAGTGAAGCTCAAGTGGGGCAACTTGGCGGCTCGTGGGTTTCGGACTTGAAGGGACGCGGCAAGGGTTCCTTGCAGGGTTGCCCTTAAGGGCTGCTACAAGGTAAATGTGTGTTGCTTTATGGGTTGGGGGTTCAGAAGGTGTGTCTCTGTGTGTGTGTGTATACATCTATATATATATATATATATATAGAAAAAGGCTTAAGTCTAGAATGCTTCTGGGCACGTTCCAGTCCTGCAGCTAGATGACACGTCAGAGATAGAGAGAGAAAGAGAGAGAGAGAGAGAGAGAGAAAGAGAGAGAGAGAGAGAGAGAGAGCGCAGAGAAGTGTTACATGTGGCTGTACTTCGGAATCATGTTGTGAACTCTTGTTGTGTCGGCCTGTAGTGCAAGCTCCGCCCACGGGGTAACGAAACGCCGTCGCACGTAATACCGTGCGTACAACCAACAGTCGGGCAGCTCCCGCGGGGGCTTGCCCTCAGGCCTGGGCCAAGAGAAGAGCGCAGAGAGAGAGAGAGCTCATTTAGGGTTCCGGCTGCGTGTTTTTCGGATTGAGGGCGCCCTGATGTTCTCCGTGTTGAGGCCTGCCCGGAGGAGTAAGATACCGGAAGTATGGGTAGAATCGAAATTGCAATAATGAGAATAGCCGTGGTAATTAGAAAAAGTAGAAATAGTAATCGGAATCTTATTTAGAATAGTAAGAGTACTAGTAGTAAGAGTACTGGTAGTTCTGGTACTACTACGAGTATAATGGTAGTCGTAATAATAGTGACAGCGATAGTAATAGTAATAGTAGTAGTACTGATACTAGTCGTAATCGCTGCCTTCAGGCCATGATGGCTCCGAAGCGGAACTGGATGCTTCTGAAGTCAAGCTCAAGCCGGACTCCCAGGCACGGCTGCTGCACCCATGTGCTCAGTGTCCCTAAACCCTAAACCAAGGAGCGGAGGTCAGGTTGGCAGAGTTTTTTGGTAATTAAAACGGCGCTGGCTCAAGTCTGAAAGCAGGAGTTACCACTGAAGCAGTTGCAAAAACTGCGTTCCTCCTTTAAACTGGACCCCTGCAGGGGCACGCCATTCCTATAACAAGGACTGTAAAGGCACTCTATGGCCCTTGAGTAATTTAGAGACTCTGCACATTTTGGACGGCACTGCACTTACGCCAGGGCCGTGCTATGCTGTGCTTACATTCAGGAGAAAGAGGCCGCGCCCCCTGCAGAGCTCAAGGAAGGAGACAAGGCAAAGAGTTTGGCCGAGCCATGTCCAGCCTAGAGGATGTCGGAATAGAATTTTCGGAAGTATATACGGGGTTTTGCGGGGATTTAGGAGCTTAGGCCTCTAGGCTGCAGTCTGTTGAGGATGGAGGCTTATTTTCGTCGAGGGGACTATCTTGACATGGGCATGTTAATGGTTTACTGGTGGTCTAAGATTTTAAACGACCCTGAGTGACTACAGGGCCCTTCACTCGTTGCAGCATCAGGAATCCTCAGGCTTCCTCAGTATATTTATATAGTTCAAAAAACCCCCCAGGCCAGAGTCTGATTAGTTATTCAGACTTCTGTAATGGATGTGAGCTTGTTTTGCACGCTCATGGCTGGGGTTGGAGCCGGGCTTCAATCGCTTTCTTTGCACAGGTTGGGCAGGAAGGCGGCTTTTGAACGGGCTTCTGCCCCTCACATGAATGTATGGTAATTCGCGTGGGGCTGGGAGTGCGAGGATTCGAGTTCAAGGCGGCAGACCCAGGGTTTGACTTTGCACTAACGAAGAAGCGGCTTTTTCTTCAGATTCTCTTGTTGACGGGGCTCAGGGATCCAAAAGCTCTGCTTCAAAATTTTGGGGCATCGAAGAAGGCCCGAGCTCCCAATGCCAGGTAGAAGCAAAGTACGGTGACAGCTTCCACGATGCGGAGGCCACCGCCTCATCGGCTTTAGGGTGTAATGTAGGGCCCTTAATAATTACCTATACTCTATATATATATATATATATATATATATATATATTTTTTTTGTTTTTTTTTTTGGGGGGGGGGTCCTTATTCTAATTATAGTACAACGGACCCCAAAGCCCTATTCTAATTATTAAGGCCCCTATATTAGGCCCGGCGGCTTCGCATCCCCTTGCCTTGGTGTTCAGCATCGATTCGTTGGTTCCAGGGCCTCCATAAAAAGGCGCATAAGCAAAAATCAGTCTAGGGCTTAGGGTTCAGGGAAGGATAGGGATATCCCATAGAAGCCCCCTTTATGATGAAGCCCAATAAGGTAGGGATATCCTTATAAAAATGCACATGCTTATGTGGTTTTTTGGGTCCCTAGGTTCGCCTGATCAACTTACAACGATCGACCCTGGAGCCCATCCAGCCCTAAACCCTGAACGCACCTCGTCGACCCTCATCCTACGCCGGACTGCACTTTGGCTGAGGATGGCCGTTTCTGTTGGGCCGAGGTTATTACTTATGGTTTTGGTGTGTAAGCCTCTTGGTTGGCGAGTTGTGGACGGGTTTTTTGCAACTGTGCAAAGGTTTGGCTTCTCCAACCCATGTAAAATCTCAACCTTGCCCCTGGACACCCAAACCCGTATAAGCAGTAACCCTTAAACCCAAACGGTTGAGGGCTTAGGGTGTAAAGCCGAGACCCTAAACCGCCCAGCACCTCCTCACTTCCGGGACTTGCCATAGCTGATGAGGTCGGGCGAGGGGATGCTCAGGGTTGCAGGGCAGATCTAACTGCAGAAACGCGGCTTGCAGTGTACCGCCCAAGCCCTCAAACTCGAAAAGCCCGAGGATCTAAAATCCTAAAACCGAAAACCCTATGGCCTGACCTTTTGTTGCGCTGTCTTCACCGGGATGCAGGAGTCTTCGAATCGCTCCCAATGTGGAGTAACCTGACAAACGCGAACCCTTTGGATTGAGTTTGTGGTTTATAGGGCTAAGTTCAAGGTTTAGTAGGGTTTTAGGGTTTAGGGTCTAGGGCTAAGTTCAACAACTTGGAAGAAGCAGTGGAGTGCTACCTGGATCGTCGAAACAGCATTGCGCAGTATTCCGGCATCCAAAACCCTAAAAAACCTTGGCTGCCCTACACTCTGCAACCTTAATGTAGGGGCCTTAACAATTGCAATAGGGTATTGGGGGTTCCTCATTTTAATTATAGTCTAAGATACCCCAAACCCTAGTCTAAGTCATAAGGCCCTTATCACAGTATGGTACCCCTTTCGATCCCTTAAAGTACCCCTTATAGACCCCTTCAAGGAACCCTACTCTAATTATGAAGGCCTCCAATTTGCCCGATCAGGTGGTGACGCCAGAGACCGAGGACGGGAAGGTCAAAGTGAAGTGGGGCTTCGGGCTCAGATTCTCCCAGGACCACCCCCCGAGTACTCGTACCCTTTCATAGAGCCCTTACTGGCATGGTCCTTCATAGTGGGTAATTTTTTTAGGGTATATAAAAGGGTACCCAAGTACCCTTTCATAGAGCCCTTACTGGCATGGTCCTTCATAGTGGGTATAACTACTTTAGGGTATAAAAAAGGGTACCCAAGTACCCTTTCATAGAGCCCTTATGATCCTTAATAGTGCGTATTTAGGGTATAATAGAATGTAGCTGGGGGCTGCTGATAGGGGCTCCAACACGGGCCCTGTAAGCCTTGATGTGCAACTCCTAAGCTCTCGCCCCAAAACCTTAAACCCCTAAAGAACCCCTAAAGTCCGTAAACCCCGAAGCCTAAACCCCTAAACCCTAAACTGAATTATAGCCAAAAAACCCTTGGATTGCAGACTTGGGTGCTTGTCAAAATTATGGTCCCTTATTGGGGTCCTTAATATAATACGGCACCTAATATTTAGGGTGCAGTACCCAGAAAGGGACCCAAATTTTGACAACCACCCACTTAACTCTTTACCTTAGAAGGGGCCCCCACCCTGTAATAGTGACTATTGGGGCCTATTATATCACTAGTACAGGGTGGGGGCCCCTTCTAATCTTTACCCCTCGAAGCTTCCCACAATGCGAGGCTTCGACGGCAGCGAAGCAGAAGTCGACCCGGCCGAGGTGGTGGGGTTTCCGGCTTTTGGCAGGGTTCAGCCTTCAGACCCAGCTGTCTGTATTTCATGAACAAAGAAACCACTCTAAATGACGGTATATAAACCCAACTTGGAACATCATCGACGAGTGTTGCGCGGCATAACGAAGGGACTGAACGTTTAGGGTTCAAGGTTCGGGTGCTTTGGATCAGGAGTTTAGGGTTCCGCGTGGTCTAAATCCCGGTGTTTGGCGTATAGCATGAGAAATACTATACGGGTTGCTCCAAGGCTCAGAAGCTTTTGGCTTAGGAGACAGAGCTTTTTCGGCAGTAGGCCTGAGGCTCTTTTGGGTACATAAGGGAATGGTTATTTAGGGCCGGCTTACAGATTCAGGCTTTACAGTTTCAGCATGTTGGGCCTTTCATACAGCCATTTTTTTACATCCGTTACAGTAGCTTCGAAGCCCACCAACAAGGAAGCTTCCCTGCAGGTCAAATTGAAGCCTGAGGCTCCCCCAGAGCCGCCGGACGGGCAGGGGGGGGGGGCGGGGGGGGCTAGGATTTTAGGGTTTAGGGTGTAGTATTTTAGGTTTAGGTTTTGGGGGGTTGGGAATTGGGTTTGGGGTTTAGGGTGTTAGGGTAGGTGATGATTTCGCGTTGAGGGCTGAAGGGCCTTGTTTAGTGGTGTTGGGTTGAGGATTTAGGTGTGCGCTATTTCGGGGCTCCGAAGATTTGATGGCTTTCGGGAAATCTTGTAAGGTGCCTTCATCGGTTCCTTCTGGGTGTTGGAGGTTGTCACAGCATTTGCGCTTGAAGGGTTTATGCTTTGGGCCTTGAGTCAAGCGCTTTGACATTTTGAGCTTTTGCAGCTGCAAGGGCCTTTTGGGCTTCGGGTTGACCGATGCAGCAAGCAGACGTTCCTGGTATAAGTAGGGCCTGATAGGTGCTTGAACATTTCGGGGGTTATCTTGTGGGCTGGGTCTCGGCACTGACGTTCCTGAGGTCTAGTGATCATTCGCCTGGAAGACCTCGGGGGGATGGCAAAAAACATGGAGATCATGTTTCTGTGGGCTTGTCTCCTCCTATACATCCCGCGGCAAAGCTACGAACCCTGGGGTTGGAAAATGAGGGGCCGTTTTGCAGGGCTCTCAAAGTAGGGAGCCTGCTATTTGGTATTCAGGAACTTTTCATGTCCCTGTTTCGCACGAAGCCTGGATGCCCACCTTGTCCCAGTGTGAGCGTCGCACCGGTTTCCTAATCCAAAGCCCCAGGCCCTCAACTTTCATGTTTCAGGGGTCCGGTAGCATAGGGGCCCGAATAATTAGCAATGATGTTTTGTGGTCTCCTTATTAGGATGTTACTATAATGCACCCCAAAACCCTATTCTAATTATCAAGGCCCCTGTATTAGGGTTCAGGGTCATCCAAACAGGAGAAGCTGCTTGTGATCGGGTTTCTCCGGCCGCGGCTCGAGGTGAGCCCGGAGTCACCACTTGCAACCCTATCGCTACTTTACGGCTGAGGGTTTAGTTCTTAAGGTTTCGGGTTTAGGGTTTTTTTAGTCCAGGTGTAAGGAAAGGCTTATGAGTTTCCCTCATGAGTTTTGCAAGTAAAGGGTGTTACTAGAAAGTGCTAAGTAGGGCAACTACAGTTGCAGTTTCCTCTAATCTGAGGAACTTTTACCAGCACAGACGGAACGGGACTAACAGGGATGTGGTTTGAAACAAGGTTTGGGGATGTTGGTGGACACTGGGTTGTACCGTAGACCAAGATGGGACCAGAAGTAAATGCAATTCTGCCAGGTGTGCTCATCTGCACAGCACCAAGTTCACAGCTCCCACTAGGTATTGCATTTTTCTCCACACGAATGTTCCTGTTCACCCATCGCATGATCACCTGGCCAAAGTTGCAGAGTCAGGACATTGTGCGCATTTCGGAGATTCACAACGAACCTTTGGCGTGCACTCGGTGGCCTGCAAGTCCTGGGTATGAGAGTACCAGGAACAACAACAAAAAGTATTAATCTTTCCGCGCCCTTCGCAGGGTTTAGGGTTTAGGAATCCTAGGCCACGAGGCCTGTTGCAAAAGGGTTGGGGTTTCGTTTCTATAATGCCATGACAACTGAAAGGCTTGTCCGAGAGTGAGTGCTGAAACCCGCAGATGAAACCCTGAGCCCAATACCCTAAACCCTAAACCCCTAAGCTCTAAACCCCTAAACCCCAAAACCCGTCGTTGCAGGTGGAGCTGCGAACGATGAACCGGATCGAGTCTAAGGCGACACTGTCGGTTTTGTAGCCACTGGTTTTGGGGGGTTGCGGGCTTAGGGGTTTAGGGGTCAGTTGTTCCTAGTCTGAGTCTGATAGCTGCTGTTTGGAAAGGGTTGGGTTTGTAATCGTCGTCAAGGCTGCCGGAAATACACTCGTTGGGCCCCTGAATACCCTAACCCTGATACATCTTGATACCACAGACTTTACAGAGGACCTGATGTCAGTGAAGCTCTCATTTCAAGCGTGCATACATCCGGTTGGTTCATAGCACACGGTGTCCACTGTTTGTGCGGTTTGGGGTTCATGGGTGTCTGGGTTGCGCGCTTATACGTTTGGGGGAAGGTGGCGTGCTCTTGATTATAGCGGTTTAGGATTGTGAGATCTAGCTTTCGAGAAATATATGGCGGTGTGAGTCGAGAAAGGGCATTTGCCATTTCACTGCGAATGGGCTTGACATTGCTAGCCTGCCCGTGTGCTGGAGTTAGACCGCGTCAACCTTTGCACACAGTCTGCGACAGCCCACCATCAGTGACCCGGCCGCTTAGCCTTTACAGGCTTGTGGACAGCTAGAAGCGTAGGGAAGCTGCAGGTACCCAAAAACTTCTGGGTTGAAAGACTCGCGACAGGTTACTTGACGGTACGCCTGTACCGACCACGTAGAATCCCTGGGTTGATCTTTGGGAGTTCTTTAATTTCCCCTACTATTTCGTAGAGAACCATAATAGTAAATAATTTTCCAAGGGCTTAAAGGACAACTCAGATCCTTAAGAATCAACATCTCGACTCATGGAACCCTCTCAACCTCGAAGGACCTAAACCTTGTAAACAGCTCGGCACAACCCTTACAAAAGCCCTCAAGATCCGATGCAAGTGTTTCACTAACATGTACTTCCCTTGGTAAGTCGAGATGCTCCTAAAGATTTAGGGTTTGCCTGTAGCCCCAAACCCCACAAAATGGTAGGTTATGATCCCTTCATTAGAGGGTAGAGCCCTTAAAACGGTAGGTTTTTGGATCCCCAGGTGTGGTCAGTCTAGATGGAAGGGGTCTACGGTACCCTGTCCGGCCTCGTCGCCTTGTTGGGGAACTTTGCCCTTTCCGAGCTGCGCCAGGTGTAATACAAACCGCTGTTGTGGTAGCTCTGAACCAAGTCCCTAATATTCTAAAGGATGAACTTAATTCACAATATATATATATATATATATATATGTATACGGTATATTATATACGTATCTATCTCGCTTTCGTGGTCGCTTCCCTTGAATCCTCTTTCTCTCTCGCTCTCTCTGCTTAGCGTGAGGGCCCCAAACAAGCACCTAAACATAAACTATTGAAGCCGACCCCTTAGAATGTGAAAGTAAAAGTTCATGTTTAGATGCTCTTGCGGGCTCCTATGACCAGGACCCCTAAACCCCAACACCGTGAACACCTAAACCTGTTTGGGAGGCTCCCGGCCATTGCCTGACGAACCCCCGCGCCTCCGACGACGGCCCTGGCGTCGGTATCGGTATCATGGACCGAACCGGGAGGGTTTTGGGCTTACGGCCCAGAATTGCCGGGTTCCGGGCTTCGGTTTACGATGCGGCTCTTGCATATCCTTTCAAGTTATTTGGCGTTTTCGTGTACGGCTTCTCTTCTAGCGGGAGTAGAGTACGGGGATCAGAACAAGACCTCGTGGTCTCGATATAAACATCCAACAAGCTTTCCTCGGCGACCTCACCTGAACCCTAAACCCCTAAACCATAAATCCTGATACTTTCAGGGTTTCCGGGTGTCGGATTTCGAACCGTTGGGTTTGAGCTCGGGGTTTGAATGCGCAGGCCGTGTAGCAGGGTTTAGGGTTTAGGGCTTGTATCGGGATTCTCGAGTATTGCCATAGTTTGCAATGTAACTATGTGCAATTAGCAACACTTGCCGCAGTTCTGTATAACTATATAAGAGCTGAATCCCTGGATGGTGGAATTCTTTATCAAGCCCTGAGCAAAAAGATGCGGTGACCTCGAAGTGTCAATCCTTGACTCCGACTTCTCATTCAACCTAAGCCCGTATAAGTGTAATATAGGGGCCTAACTAATTGCCTATACTATTTTGGGGTTGCTTATTATAATTATAGAAACATTTACCCCAAAACCCTATTCTAATTCTGAACGCCCCTACAGTAAACTCGAGCCGCTTGAACCGTGAAACAACCGGGGAACAGGCTTGGCCCTATGCCTGCCGTCCATGCCCCTGTAAGTGCCAAGTCGAAGCCCTAGACTCTATGGTAAGCTAATATAGGAACCTGATTAAGATACCTTGGGCCTTTATTGGGGTTCCTTCTTTGAAATCCTACTATTTTGGGGCTATAGGCCCAGGGTTTCTTTATCAGGTTCCTACATTGTGGTAAGCTAGCATCCTATCTGTCGGGAAGCCCCCAGTTGTCTGCAGACCTCGTCTGTTGTTGCCGAGAGTGAGCGTCAAAAAGCCCTATGAGTATTTTTCTCACATGCCCTGCCTAGCGACTCGTTCAGCAATGCAGCGAAATATCCCTAAACCCCCTAAGCCAAATTCCCGCTGCTTTGCCACAGGAGCTGACACCGTCGGACGGCTCCATGGCCAAGCTCATTGGCAAAGGCGCGAGAGAGCATCTCTCAAAGGGGGAAGTATATAGTATATACCCAGTATATAGCCCATTATAGGGTAGAGGTCCCCATTAAGGGTCCCTCCTTTTCCCTTTTGAATCTCATCAGTTTTCAGGGTTTAGCCAAGGTTTGGGGTTTAGGATCCTGAGAGACCTTCTTTGGGCACTAGAATGGCCCTTCTCTAAGGGTAGCTATAAGGCGCGGGCGAATTTGCCCGTATGTATGCACGAATGTGTTTTTTTGTACTTACAAGTCGATCGGCAAGGAGGGCTGTCCTCCTTTGACAATTGGCGATACATAAACTGTAGGGTATGAGGCTCTGACTTTGACTTACATTACAAAGTACCAGCGTGGAAGTACGCACACCACTGGCTCCAATCCTTCCTTCCACTTGTTCGGTATGTTTGTAATTCGAGGGTTGAGACTGTCAGGTGGATGGGGAGAGGTGTTGTATTTGTTCCTGGACGAATCTGTGCAGCTGTTGCTACTGAGCGAATGCACCAGCTTCGTTATTGGGACTCTGAGTGTGCATTTGGGCACTGTCATCGTTGCCTCTGCGGCACGACCTGTTTCGCAGTTGGTGCTTTGAAGTGTTTGTGCTGCGACTGGCCATCCAAGCGGTGCGACGGTCACTGGAAGCATCCGATTCAGACGCTGGTGTTGCATGGGCTGCTACTGTGAACAAGCGCTTTGCATGCTATGAGGAAGGTCTGACCCCTCTGTCTGCTTTTGCCATAGCAGCCACACCAATCTTAGTTAAGTCATGCGAATTTGGGGGCCTTAATAATTACCTCTACTATTGTGGGGGTTCCTTATTATAGTTATAGTGTAATGGGCCCCAAAACCCTTTTCTAATTGCTAAGGCCCCTATGTGACCCAATCACCAAATTCAAACTGTCCCGAGACGAAAGCAGCCTTCGGAAGCCAACTAAGGTCATCTCCCCTCCTTTTTCAGGGTACCTTCTTTCTCAATTTAGGGTCCTTCCTAAACATTTTGAGGGTTCAGAGTTTTGCGTCTTTCCAGGCGTCTTGTGTGGTTTGCTTCGGTGCTTCGACATCTTCAAACCCTTGGAGACTTAGAGCCCTAGTCCTGAACCCTGACCCTGGAATCCCGTAGCCCGGCCTGCTTGTAACATCCCGAGTTTGGGACTTGTGGTTGGGTTTAGGCAAAAAGGGCAGGGAGGCTTAGTGCATTGCAGTCACTTCTCAAAAAAGCGCAGGGAGGCTTGTCAGTAGTACTACTTGGCTTTTGTGCGTGGACTGTTGCGAGTTTTCCGGCTAGCACCCATGGAGACCGGAGCTAAGAAGGGTTTGGCTTGGTGGGCGTAGGGTTTAGGGTTTCGGGTCTACCAGGCGTCCTTGCAAGCAAGCCTGCAGCAAAAAGGGTGTAGGGGTTTAGGGTTTCAGCCCAGAGTGTGAGGTTCGGGCTCAGAATCTGTTGAGTCCCGGACGCAGGCGGTGCGATGAAGATGAAGATCGCCAGCATCTCCGGATGCAGCTTCGAATACATGGCCAAGGAGACGTGGGGCCTGAAGGGGGTGAAAAAACCCGAAGCCCTAAACCCGGTGATCTTAACATCTGAGGTCCGTTATTTTGGAGTCCTTAGGCTTAGGATCCTATGACTTAGGGTCTACAGATGTCTATACTCACAGTCTCTAAGGGCTTTAAGACAGGGCTTGCTGGTTCAGGGTTTGTTGTCTCTAGGTCTCCTGGCATAGCTATTCTGCCGCATCTACTTCCCACTGCAGTTCGTGGGAGTACTGGGCATGTTGTTTGAAGCAGGTTGGCAACAAACCTGTCAGGACCACAGGCAGTCCTCACGGCCTGTTTGATGCAGCAAGCACTGTTCGCTCTGCTGTTGCTTTTCGTTTATGCTGTGCATCGTCACTGCGGTTGCCTTCACGACAGCGCTCATTCTACACTTCTGTCGTGGTAGTGTGGTGGGGTGGTGGTAGTGGTAGTGAGTCGTGATTGTTGGGGTCTTGTCAGTGGTGGAGCAGGTGCGGGCCGAGGTAGAAGTGGTTGGAGGTTGTTACGTTGGGTTTAGGGTTTTAGGTTTTTAGGGTGTAGGGTTTAGGGGTTGGGGTTTAGGGTTTAGGGTTTGTGGTTATGGCGTTGAGAGTGATGGTGTTCACGGCCTCGTGATGGCGTTCGTGTGTGGCTGTTGCTGCCGTCATCTTGCACCCCTAGAGTCCAAAGGCCAGCCCAAAGCCCAAAAGAGCCCTAATATAGGCACCAAAATTACCAATACTATTTGGGCGGTGCCTTACAATAATTATAGCATAATGTACCCCCGCCCAAACCCTATTCTAATTCTTAAGGCCCTAGCAGTAAGCCCTAGGCCCTCAATCAAGTCTCCCGTCTCGAAGGATTCCGACAACAAGCAAGCTTGGATCCTCGGCACGCCCGAGGAGCGTGCCAGGCGCATCTTTTTGCCCGGGCTTTATATCCATATCTATGTCTTTATCTGTATCTGTAACTATCTCTATCTATAGTGTATATATATATATATATATGTATGTATATAGATTTACATATACATTATACATATACATATTTGTATATACACATATACATAAGGTTTACGGTGGAGGTTGGAGCTGAATACTGCGTTGCTCATAGTCATGCACCTGCTGTTCTCATCATCCCGAAATCATCTTCCTGGCCGAGGTCTTGTTCAAACTGCCTGTACCTGCGTAGCAGCTTAGCATTGCAGCCATGGCCAACTTGCCAGCGGATGTCTTGGCCGAGCTGAAGGAGACTGCTACCAAGCTGTGCGCGCCGGGCAAGGGGTTCTTGGCCGCCGACGAGTCAGCCGGACCATGGCTCCGTGCCGGCCACGCAGAAGCGGCAAAGATCCCGGATGTCATTGAGAACAGGGCCGCCTACCGCTCCATGTGCTTCTCCACCCCTGGACTCAGCGAGTACATCAGTGGCGTCATCCTCCACTGGGAGACCCTTTTCCAGGACGATGCCACTGGCAAGCCAATGGTGGACATCATCACCGGCAACGGCATGATCCCCGGCATCAAGGTGGACAAGGCCTACGACAAGAAGGGCATGTGGGGCACGGATGTTGGGCCGTTGGGACATCCAGAGGTTTCCACGAAAGGCTTGGATGACCTGCAGGAACGTTGCGCTCAGGCCTACAAGAAAGGGGCCCGCTTCGCCAAATGGCGCAATGTGCTCCAGCTTGATCCCAAGAAAGGCTTGCCGAGCGACCTGGCCATCATGGACACCGTTCACACGCTGGCACGTTATGCGTCCATCTGCCAGAGTGAGCGCTTGGTGCCCATCGTGGAGCCCGAGATCGTGCCCAACGGAGACCACGACATTGACTACTGTTGCCAGATGACGGAGAAGGTGTTGTCGGCCCAGTTCAAAGCCCTGGCGGACCACCACATCTACTTGGAGGGCGCCGTGTTGAAGCCTAACATGGTCAAGAACGGTCTCAAGGGAACCAAGGCGAGTGCCGAGACGATTGCCAAACTCACGGTGCAGACGCTCTTGCGCACGGTGCCGGTGGCCATGCCAGGCATTTTCTTCCTCTCCGGTGAGACGGCCCTGAACGAGGACAACGAGGAGGAGGCTACAATCAACCTCAGCACCATGCACAAGCTCTACCCGAACCTTCCGTGGCATCTCTCCTTCTCCTACGGCAAGGCACTGCAGAAGACATGCATCGTCACCTGGTTGGGCAAGCCGGAGAACAAGGAGGCCGCCCAGAAGGCGCTCAAAGCACGCTCCAACGCGAACTATGATGCTGTCTTCGGGAAGTATGTGAAGGGCTCCTGCGCCAGCGTGGGCACGGACGGTAATGTGCTGCAGGCAGCCGGACCGTACTAATTCGTTGGCAGAGCGAGTTCCTGTGACCAAGGTCTTTTCTTCGTGCAGACGACGCGTCCTGTTTCCGCTTATATTCGCAAGTTCTGTATAGTGTATCTTTTGGATTTTGTCATCTTCAGTTCAGCACAATATGCCTGAACGAAGACCCGAGGGGTGTGTTTGCTGACTTCACATGTCTTGAATAGCCAGCAAAGAGTCAACAGTTTTTCCTGCCTGAGATTCTGAGTTGCGTGTTTAGGAACAGCCTTGCACGAAATTATATTGCCCCGTGCAAGAGAGCTTAGATAATATCATGCCTGTTACCTGAACCTGAACACCAAGTGAGAGTTCCATCGTATTCCGTCGTCCTTCGCAGGAGCCCTCATCTCTCAAAGCCTTTAGAGTAACCTCAAAGCCTTGACCCGGTAACCCCCTAGCTTCAAGCTGATGTGACATTTGTGCCGTGTGATTTCAGGCTCTCTGAAGTGGGGATCCGTTGCAATGCTTCGACCCACCCATGCTGTTATGTTGGGTTCCTATCGCCGTCCAGTTGTGTTCCGGTTGTTCGCTTAGGATCCCCTTAGCATTGCAGCCATGGCCAACTTGCCAGCGGATGTCTTGGCCGAGCTCAAGGAGACTGCCACGAAGCTGTGTGCTCCGGGCAAGGGGTTCTTGGCCGCCGACGAGTCAGCCGGACCATGGCTCCGTGCCGGCCACGCAGAAGCGGCAAAGATCCCGGATGTCATTGAGAACAGGGCCGCCTACCGCTCCATGTGCTTCTCCACCCCTGGACTCAGCGAGTACATCAGTGGCGTCATCCTCCACTGGGAGACCCTTTTCCAGGACGATGCCACTGGCAAGCCAATGGTGGACATCATCACCGGCAACGGCATGATCCCCGGCATCAAGGTGGACAAGGCCTACGACAAGAAGGGCATGTGGGGCACGGATGTTGGGCCGTTGGGACATCCAGAGGTTTCCACGAAAGGCTTGGATGACCTGCAGGAACGTTGCGCTCAGGCCTACAAGAAAGGGGCCCGCTTCGCCAAATGGCGCAATGTGCTCCAGCTTGATCCCAAGAAAGGCTTGCCGAGCGACCTGGCCATCATGGACACCGTTCACACGCTGGCACGTTATGCATCCATCTGCCAGAGTGAGCGCTTGGTGCCCATCGTGGAGCCCGAGATCGTGCCCAACGGAGACCACGACATTGACTACTGTTGCCAGATGACGGAGAAGGTGTTGTCGGCCCAGTTTAAAGCCCTGGCTGACCACCACATCTACTTGGAGGGCGCCGTGTTGAAGCCTAACATGGTCAAGAACGGTCTCAAGGGAACCAAGGCGAGTGCCGAGACGATTGCCAAACTCACGGTGCAGACGCTCTTGCGCACGGTGCCGGTGGCCATGCCAGGCATTTTCTTCCTCTCCGGAGAGACGGCCCTGAACGAGGACAACGAGGAGGAGGCTACAATCAACCTCAGCACCATGCACAAGCTCTACCCGAACCTTCCGTGGCATCTCTCCTTCTCCTACGGCAAGGCACTGCAGAAGACATGCATCGTCACCTGGTTGGGCAAGCCGGAGAACAAGGAGGCCGCCCAGAAGGCGCTCAAAGCACGCTCCAACGCGAACTATGATGCTGTCTTCGGGAAGTATGTGAAGGGCTCCTGCGCCAGTGTGGGCACGGACGGTAATGTGCTGCAGGCAGCCGGACCATACTAATTCGTTGGCAGAGCGGGTTCCTGTGACCCAGGTCCTTTCTTCGTGCAGACGACGCGTCCTGTTTCTGCAGATGTTCGCAAGTTCTGTATAGCATACCGTGCCTTTTAAGTTTTGTCGTCTTCAGTTCAGCGCAGTATGCTTGAACGAAGAATCGAGGGGTGTGTTTGCTGACTTCACATGTCTTGAATAGCCAGCAAAGAGTCAAAATCTTTCCAGGGCTCTGAGGAGCTGCACTTCAGCCAAGGCGTTTAACGAAATCAGGTGACTTTTAGTATAGAGCTTAGTCTGGGTTCAGGCCCATGTGACATGTGTGTTGTGTATTTTCACGCTCTCTCAAAGTAGGGACCCGTTCGACCTACCCATACGGTTCCGTTGGGTTCCTATCACCGTCCAGTTGTGCTGTTTTTTCGGTTGCAGATACTGCAAGAAGAATTAAGTTAGATGTTGGCAGGTGGGGTTTAGGGTATCACGGTACAGCATTGCCTCGGACAGGAACCTGGGGCGGCTTTATTTGTGCCCAGAGTTTCGATCAATCTCCCATTTGTCGCCTGATTGCATGACTTTTCTGCAGGACGTCGGCAATTCTGGAGTTGCTGCTGCCTGGCACGATTTGGGAGGCTATGGGGCCCAGGCTTCAGAAACCCTGCTGAGGCCCATGGCCTTCGCCTCGGAATTCCGTGTCAACACTCTTTCAACAAGTTTCCTGGACCCCACGCCCCAGAGCCCCAAAATTTGACCTCAGACCCCTCTCTCGCAACTCAACCTGGCTGAGCTGTCTGCAGCAGCAGGACAGCAGTGAAAGGTTAAACACCAGCCATAGCGACAGCAACGATACCAACGGCCCTAAACCCTAAACCCTAAACGACAGCGACGACGACGACGACAGCAAGAACCACCAGAATCCTTGAAGCCCTGCGCCTCAAACTTCAAGACCCTAAAAAGTCTCAAGACCCAAATGGGAAATCCAATCCGATCCCTCAGAGTAATCCTGAGCCCTCTTTTTCCCGAAAGCATCGCGAAGGGTTCTTCCGTGTGGAACGCCGCAGCTGAGTACATAGATGACAGACATAGAATCAACTTACTTGACTCCGTACTTTACTCTACACTTGATACTTGACTCTACACTTGATACTTACTTACTTACTTGACCCCTATGACTGACTCTCTACACTTGACACTTGACTCTATGATACTTGACTCTACACTTGATACTTGACTCTATGTTATGCTTACGACTTACTTACTTACTTACTTACTTACTTCAATCTACTTACTAACTTACTTGACACTTGACACTGGACTCTATGCTATCTCTATACTTACTTATACTTACTTATACTTACTTATACTTACTTACTTACTTACTTGACTTGCTTAGTTACTTACTTACTTACCTACTTACTTACTTTTACTTACTTACTTACTTACTTACTTGACTCTATGCCTCTATGACTTACTCTCTACATCTCGGTATCTAATTCTCTCGTTTAAAGCCAGGGGGTGGCACCGTTGTCGTCCATCGGGAATGCAACCCTTCCCAGGGATTCGCCTCCTCGGGCGTTCAAACGCGAGGTAAAGTTACACATTTTAGGCTCCCGGGTGAACCCTTCACAGGGATTCGCTGCCTCGGGCGTTCAAACGCGAGGTAAAGTTACACATTTTAGGCGCCCGGGTGAACCCTTCACAGGGATTCGCTGCCTCGGGCGTTCAAACGCAAGGTAAAGTTACACATTTTAGGCGCCCGGGTGAACCCTTCACAGGGATTGGCATGGGCGAGGGCCCAAACGCTAGGTAAAGTTACACATTTTTTAACTTATTAGGCGCCCGGGTGAACCCTTCACAGGGATTCGCTGCCTCGGGCGTTCAAACGCGAGGTAAAGTTACACATTTTTTAACTTATTAGGCGCCCGGGTGAACCCTTCACAGGGATTCGCTGCCTCGGGCGTTCAAACGCGAGGTAAAGTTACACATTTTAGGGTTCCCGCGCAACCCTTCCCAGGGATTCGCTGCCTCGGGCGTTCAAACGCGAGGTAAAGTTACACATTTTAGGCGCTCGGGTGAACCCTTCACAGGGATTGGCATGGGCGAGGGCCCAAACGCTAGGTAAAGTTACACATTTTTTAACTTAATGCGGTGCCCGTGCAACCCTTCCTAGGGATTCGCCTCCTCGGGCGTTCAAACGCGAGGTAAAGTTACACATTTTAGGCGCCCGGGTGAACCCTTCACAGGGATTCGCTGCCTCGGGCGTTCAAACGCGAGGTAAAGTTACACATTTTAGGCGCCCGGGTGAACCCTTCACAGGGATTCGCCTCCTCGGGTGTTTAAACGCGAGGTAAAGTTACACATTTTGCGGGCGCCGCGCAACCCTTCACAGGGTTTGGGTGCAGTTCATTTTTTTTTGCAACCCTTCACAGGGATTTGCATTTTGCAACCCTTCACAGGGATTGGCGTGGTGGAGTGTTCGAACGCGAGGTAAAGTTGCAATTTTTGATGAGCATTGAGCTGAATTTTGCAACCCTTCACAGGGATTGGTGTGGTGGAGTGTTCGAACGCGAGGTAAAGTTGCAATTTCTGATGTGCATTGAGATGAATTTTGCAACCCTTCACACGGATTGGTGTTGTCGAGTGCTTGAACGCGAGGTGAAGTTACACATTTTGCGGTGCTCGCGGAACCCTTCACAGGGATTGGCTTGAGAGGGATTTGCTTCTTCGATTGTTCTAATCGGTAGGTGTGCAACAGGTGAATTGGCAACCTTTCAGAGGGATTGGCAGGATTGGCAAATGCATATATCGATAAGAATAATATACTCATATACACATATATATATATATGCATAAATGCATAAATATATATATATATATATATATATATCTCGATTAAGCGTTCCCACACATAGAGCATAGAGTGAACTACATCGAGTCAAGTGCATGCTACATAGATGACTCCATGACTCTGCGACTTGATCCCACTATGACTCTATGACGCTATCTCACTGTAACTCTATGACTTTATGACTCATGACTCATGGACTCCATGACTCTTGACTGTATCTGCATACGATCCTACACACTGGATCTATCACATAGCCCCACACTCTTCGCTGATGATGCTTTCGGGCCAATTGTCTTCTAGTTGTCTTACTATGTGGTTTTATAGTATAGTACTATAGTTACTAGTATTCGAATATCAAATAATTAGTATTCTATACATACTATTATAATATTATTGTCGTATCACTTCTTCATTAAATTCGTTCGCTCAGGCAGCACTCGGTGGACTTCCGAACTCGAGCGACCGA